ACAAATACAATCAGAATGCTCTGAACATAAGTAAAAGTTCTGTGATTGTGTGTTTTCCAGGTGCAGGCTAGCAGTGGCAAGGCGAGGTACACAGGTCCGCTTGACTGTGCAGTCAGACTCTATAAGGAGCAGGGGATCCGCAGTGTCTACAAAGGGACTGTACTGACTCTCATCAGAGGTAAACATCACTGCGTGTGTGTGTGTGTGTGTGTGGAAGGAGTGTGCAGAGGTCCTACTTGAAGGTCCAGTGTGTCACATTTAGGAGGATCTATTGGCAGTAATGGAATATAATATTCATAGGTATGTTTTTATTACTGTATAATCACCTGAATATAAGAATCTTTGTGTTTGTGTTAGAGCATTCGTCTCAAACTCAAACTGACTTGGGGCCTCTCATAGGAGGGCCACTTCAGTGTTCAAGTATTAAAAGAAAGAGCAATATTAAAATATTTCCATTACTGACATTGTACTTAACTCTTCTTATTAACCATTTGCATGCATTTGTGAGACTCTTTTACCTTTATTTCACGCCCAACAAAATACATTTTCAAAAACAGAACTGTCTTTTCATTTGAATTGCATATGAAGGGGTAGTTTATATGAATACCAAACAACTAGAAAAATAAAAAATCTTGCGGGCTGGATTATATTTCTATATTATATTTTATATTTGACATTGATGGCCAAAAGTAAGTACTCATTATGCAGAAAGGCCCATTTCTGAATAATGTTTGAAACACTCACCTCAAAATATGTTCAGCTCAGTTCAGTTTTATTAGTCGTAGTCGTAGTAGTTTAACCATTGACAGCTTATATATGAGGTTAACACAGGGTCAGCGGTGCAATGAGACAGCACTGAGAGAAGATGAGACAGCAGTAAGTCACTAAGGGCGGCTGTGGCTCAGAGGCAGCGCGGAAGGTTGTGGGTTCGATCCCCGACTCCTGGTGCCACATGTCGAAGTATCCTTGAGCAAGATACTGAACCCCAAATTTCTCCCGATGCCGTTCATCGGTGTGTGAATGTGTATGAATGTTAATTTCTGTTCGATGGACTTTGCCTCACTGAGTGAATGTGTGTGAAAGGGTGAATGTCTCACGTAGTGTAAAAGCGCTTTTAGTGGTCGGAAGACTAGAAAGGCGCTATACAAGTACAGGTCCATTTACCATTTACCAAGTCATCTAAAGATAAAATGAGATGAAGAAAAACCACTAATGGCGGCTAGTTTGGAAACATTCTCTTATATTACGGAAAACTCAGTATTTCCTTCATTTCTGGAGGAAAACTAAATGAAATTGTTATTTGTAAAGTTGATATTATTATTTAAGATCTAAACTTTAAAGACCTGAACACAGTGTCCTCACTGTCTGATAAACAGCCTTGTCTGCATTAGTAAAGTACAAATAGAACAACTCACAGAGAAGAAAAACACTAAATCTGTCAATAAAGAAGCCTGTTAAGTCTATAAGATGGTTACTAAATAAAGAGAATACATAATGCAGACAGAGAATAGGGTCGATGATGTTGATCAGTCAGAGGTTGTTACTTTACTCAATGATAGAAAAGGTTGGGAACAACTGTTTTAGATGGACAGGGGTTAGTTTTCATTAGTTTCTGGAGGCAGCGAGTCGCTCTGCCAGACGCTCCTGATTTGCATAAAGTAGCTTAGAGCTCTCCTGTATGCAAATGAGGAGCCGCCAGCGTGACTCCCCGTCTCTGGAAGCACGCCACATTGCACGGTTGCTCACATAAAATGAGTGCGGCCGCGTCCCGTCAGCGTTGTGTGTTTACTGTTGAATCCAAAGGGCAGGAGGAGTTTACAGCCTCTCTGTCGCTCCCTCTCTTAGATGTGCCTTCTAACGGCCTCTACTTCCTGACATACGAATACCTCAAACGCTTCCTGACACCTGAGGGTCAAAGGTGAGTAACCGTGGTGACAGTGGAGAGGGCAGTGGTGGAATGTAACTAAAGTACATTTACTCAAGTTTAATGTGTTTTCATCTGCTTTGCTCTACTGCATTTATCTGACAGCTTCAGTTAGATTGTAAGATTTCTGCACACAAAGTTTATAAAATATGTTTTGTTTTAAAGTTTATACAAATTCAGCTGAAACAAATAGTGAATTAACAGAAAGTTTATTGGAAATTAGTCATTTTTCATGCCAAAACATTTCATAAATGTGAAGATTTGCTGCTTTTCCTTTGTGTGATTTTAATAATTTAAATGTATTTATAATAATTTTGAGGTCGGGGCTTTTGGTTGAACAAGCATTCTGCATTGTGAAGGTGTCACTTGGGGTTCTGGGTAATTTCTCACCAATCAATCGATGGATTCATGGAGAAAATAATCAGCAGATGAATCCATAATGAAAATAATCATTAGTTGCAGCAAAATAGTTAAAAATGAGCCTCCACCTCAACCAACTACACCAGTAAAATCATAATAATCTAATGATATCGTACATGATAGTGCTTTACCTCCACCACTGGAAGGAGTGTGTAAATCTTTTAAATCCTGTAAAGCTCACCTGTGTTATGTGTTGTTAGTGTTTCTCAGCTCAGCACTCCTAAAATCATCCTGGCTGGTGGAGTGGCAGGGATATTAAACTGGACGATCGCTCTTCCTCCGGATGTCCTCAAGTCCAACTTCCAGACAGGTACGTGAGTCAGAGACAGACAGCAGTGCTCTGAGGTACACAGTGTCTGCAGAGAGACAGATGGACGTTATGGTGGTTATTCTGGTTTATGACATTAAAGGTCCAGTGTGAAACATTTAGGATCTATTGTCAGAAATGGAATATAATATCCATAGCAATGTTTTCATTAGTGTATCATCACCATTGTGTTTTCATCACCTTAGAATGAGCTGTTTGTATCTACAGAGGGAGCTGGTGGCTAACCGACCGTTCCTAAATCGGTCGACTTCCTCCTTTCCTGTACGTAGATACGCAATGTGCTAGACTCGTCTATGTTGGAAAGACAACCGCATTATGAAGATATAGAAGAAATAAAGAGACAAAAAATATATATAGTCGCATAGCTTAGCTTATATATGTGTAGTGTATGTGCACGAAAGCCCCTCCTGTAACATTGTGTGTGTGTGTGTGTGTGTGTGTGTGTGTGTGTGTGTGTGTGTGTGTGTGTGTGTGTGTGTGTGCAGCTGCAGACGGGAAGTACAGAGGTCTGGTGGACGTCCTGAGAACGCTGCTGAGAGAAGAAGGACCTACAGCCCTCTATAAGGGATTCAATGCCGTCTTTCTGCGAGCCTTCCCCGCCAACGCGGTACATCTTTGCTCTCTTATTTTACTCTTAATTACGGCTGCACGATTAATAAAAGTGTAATATCCAAATACTTTTTGATTAAAGTAGAACGTGAGACAAACAGCATTATAATGAGGTGCTGCAGTATCTTGCTCTTCAGATTTAAAACAACGTGTTTTTTGGTACAAACCCCCCTAAAATGTTCACATCATCATGATTTTATTTTTTTTGTTTAGTGAAAGTTAAAGTTGTGATGCAAGACTGATAATTCCCCCAGTGATCGGAATCACATCACAATCACATTACAGTCTAAATGATCCCAATATGATGTTTTAACCATATAGTGCAGCCCGACTCTTAAACATGTTTCTGCCTGATAACAAGTGAACCGCTTCATCCGCCTTTAATTCCCTTCATCCCTCTCTTCATCCCTCTCTTCCTCCCTCTCTTCATCCCTCTCTTCATCCCTCTCTTCCTCCCCTCTCTTCCTCCCTCTCTTCCTCCCTCTCTTCCTCCCTCTCTTCCTCCCTCTCTTCTCCCTCTCTTCTCCCTCTCTTCATCCCTCTCTTCCTCCCTCTCTTCATCCCTCTCTTCCTCCCTCTCTTCCTCCCTCTCTTCCTCCCCCAGGCCTGTTTTTTGGGGTTTGAGGTGGCTTTGAAGGGACTGAACGCACTCGCACCCAGTTGGTGACCTGAGCCTGTAACTGGGAACCAGTCTGGACCAGCCTCTCTCGTCTGTTTCTCTGCAACACACAAAACTGTGTTATTAGTGTGTTTAGTGTCTTTGGAGTCACACGTCAGGATGTTTAAATATAATTAATTATTGTTCTCTTAAATGTGATTTTACGTTTAATTTTACAGATAATTTGTTTTATATGGTCATCCTTTGTAATCGAGATTTTAAACTCACTTTTTGTGAGTAACAGCGCGACATAAATGCACACTTATGAATGTATGATTTTAGGATATAAAAATAAAAAATTATGAATTTTGTTTTTTGGACTTTGTGTTTACAAACTATTTGTGATGTTTGTGAAATAATACATTTAGTAGCATTCAGTTTAGAATGGCTTTAAATATGTTTTTAATCTACAAACTGATAAAAGTCAGTATTAATTTATGCTGGGGGGGGTTTATAAGCTTTGTGAATAAAGTATTGGAATAAAGAGTGTGAGTGTCTGCTGTTTACCCCAAAGCTGAATTAACCAACAGGCGAAGTGGGAACCTGCCCCTGGTTGTCTGTGTGGGGGCAGCTGTGTGATCCTTTTGGTGAGAGACGGGATCTTTGTCGATGTTATTGCCCTCAAAACAAAGAAAAACGTTTTTAAAATCCTAATTCTCCTTATTAAAGAATCCAGAATGTATTATTTATTTACTTTATACAATGAAAGAACAGATGTTTCTTATTCTAATTCACAGAAATCACAAAAGTGTTCAATATCCAACCTGCACATTTTATTTATTTATTATTGTTATACTGCATATTCTACACAATATTTATCACCACTTTTTACTCAATAATTCTCCATAAAAGAATAAAAACAGACGAGGTGTTTCACCGTGCTCCTTCCCGGCACCCGTTACCCGTAGATCCGCCTTTCTAAACCCGGAAGTGGGTTGTGGACTACAATAAACAATAAACGCGTTTAACGGAACATCTCGTCCGTTATCTTTATTTCTGAAGCTGCAACCGGAGAAAATAAAGAGAAAAACAAAAACTCACTCCCTGCAACCAGCGAGTATTGTTATTATTGGGCTAAAATGTACGCCCCCTAAAACTACAACACCCACAATCCAGTGCGCGGGTTGTAGTTCCGGGGTCAGTGACCATCGTCCAGGAGGAAGGTGAGGAAATGTTTGATCTTGTGATGTTTTCTGTACTTTTCAAGTTATTTAAGTCTTTAAAAATACTCAATAAGCCCTCGTAGATGTTTATATTTCTATATTTATAGTTTACATTTTATTATATGACGGTTATTGTTCGACAACAGAGGGTCAGAGTCAATAACAACAACACAGACAGTTCATGTTGAATACAGCTTCTGTTCAACCTCCCGCTTTATAGGATGTGTTATTGGACCGACAGCCTGAATGTGACTGGAAACTGTGGTCAGTGGTTAACAGACTAACGTCTCCATAACCTGAATATAATATAATATAATATAATAATAGTAGTCAGGTTAAAGGAAGTGCTGCAGGCTCATCTACCACTCACAGCAAAGGTAAAAGGTCATAGATACTAAACCACTTTTATATCATTTATTAAACTATAACAACAGATTATATTCAAAACTGTCCAATGAACCCAAACAGTGAACTCAGTGACGGCAGGAAGTTTGTGTAAAACCAGAGATTTGGATGAATTATGAGCAGGTTATTTCTCGTTTAGGGAACTTTTTATTCAATTCTCTGTCTGTAATATGTATTTTTATCATTTTTAACAATCAAACAGACTCAATAGGATTCTGTTCTCTTGTCCCACACACCTGTTCTATTAAACAATTTACTGAACAGTTACTTTTCTTAACAGAAGTAAACAAAATGCTGAGATATCGGTACGTTTTATTACACCTCCTATTTTATTACACCTCTTACAATGTATTAGGGTTGAGCGAGTACAGATAATCTGCTTTATACGAGTTAAATGTGTCTGTGTACTCGTTAATAAATTTAACTTTTATTTTAAAAAAAAACACAACTTGTAATGTAAATCAAGGAAATGTGCAGCAGAGGAGGCCGAGATATCCCAAAGTTTGATCTCTGGTTAGCGTCAAACTCCTAAAACACTTGATCCCACACTTCCAATAGTACACCTCAATAACATCTTTTTATTTGATCCCATCACAAGATCCCCCACGCCATCATCAGGGTCATTTTTCTAGACTTTGGGAAGCTTTTTAGAAGCCGTGTTAGAAAATAAAGAGCTACCCCAGCTAGTAAACTGAACTAGTGAATATCTCCTGTAACTCAGATGAACCTGTCTGTCTCTCTCTCTCTCTCTCTGTGTGTGTTGTACCAGGTTGATGCATGTGGATGTAGTGTCTGTGGAGCGCTGCGATGCCCCTGGAGGTAAAATGGCCGTTCCCGCAGTGCCCTGCTTTGGCGTGGAGGGTCTCCAGCTCACTGATCATGGGCATGGTGGGCTCCTACTCCTACTTCTGGACCAGTAAGTTGGAGCATCTGTACAAAGACACCGTAAAACCAGCGAGAACATTCTCAGTTGCAAACCAGACTAAATTTTCAATCTCTCAATTTCCAGAGTACATGAACTACATGACGGTCCACAACCACAAGGTTTTGTGGGACCTGATTGACCGGAGGCCCTCGGACACACCCCTCATCACTCTGTCCAATCACCAGTCTTGTATGGATGACCCACACATCTGGGGTAAGGACAGATGCACCATCTGAAATCAGCTCTAACGTCAGAAAACGGTGAAATAATCCCGTCTGTTTGCGACAGGTGTACTGAAGCTCAGACATTTGTGGAACTTCAACAAGATGCGTTGGTGAGTTTTTATAACCTACACAACTCGTTCACTCATTTGTAGCATTTAAATGTGATTTCAGGTTTTATTTTTCTGTTCCAGTGTGTGATTATTTCCCTGTGTTTGTGCAGGACTCCTGCAGCATCTGACATCTGTTTCACCAGAGAGCTGCACTCTCGATTCTTCAGCCGGGGAAAGTGTGTGCCCGTCTGCAGAGGTGAGTCTCTGTCGGGATTTACCCCCCAGCTATGACCCTGTTTGGACCCGATATTAACATGAGTCTTTGTTAATCTGATCACAGGTGGACAGCTTTCAGTACGTCAGCATCTCGAGTGACCACTTACGATTGGATCTCACTTCCCTGCTGCATATGCAGATAAACATTAGCGGGCTGGACCACACTAAGAGTGTTGTTAGTTAATGTTCATTATTACTGTAATACGAAGATTTGACTAGTCATTCCTTCATTTCAGTGCCACACTAAGCTCTATCACTATATCAGCCCCTGCAGGAGAGTCAGGAGGGGGATTGGGATTTTATAACTGAACTTTATGAGCAGCACACACACTTTTACTTTCTCTGACTGTGTGTGGAAGTCTGAAGTTTTCACATCACGGATGGCGGTTAAAGTAACTGCAGAGGGTCTCCTACCGGGCTGCAGCAAACTCTTAAAATTGTGTTATTTTTTAAGGGAGTCTGGCGATATTGTGGTTACTGTTCATAAACGTCTGCTGCTAGTCTCGGCAGGTCATTTGCATTACTGTGAACTAAACTGAAATCAGACAGTGTGTACAGGTTGTCAGTGGAGTAGGCGGCCCTTCAGCGTCGTCTGAGCAATCAGATCTCAGTGTGTGTGTTGCATTCACTTGGTTGTGATCTGATCATACAAGCATGTTAATACAGGTCTAGAGTGGGCCTTCATCTTGCTGACTGTTGAACTTACGGCTTACATGATGTGTCGTCTGTAGGTGATGGTGTTTACCAGAAGGGCATGGATTTTATTCTGGAGAAACTGAACAGAGGAGAATGGGTGCACATTTTTCCAGAAGGTATGTTGATCTTCCTCCTCACATTTCACTCTTCTTGTCGTGTTGACGTCTTCTTCTGTGGCCTCTGTGGCTTTTTTGCTGTAGCTTTAGGATCGTGGCGTTAAACACTTCCTCTCTCGTTCCTCGTTCAACAGGAAAAGTCAACATGACAGAAGAATTTATACGGTTGAAATGGGGTGAGTGCAGTGCCCTGTTGAGCACATACAGAATGTACATGAGACATCTGTGGAGATTCACTCTCAAGAGATCATCTCTGGTTTGTGTCTGTAGGCGTGGGTCGGCTAATATCAGAGTGCTCCCTTAATCCGATTATCCTGCCGCTCTGGCATGTGGGTGAGTTACACACTAACACCACAGATGACCACACATTGCCTCACATGTTCTCCTGGTTCTGCAAAATGAACATACCACATGTTGTTAGATAAAGTAGGTTTTTAAGATCCCCTCCAGATATGTATTAAGACATATATATATATATATATATATATATATATATATATACACAAATAGTCAATATGAAAAAGGACAATAATGTGTGATGATATGTTTCTTTGTTAATCATTTTTGTGAATAATTATAATTTTCACATTAAAAAATCCTTAAAAAGACATTTACTCCTTCTACCTCCTTTTAAAAATTCTACAATATGCAAATTCTCTTTATTTCTAAAGTTTTCCTGCTGGACACAAGATGTCTCCTCCTTCACTGTAAAGTCCACTCTCAGTGTCTGTGCACTGCTGGATGTCACTGAGGTTGCGTACTGGACCTGGACTCACTTTCTGAGTATTTATGATGTCACACTCATAGGCCACGTCCCTTAAAATCTGCTCTTCAATGAGCTCAGAGAAACTTTCCACTTTCAGCAGATGAATGTGAGAACATCCTTCTAGAGTCAAACTCTGCACAGACATCATTCAGACACACACTGTAGGACTTCAAGGAACTCCTCCTGATTTCAGTATTTCTGGGTGCTTTATTTGTAAAATGTAGACACAGATGGAGACAGTAGAGTCAAGTCTCTGGTCAATAAATGCTTTAAAAACAGTGACCTACCAACATTTAGGTTTTAAAATACAGGAAAGAAACATCATTGATTTTCCCAGAATGCCTTATTTTAAAATCAACACTACAGGCTTCACAAAAGGAATGGACACTCTCCCGGTGACTTGCAGATATGCCAAGTCTGGCAGGTGTATTAGGATTTTTCTGGTAAAACGCCATCCAGCCCTGACAACAGCTAACGTTCAGTTAGCTGGCCCGTCTGCCTGCCTTCAGTCGGGTTGTGGGCTGCCAGGTTGCAGTGACAGATGGGTTGAAATGTGTGTGTAGCTCTGTTTCCAAGATGATCTGGCAACTAGGGTGAGGTCTGACAAACATACATTCCTCGTATGACGATTGTTCATAATAAATGGGGTCATGCAAATTATGGGAGTTTCCCGGGAGAAATCACGAAACAGGAGGGTGCTGTGAGATGAACACGGGAGAAACCTGGGAAATACGAGTCAAATACATCAACAGCCACACTGTTGCACTGGATGACATATTCCTTTATTACCATGAACACACACACACACACACACACACCGTCCTGCTGCCTCAAACACTCACTGGAGCACCAAATGTGTATAAATCCACCGCTGAAAATAGTCCCCAACATATGCACGATTTCCTCCACATGTTTTTGTGTTAAAAACAACTGCAAGCAACTGAGCCTTTTTTTAAATAGAAGTTCAGTCAGAAAGCATTGAGAGACAGACTAACACGTTGCTTGTTTTAGTCTTTTTATGGGATTGTTGACATTAAGAAAACTCTAGAATATCTGCAGCATTATCATTTATATGATATTGAGTATTCATTACTTCATACTCATTCTGTGTGACTGATTTTTGTCTCAGGTTTGAGTGACGTTCTGCCAAATATGAAGCCCTACATTCCCCGGACTGGAAAGGTAGGAACACTTGCATCTAATCATTCATCCAGTATTATTCTAATGGGTTTTTTTCGTGGCTTTTTGTTTGTACCTGTAGTTGTGACTTGTGCTTTTCTTCCAGAGAATCACAATCCTGGTGGGGAAACCGTTCAGTCTCAAGGACCTTGTTGAATCCCTCCGAGCCGAAGACAAGAGCCAGGTGAGGACAGGATGTGCACACTGGGCTGGATAATAATGTATTTTAATACACCAACTGATGTAACTATATTTCATGATGTTACCTAGGAATATAGTGTTGTTTTATATTCAGGTACCTGTTAAAAACAGACTGAGACAGATTGCAGATTGGTAGAAATACAAGATTTATTCACCAGAAATATCAATATTTAGCTGCTTTAGTTCAGCAGATGAAATCCATATTTTGGTGTCACCTCTTTTTATATAATATATATAATACTATCACAATATTACAGCATTTCGAATACAAATATTTAAACTGTGTGACAAAGTAAAGTACCACATGAGGCATTCATAATTGGATAGGAACATCAAAAAGTGCCACACTCTCTCACTTTACGTTTTCCTTTCAGATGGAAATGAGGAAGGCCGTGACTGATTTCATCCAGGGGGAGTTCTTGAGCCTGAAAGCCCAAGCCGAGGCCCTCCATGGTCGGACGCAGACCATATCCTGAGTCCCAGCCGTCCAGCTTTTGCCTGTTACACTCCTCACAGCCAACAAGTGAAGATCCTTTACCCTAAACTCAGGGTAATACCTTTTATCACTGGAAGTCCCACACACACACACACACACACACACACACACACACACACACACACACACACACAGGACTGTTATTGACCTCTTGGTGTCCACTCATCTTCTCAACTGGAACACCTCCGCAGTGAGATGCACGTATGAGTCGAGCTTTTGAACGTTTAAGTGCTGCTTAGGGATCCTATCGAGGGCCATTTCCATTAATGTGGATGCAACACAAATTATTATTTTAATACAGCAAATGCATGATTTAGTTGCTGGGAGTCAACTGCCACCCAAACCAGCATAAGCAGCCTGAAAAATAAAACAGACTAGTGGACGATTGAGTTACTTGAATTCATACCAATCAATGCAATGACCTCTAAGCAGCCAGTCACTGAATTCTGATTCAGAAGAGTGAAAGATTGTGAATGTTTGTAGCCTCTAGACCAAATTTCTGCAGTATGATTAGTCATTTAACTGGTACCATAAACCCAGCCTGGTGTCCTGATAATTACTCCCATATAGGATTCAATGCCTCATGGTTAACATGCAGTGCCAATACAGGAAGTAGTGTAGCAGCGAGGTGCAGCAGACCGGAGTTAGCAGCTTGTCACCGACCTGCAACCTTTTTATTTACCGTAAACATGATCTCCTAACCTTTAAAATTATAATCATTTCATTTCAGTCTTGTTGCTCATTGAACAGCTACTTTTATAGCACAGGAGAGCAGCTGGTGTATGTGTTTACAGTGCAGCCAATCAATCTCAGGTTGTTTTAATTAATCAGCCTCTCTTCTTTCCATCATGCCAGAACAGCTGCAACCTGATTTCATGCTGTACACAGCACCTGTAGTTTTCCACACAGTAAAAGCACTTACCTTGTTGAGGAGTTGGAGGTGTGCTGCTTTTTTAAAATCATCTAAAAATGACTGTTTCTTTAGTTTTGCTTCACGCTAACCTGGGTGAGAAATACTTTGTTTCCTTCGGCTGCTTCACAATAAAAGCCACCTTGTGTTTCACCAGTTGAATGGTTTTAACGTGAGGCAGCAGTAACATGTTGGGTCAGCATTAGCACTGACTTCATACAGCTCTGATACGGCTGGAAGAGAGTGAACAGAATAAATTACAACCAGTAACAGTGGATGGCGGACTCCGCCACTAACAATGAAAGCTTCTATACAGAGCAGAATGTAAATGCATTGACGGGCTATTGCAGAAGAAATGCTGACCAGAAAGAATATTTAAAAAATCAGGTTGGGTTTTATGAAAAAGTTTAAGTTTAAAGGATTAAAACTTAAATGTTTTAGTTCCCTTAACCTAGCCAAACCTTCGCCATAGCTACAATCTTTCTCTAACCGTAACCATAACTAGCATGCACAGATAATGTTGATGTGATTTTAATAATGTTGGCGCTGGATGTAAAAGAAGAAAAAGGTGGCATCCATCTCATTTTTAGGAGAACTTAAATACTGAATATTAGTACGCAGTGGAGGGATATAGATTTATAATTCGTTCATCGGGAGGTCTGAACTGTACTGCATGGTTTACTGCGGACATTATAGAGAGGCATGCAGAGTAAATGATCGGTAGGATAGTATGATCGGACTATCATATGATTTGCTTTTATTACGTCCATGCATATTGTCCGTAACGTCACCACGAGCCCTGCTCTCTCTGTGTACGCTCTCAGATCCATTTATTAAAACTGTAGATCATTTCTTTTCCAGATGAAGTTTTAAAGTTTTCTGTTGGATCGGCTCAACCTCTGAATGCCCCCCCTGCAGATGTATATAACTTATTATATCACAGAGATCAGCGGCTTTTATAAGGGAGGTGTGATCTGTGGTTGTTTTATAAATGTACCGCCTTACTGTGATTGCCACTCTTTCCTACTCTACAGTGTGTGAGTACCAATAAAGTATTTGAACTTTTCTTAAAGAAGCCTATTAAGTGTGTATGATTGATTGATTGATTAAAAAATATAAAAATACGTGAAACAATTGTATGAAATTATCATGAAAACTATTCAGAGGAAATAATTGCTCAGAATTCATCCAAATATCTGGTTTTAAACTTCCTTCATTGTTGCTCTCTACTGTTAACGTTATGTATTGAATATAATATGAAATATACATTAAATATGTCACTGTGTAGTCAGTTTATTCAATGATAAAATAAAAGGGTCCATTAAGGAAATAGTTTGGGAACCAGTGGTTTAACTGTGTTTACTGGCAGGTTATTAGTTCAATATGTTATTTATACACGTAAAGCACATAATATGACTCATGTTAACTTATGTTCTATGGTGCACTATTATTATTGGTACGGTCAGAGGATGAAGAGGAGGCAGAGGAGAGTCTTCTTCTTCTTCTTCTTCATCCGCCGTCACGTGACCTCCCTGTGACGTCAGCCGCCGTCAGACTGTAAAGATGGCGACCGAAGGGACGACTCACCTCCGCCGCCTCTCTGCGCCTTTGGCCGTTGTTCTGGCCTTATTCAGCGCGTTGAACGCGGGGACTTGCGATGAACAGGTGCCGCTCATTATGTGGACAAGCGAAGGGTAAGAAAATGTGCACTTTGTGTTGGTTGTTACCCCCCCAGCCCCCTCCCCCCCGCACAGAGCAGGTGGGGGTAGCTAACGGTTAGCAGTGTCAGTGGATGGGCGGTAAGCTCTCTGCGGGGACACTCACACACTGTTTATGTTATATTACATTATATAACCTTATATTACATTATATTACCTTATATAACGGTATATTGTGTTTGATTAAAGCGGGTTAATGATTACATTGAGGGAGAACTAACATGAGAATGACCGACAGGTGCGTCCCAGCTGTCACCTGAAGATGAGCAGTGTGTTATTGTATTTAAACTGTGCACTGGAGAACCGTCTGCATCCATTTTACTCTGTTTCATTATCATTTTAAAGCCATTTTACTCTGTTTCATTATCATTTTAAAGCTAATTTGTGATTATTTCCATTTTCTGCTTCACTACATTTCAAAGGGGAAATCTTATAATTTATAAATTATAAAAGGTTCGAGTATCTTTGAGGTTTCCCTCATTTATAGTGATGAAGAAATCCTAATAAAATTTCATTTACACTGAATAAAACTATTAAAATCATGATGATGTGACATTTTTTTGTTCTCTTTAATCTGGGGAACAAGATATTGTAGACCAGTTTGTCCCTGCAGCACTACAGTTTATTATTATTATTATAATGTTTATCACGTTTTACTTCTGCAGTTTGCATATTAAAGTTGTGCAGCCCTCCTCCCCAGAGTGGGATCAGTAAAGTCTTCTTATCTTATAGCTAAAGTTTAACAGATAACACACAGCCATACATAATATTAACATCTTATTCTGTATGAAACTGTAAGTAATAATAAAGCTATACATTTGGGCTCACATACTTCCGGCTACAATCCTTGTTTGGATTAAATAAAAGAGTAAAAATCGTTTATATAATGAATTACACTGAATATTATTTGTATCTAATTGGTTATAGATGGAGTTTTTGAGTATATATTCATACAATATATTAATAATAATCGATATGAAGAAATCAGGATGCATGAAACAGTTTTTATTGTGCAAACTGCAGCGTAGTAAAGACAGAACTTTAAAACTTTAATGTTGCTTCCTATTCAGAACAATAACACTGTAAACTGACATAAAATACTCAAAGTATTCAAGTTACTGTGTTTGTACATGTTTAGATTCATGGTGATCCACGACTCTTTTATAGGGTAATATCGTACCTTTTACTCGATTACATTTGGGGCTAACAAGGATACAGATTAAACTGCCCAACAGAATAGAAAGTAAAATATAGCTGCACTCCATCTTACACAGTTATGCAGTAAATAGTAGTAATAATAATACAACTTTTACATTGTTGTGTGGCTGCTTTTACTCCAGTATGTGATCTGAACTCTTCTTCCTCCACCAGGACCTCCCTACCGACTCAGTCCCCTCCTACAGCGGGTCACATCGTTGAGCAGCAGCAGCTCGCCGCTTACCTGGAGAAAGCGCTCAGTGTGGGCCCGAGAAATGTAGTGCTGTTCCTACAGGACAAGGTACACACACACACACACACACACACACACACACACACACACACACACACTTTTCTATTTGTTACATTATAAATACACAGGATTTAAATATGTACAAAGGTTTTGTGTCGCAGGCTTCCAACAACCAGCCGTCTACCTCCCTTTACTTTCTCATAAGGCTGCCAGTCGTAACCTCGTAGCTAGTAGTTGTTATTTGTACTGTCAATGGTCGTAACCTACTAACAGTCCCAAAGCTGCCAAATAACAGTATCAGAGCTGCAACTAATGATTATTTTTATTATTGATTAATCTGCGTATCAAGTAATAAATTTGAATCTAAAAAGAAAAATGGTGAAAGTTACCAGATGTCCTAAAAATACCTTTACTCTCACTTGAAGTCAAAACACTGTAATTTCACCTTTATAATGATTCAAAACTCAGAACTCTTCACATTTGTGGAGCTGCAAATACATTTTTAACATAAAAAGTAATAGAAATAAGCGATAATGCCCAACGAGGGAGGACAAAGCCATCCATGATCTCTGATATGAAGTATCAGTGTCGGGGCATTGTGAGGAGAATTGTTACTTCCTTATCACTTATTACTGAGCTTGTCTTTCCTTGTCTCCGCTCAGATGAGCATAGAGGACTTCACCATGTATGGAGGAGCTTTTGGAAACAAGCAGGACAGCGTTTTCCCCAACCTGGAGGTAAGATCATGTCACTGACTGTAGATCAGTGTCTCTGTGTCTGTTTATCATGTTTAAAGTTCCTATCTCAAGTAAACATTAGAGGAAGCCAACGAACCAGACTGACGCTTAGTTAAACACTAATAATCAATAAGAAGTGTGTTTGGTTCACCTGTAGTGAGTATTTATGTGTACGTCTCTCGTGTCTCACAGGGGGCTCTGATGTCCTCGTCCTCCCCTCTGGTGTTACCTGCTGTGTCCTGGCCTGCCTCCAATGCAGTGATTGGCCAGCTGCAGGACCAACTGGAGACCTCCCCTCTGTACATGGACCCTGAGACGCTGAGTCAGCTGAGACTCAACGCCTCCTCGCCCGCCCTGCTGGTGTTCAGGCTGCCCTACGGCATCGGGTAGGCACACCGGAGACACAGTGGGAGAGAGGCAGTTGTTCCAGGGGTCATAACCCAGTCAGATCTGAACACACAGACATGAAACACATCATTCAGTGTGTAGTGATAGTTGTAGGCATACTCTTCATTGAATCAATTTCACACCGATTGAATTAAAAACTAGAATAACAAGCAGCTCTTCCTGTGGAAAAAACCCCAAACATTCACTTTAATAAACATAGACAGAGTTTAAATTACAGGAGAACCATCCAGTCCAGTGAAAACCAGAAGGTAACTGCAGCTGTAATTATAACTGAACCCACATACAGTCCAGACAGGATTCAAATCAACTCCCCTACAGAAATGAATCCACTCTGAACCGGTCTTTATTCACTCAACCCTTAGATTTTAATTGTGCTAATAATTTCCCTCACTTCTCGTCAGTATCTGATTGTTGCATCGTCTGGCTCTTGCAGGGCTGATCTGATGTCTGCAAAAGAGATTCTCAGTGGGAACGGTGAGTCTGACCCCTCTGATAACTGAATATTATTCACATCGTACTTGTGTCTCCACTCATTTATTCAGGGTTTTCCTTTCATTTGTCGCCTGTCTGTGGTAATGTTCAAGGTAATGCCATGCTAAGAGATGAACATATTGTTTTTCAGATGAGATGATCGGTCAGGTTCTGAGCACCATGAAGACCCAGTCGGTCCCATACACAGCCATTTACACAGCCCTGCGGCCCTCCAGGGTGAGTCTATCTGTCAGTGCTCTGTGTTTATTAAAGGTTACATAGCAGTTCACTGCCACTAGAGGTCGCACTAGAGCTCCAGCATCTCAGATCAAAACAAAGGGTGACTCCACTGACAGCTGCTCACTGCTGTATTGATCTAACGCGTCTCTGTTGTTGTGCAGTTGAAGTCACAGTTTCTGATCCAGCTGTCTGTCCTCCTCTGCCTGTCTGTTTGCAGGAGGCTGCGACTCTCTCTATGGAAGCAGGGCTGGGTGGAGGACGCTCTCTCCTGCAGGCCAGAGGCGGGTACAGGGAGAGGGAGAGAGAAAGGGAGAGGCAGCGTAGGATCAAGGAGAAGGCTGGGGTCTACCCTCCGGTGGAGTTTAAGGTGGAGTGACTCTGTGACGTCTTTCTATGCATTGATGAGTTTGGAGCCGAGAGCCACAGACCAACTAACACATTGTTGTTTATTTCATGGGATTTATTAATAATAAGAACAATCTAATAATGGTATTTTCTCCCCCTTCAGGAGGGGGAAGAGTCCTGCATCCTCCTGTGGGCCAAAGGCCTGTCAGTCAGCATCCTTCGGAGCGGTCGCTGGGAAGAACATGACCTGACCCCGTCTACCTTTGGGGAGGGTGTCAGCCCGAAGCTCCACGGCTCAAACTGCGACAAATCCAAAGCGAGGTAGTTCCTGTGATATACTTAAACACTGAGGGAGCTTCTTAAAGGTCCAGTGTGTCTAACCAGCTGAATATAGGAATCCAGATGTTTTATCTACAGACGCTGCAGGTCGTCTCAGCTTTACTGCTCACTACTACTCACTGGTCCTCTAAATGAAATCCCTTCCAACAGTCTTCCTCTCTTTCTTTCTCTCGTGTAATTTCTGGTTCTTTGCAGGTTGGTTCTTAATTACGAGAATGTCCTCGGCCACCGCAGCTTCAAACTGATGTGAGTGTGCATACGACATACATAACCACACAGATACAGTCCTACAAAGTCTCCTCCTGCAACCTTCACAAATCTGTTCAACTTATGTGTGTGTGTGTGTGTGTGTGTGTGTGTGTGTGTGTGTGTGTGTGTGTGTGTGTGTGTGTGTGTGTGTGTGTTCAGCTTTGCGATGAGCCAGCGTCACTACAAGGTGTCTGATCGCCCCTGGTTCACGCTAGACGCCGTTGAGCTGGAGTACGACGGGACCAAAGCCACGTTTAACGGCAGCAGAAACATTTATGCCCCCGCCGAGTACTCGTACCGCTGTGAGTCCGTCACCAGCTTCCGCTGGCCCCTGCTCATCCCACACTCATCTAAAGATCCAGCCAATCAGTGGAAGGTCTCGTTTCAGGACTTTCAGGTAAGATAGTGATTGGTTTATTTATTAATAATCTAATAATTGGTGTTTTGGGAGCCCCCTTCCCACACTGTCCAGCATTGTGCCTCACACAATAAAAAAAGAGACCAGCAGAATGAGCAAAGTTTAATACAAATGATCTTTTACTGTCAGTAGATAAAATGAACTGCTTTGGTGTTTTTATTGTTTGATGTGCAGAATGCGATGCAGCCTCTAGGCATTCTGCCACGAGGCACTTCTACAGCATTAGTATGACCCAAAAGTAGACATGCTCGTTCTGAAGACAGGAAAGTGACGTATGCCTGCCCTCACCTGTACAGGTGTAATGTAAACACAATGAGCCGGTCCACAGATTAACAGCGTGTCCTGTTTTCCAGGTCCAGGGCTTTAGCGTGACCAATGGTGAATTCTCGTATGCCAGTGACTGTGCAGGCTTCTTCTCTCCTGGGATCTGGATGGGTCTGATGACCAGTCTTCTCATGGTCCTCGTGCTCACCTACGGCCTGCACATGATCATGCAGCTCCACACTATGGACCGGTTCGATGACCCCAAGGGCCCGGCGATCTCTGTGCCCCAAACGGAGTAACTGCAGTCGCTCTCCTGTCTTCACCTTCCATCTTTCCTCCTCTCTGTCCCTCAAATGCTTCTCCAACTGCAATGCTTCCACTCCCACCTTTTACATTCTGTTCCCTGTTCATCTGTAGTTGGGCATTATTCACTAATAAGTAACGTTGTCAGAATAAGGGTTTTAGTCATCATTGCATATGTGTCTGTTTATAAAATGTGTATCCTTTCAGGTAGCCCCAGTTTGTGTCTCGTTGGAGTCGCAGTGTAAAGCCTCCGTTACTCAGAAGGTGGTTTAACAACACCGACACCGCGTCCTAACTGCATGTGAGCGTCTGACCATCGCAGCCAGTTAGGACATTTTAATATAAGCTGTTCTTCTTGTAACTCAAACAGAGACAGCAGTAATGTATGAACTTCGGCTTTACAGAGAGTTTCAGCTCCAGCCACAACTTCACGGTTTGTGTTCAGTGTCATTGCTCTCATAGCGTCATTGTCAACGTGCACTAACCTAACTAACCGCAGACACACAGGTAGAGACGAGCTGCTGAACATTTAGCAGCTAAAGAGACAAAGAGTTTGCAGGTTTCATTTTAACCAATTTTATTCCGTCACACAAAATAATGCGTGAATATTTTCCTTGTACAAAAAGAGCAAGAACACATTAACCATCTTTTATTTGGCAGCAGACTGAATATTTTTAGTCTTTGAGGATTCTGGAAACACCTTGAGAACAACCGTATGCGTCATTAAACCTCCGTACAGCCTTCCTCACTCGAGGCACAGACTGGGGCTGTTTTCAGGCTGCTGTCATTAAATGTCCCCCACCAGAAGGGACACAGTTGTACAGACAGGGACAAAAATAATGTATGAAAAATGAACTATGAAATGCTATTTATTGGAGAAACTAATTTGTGTACGTGTGTGTTTACGGTTGTGTTTGTGTCTGTGAATAGACAAAAGGGATCGCAGTCTGTATGGATGAAACATAAATCATATCCACCACATTACACCCGACTCAAAGGGACGTTCTGATGAACAAAGGACCACAGATATACAGTTAAAAGTCTTATCAAACAGGAGCTTAAGTAACTTTTCACTTTTGAACAATGTTGTTTTTTCCGTCATTAACATGAACACTGTATTTATTCCTCCGCTGATGTGCACTGAAATGTGAAATTATTGTTTTTCTGTTAATTTATTTAGTTTTTTGATGATTTGTGGTGAGTATCAATGATGTGAGGTCCTGATTATGGTCCTGTGTCGTGCTGCTGATGTGACCCCAATAAAACATCTGTGAAAATTGAGATTTGTATTTGTATTTTTATATAATAGGACAGTTAATTATAACTTTAGAATCAGAAGTCTCATTGAGGCTGGACGGCGCTTTGTGCAGTCGTGGAATGTAATGAAGTACATTTAGTGTCGTAATCTAACTACAAATTTGTAGTACTTCTACTCCATTACATCTCAGAGGGAACATTTGTACTTTATTGCCTTTATCTGACAGCTTTAATAACTTTAACTTTTTTACACAGCGAATATGAAGAGTTTATAAAATGTTTTTATAAATGAAACTGCTGAACAGTTTCTACAAGCACAGCTGAAACAATTACTTGGTTAATCAATTAGTTAATTGACTTTTGATAAATCATTGAAGTCCTTTTTAATAAACATGTAATTACAAGGAAATATTATCTCCAGGATTGAACTATACCGTCATATTTAACTGTTATATTTGAGTGTAATGATACAGAATAGAAGGCAATGCAAGGTGAGTTTATTTGTGTGGCACAATCAAAAAGAAAACCATTCATTACAGAAGAATAAATGAATACAGACTAAGATGAAAAGGAAATGAATCAATTAAAGGCTCATTAATCAATCAGTCTTGATTACTGATGAGACTGATTTAGTATGCATTTTATTCAGAGCACGTGCATTGAGATAGTTTGAGGTCAGGGATTTGGAAACTTGAAACTTTGGTGGTCGTGGTGTCTGGTGAAGAATCTAACTGATCCAACAATGTGCAGCATATTGACAAAAGTTTAAACATTATTGTGTCGACGATCAAAGCAGCTTAAAACTCGCTCAAGAGGTTTTTAAGAGGTTTTATACATCCAAAGAATTTCTATAAAATCCAGACCAGGCCTCTAATTGAGACCTAAATCTGCAGCCACACCAGGCTAGTAAAGGAGACCTGCCTCTAATTGGGACCCTGAAGTTTTACATCATAATTTTCATCATCAGTCAGATATATACTCACACAGTGTGGCACTGAGTCTGGCGCAGAGCATGGTGTCAGATGACCAGATTTCGGTGAAGAGTTGAAGAGTGAAGTTATGGTGGTTCAAGCAGAAACCTGACATTTATTCTCTTTCGTAAGAACTGCCCCTCTTCATGCAAAACACATGAATATGACATGAATGTCATCCCAGTTCATTCACATTAAGCCTCCTAGTAATTGTCATTTGGTAGATACGTTTCGTGAGAACAAACAAGGAAATGATCAGAGAATGCATGGTTCGGTTCTCTGTTTGCTTCCTTTACACAAAGCCTCCATTGTGCATTGTCTCTTGTTGGGAAAAAGTGTAACAATGGATTAATCATTAATGCAAGACAACTGTATGTGAAAGTTTGGGCACCCTTTGACAAATAACATGCTGGTGATTTTTTTAATTGAAAAGCCTTTCAAGGATATGGAACGTAAAATGATTTCAGCAAACATTCGTGGATAGTTAGTTTTATATCATAAATTGCATCAAACCATAAAAAAGCCACTTTGAATGAATCTGAAGACATCTTCAATGCGTATCGCTACCATAAAATGAGGTCTGTCCGAACACTTTATTTACAGATGTAAAAACACCTACACAAGTCATTTGTGCTGAATGAACGATATAAAAAGCTCGTAAATATGAAAGACACTACAACACAGACCAGTACCGACGCCACACTGTGGCTTCCTACTTCCTCATTCCCCACAGCTGTCCACCTGTGACTTCCCTATGTAAGGTACGTGACTGATTACCAAGTGCACAGGTGACATAACAAAAACAATATTTACACTCACCACACACATACAGGACAAATCGAAATTGGATACCACATTGAACAAAACTGAAAACAACATTATAGCATGTGCAAAAGTTGGGGAGCAAAAGGTTTTGGGCAAACATGCTTGGGGCATCTTGCACAGCTGATGATATTTAAAAATCACCAAAATCTTTAATTTATCAACGGGTGCTCAGACGTTGTCTTTACATCTTTTACTTGTCAAGCAGGAAGCTACATGTTGAATTTATGCATCAATGCATCAAGATGCATACATGCATCTTGATAATAAATTCAACATACAGCTTCCTGCTTGACAAGTTATGATCTTATGAGCATAGTTTGGATTGTTGTAGTGCAAATAAAAATGTTAAAAAACCCAGCTCATAAAGGGGAAGGGAAGCAACATAAAAACAGCCTTTTTACATACAACCACAAATAAGTGAGTCTAAACTACAAAGGAAAAGGACTGGTGGGTGCTCAAAAAACTTTATATAATGAAGTGGACTCTAAGAGCTTATAACTACCTTCCTGAAATAAACAAAAAATGAAAGGCCTCACTAACTAAAACCAGAAACAACTGAAAGAGCAACCCTAAAACTAGTGTTGCTAAGCGAAAGAATTCTGCATGTGTACAAAAATCACAGTCTGACAGCAACAACAAAAACAACAAAAAGACAAAAATGGGGTTTTGGTCCAATGGGATATTTTTCGGACTGTCTGGGCTTCCCTTGTCTGGATGCCACTATAACAGAGTTTAAGCTAAATTCGAGCTAATTCATGCAAAATGAGCCCCGACCAAGTATTGAGTGCATATATGTATGAACATACTTTTGAGTAGGCCGATATTTCTGTATTAAAAATTCTTTTTTATTGGTCTTTTGTAATATTCTAATCTTCTGAGATACTGAATTTTGGGTTTTCATTAGCTATAAGCCATAATCATCCAAATTAAAAGAAATAAAGGCTTGAAATATTTCTCTCTGTGTGTAATGAATCTAAATAACATATGAGTTTCACTTTTTTAATTGAATTATTGAAACAAATGAACTTTTCCACAATATTCTAATTTATTGAGCTGCCAAATCCCCACAAATATTAGCTACAGGACTGAACTATACTGTTTATTTAGTGTATTTTGTATATTTTGTGTATGTATTTTAGTGTAATGATACAGAACACCTGGCAGTGCAAGGTGAGTTTATTTGTGTAGCACAATGAAGAAGGACACAGTTCATTACAGAAGAATAACATGAGATCAAATAAAAACAGACTAAGGAGAAAAGTAAATTAATCAATCAGAGGCTCATTAATCAATCAAAGGATCATTAAATCAAAGGTTTTTTTTTTTCATTTACATTTATGTAGCCAAAAGTATATGGACACTTAAGTTCACAATGCCCTGGTGCACTTGTCTGGCCTTGTATAAGACATTCAACAATAAAGTTTATAGTTTGAAAGTATTTTTCAGGTGTCCACATACTTTTGGCCATATGTTGTATTTGGAATATGAATAATTTCTTTAGTTTCTTGATTACTGCTGATTCAGAATGCATTTTATTCAAAGCATGTACATTGTGATAGTTCAAGTTCAATGATATGGCTGTATCGCTGGAACTGCAAAAGAACAGAGGAAATATTGACTTTAGACAGATTAATTAAGTTACTTACAGCAGAAAAAAATTCTTTTAAGGACATTTTTAAAATGCCATGCAGCACATCATAAGCTTACTTTTACTTTGAAGGGTTACAGGTTATGTTAGAGAAATACATCGTCTGCGTAGAAACCTGTTTTCCCAAAATACTAACTTTGGTATCATCAACTTACTTGCATAACCTAACATACTTATTCTAACTCATAGCAGGAGGTTTTCCTAAACCAAACCAAGAAGTAAACGGGGTTTCGGTCCAAAAATGAAGCATCAAAACATTCCCCCCGTCTGGCTGCCACTATAACAGAGTTTAAGCTAAAGTTAGTGGCTCTGTACTGATCTGGGGACTGATTTTTTAGAATGAACCTGAACTCCCTGAATGACATGTCCTCGTTTTATGTTTTAACATTAGCGCATTAACAACATTATGTGAATATACTGTATAACAGCGTAACTCATTTTACTCTATATTGTATAGTTGATATTTAGCTTTTCGAGGCCACCAATTAGCTTTAGTAGAGTGAAACCAACCCAACGGGGCCTTTGAGCTACTTACAGTGACATGTGTAGGCCACCTCCAGGTACTTGTAAGTGCCGACACAGGGGTCTCCAAAGACCGAATTGCTCGCTTTGATCATACAACTGCTTCTCCCATTACAGCTGTGGATGCAGATTAATGTGAGTGAGCGCAGGTTTGAATGTGCACAGACAACCAAGGAAATATTGTTCCATATTGTTTAACAAAAAGAGTGGGCTTCTGTACCTTTCAGCAACTTTGGTAGTCGGCCTCGAACAGTGGACATTTTTGACCTGAGCGGCAGGACGTCTGTAGGAGCATGTGGTCGGGTCACGGCGTCCATAATCAGCCCCGTACACAAATATAACCCGATCTTCATCTGATCAAAAGAGGAGGAAAAGAAACACATTCAGATGAGTGTTGAAATACAAAGAAAATACAAATATATGTAAAAGTAGAGAAACTGATCTTACCACACTGCATGTTTGCAAAAGAACTTTCACATGCTTCAGTGCGGACTATAAAAGTAAAGATAAATCACATTAAACATTTTGCATTTGTAGCTTTGTTTCACTTTTAGTTTCTCTCAGAACTGTAACTGACCCGCCGGGAAGCAGGCATAGCTGGTCTCTAGGTATTTGTAGATGCCTCCGCAGGGATCAGAAGTACGTACGACTTGTGCGTTTATTTCACACACCTTCTTGCCATCACAGCTGCAGGGAGAACATAAAGAGCTCATTTCCAGGTTCTCACAACTCACACAGCTGAATGTTACTTTTATCACTAGTAATTATGTCAAAGTGGATAACGTTACAAGAACGCTTTTATACAAAAAGCAGGAAGGGTCAATTAAACTGTCAATGTTCGGGCTGTTTGAAGTGAACATTTGAACTGTATAGTCATTACTCATTACATTTAGCTAACTGTCAAGATCAGATTGTGCTATGTTGATTAAAGAATGGAAGAGTAATTGGTCCTAAATAAAATGTGAAAATAAAACAACTGGAGGAGGAATTTTACATTTTCTTGAGGACGTCCACGGTGCCCTTCTGAGCGCAGTGTGTATTGTCAAGCTGGTTGTGAGGTCTGCCCTCACTGCAGGTCTCTCTGTTCAAACGTCCATACAGAGCTCTCTGCACAACGATCACTCCACTCTCTGTTAACACACCACAGAGGGAAACAAGGACAGAAAGGAAGGACAATTAAAATAGTGTCCGGGCAAAAATATAATACAGGAAGACTTAAAGGACGAGGCTGCCGAAATTCTAAGTAGTAAACCTACGTTTGTCTCTCAATACTTTACAACTCCCCCAGATTCTCAACAAGCTAAATTATCTAGCTTGCTCTAAAAAAATAAAATCAATCCCCTATGTGTACTGTGTGTGTAGTTGTTCAGTTGTACCACAGCTCAGGCGTTGGACATTGTCGGCGGTATCGCAGGTGATCACTGTGTTCGTGGACAAGGGGATCAGAGGTTGGGCTCTAGAAAAGCCTGGAATGAAAAGTTTGTTTTATGATTAGTACAAATTTGCTGAATAAAGGGTAAAACCCAAAATGAAGGTTCCTATTTAAACATTTAGTCAGAATGAGTGCGAACAGTGTTAGCATGAGTAAAATGAATGACTTGAATGAGAATGAGCTGTAAAGAGACAACAAAGTACAAATAAGTCAGTAGATTGCAAATGTACAAAGATCAATTGATTTTATTGAAAAAACATGGACTGTCCAAATGATTTGTGATTCATGGATCTAAATGTAAGATTAGAATAAAGGCACAATATGAACAAGTATTGTCAAACAACATTCAAACATCCATTTACCTGATATCATTAGCAAACCTGTTGCTGCCAGCACTGAAAAAGAAAAGTACATTTTTAAGGTTTATTTATCTCGTCACTTCAGATTATCTCTGATATCAAAGTGAGTTTATTTAGCAGTTGTAAGCACTATTGTCCTTTAGGTCCATTCACATATAATAATAAAGCAAATTTTCCAGCAAAATTCTAACTTCATGATTTTTTAGGAACCCACACATCTTAGAACTTCAGTTAATATACTTAATTTGCTTCATTCACTGAATTCAGCCTGCCTTTATTTTTGAACAGGCCTTTCATTCCTTTTGCATAAAACTGTTGCTCAGCAAAGATGGGAAATACAATACAAATGTTTATTTAAACCAGAATGATGATACTTTGGTGGTCGTGGTGTCTGGTGAAGAATCTAACTGATCCAACAATGTGCAGCATATTGACAAAAGTTTAAACATTATTGTGTTAACGATCAAAGCAGCTTAAAACTCGCTCAAGAGGTTTTTAAGAGGTTTTATACATCCAAAGAATTTCCATAAAATCCATAAAAACCAGGCCTCTAATTGAGACCTAAATGTGTAGCCACACCAGGCTAGTAAAGGAGACCTGCTGCTACCTGCTTTTAACTGTTTTAAAAGTTTTACAGTCATTAAAATTTCCATCATCAGTCAGATATACACTCACACAGTGTGGCGTTGAGTCTGCAGCAGAGCATGGTGTCAGATGATCCAGAAAGAATGAAGTTATGGTGGTTGAGGGAGAAACCTGATATTTATTCTCCTTGGGGCAAGAACATCCCCTCTTTATGCAAATCAACACTGTGAGTTGCAACAGACTGAGGAGGAAACGTACTTCAAACAAAACAAACATGTAAAATTAAAAAAAACAAATGTCAATCAAAGCTGCCAGCAGCGACATTATAAGGTAATGACAAAGGAACCATTCACCCTGTCACAACTCTGTGTAACATCAAAATGATTCTGAAGTAGGAAAGTTACATAATGTTGCATTAAGGCTCCAATTTCATCAATATTCACTTTTACTTGTGGGGGGTAAATAAACAAAACACATGCTTGGACCTGTTTGCACCATCACACATTTAGAAATCATATTATTGTAGGAAAAACAACCCCAGTGCTTGGTGGTGAGCTACTGTGTATGTATGTAAATGTAAACTTATTTCTGCATTTTCCTTTCATGATTTTTACATTTCTGTATTCATGTTTGTACAGTAGTTCTTGTTAGTATATAGTGTAGTTAGTGTATATATAGCACATAGATTATTTAGAGACAAGACCAGGCAAGGGAAGGCAAAGTTTATTTTATTAGCATGTTTCAAATACAGAGGAAGTGTATTAAATAAAGCAGATCAGATTTAGATTTACAGTATCTGTATAGTGTTTTTTTATTTAAGTTCCATTGGTTTCTTGATTTAATCTCACACTTTAAACTTAATCACAAAACTGATTCTGCTCAGTATGAATGTTCAAAAGAATTATCATGTAACTGTGTTGTCAATATGTTCACACAGGATCTGCAAAACAAAGAACAGATGGCATATTTATGTTAGATTATTTAAATGACTGCTGCATAAATTCATAAATATCTAATTAATATACTTTTCAAATACACTACAATATTCACTAAACAACTGAATGCTGCACAGAGGCTAAAAGTTTAGTGCCGTTGTTTTTATTTGACCATCTTCCCTTTCACAGATTAGCCTCTGTGGAGGGAAACAACCCAGTAGGGGCCTTTGAGCTACTTACACTGGCATGTGTAGGCCACCTCCAGGTACTTGTACGTGCTGACGCAGGGGTCTCCAAACACAGAGTTGCTCGCTTTGATAATACATCTGTTTTTTCCATTACAGCTGTGGATGCAGAGTGAACGCAGGATTAAATGTGCACTGAGACCCAGGAAATCTGGCCATCATTTAAGAGAAATCTGCAATGATTATTGCACTGAAGTTAAAGGACCAGCGTGTAATATTTAGTGGCATCTAGAGTTGAAGTTGCAGATTGCGGCCCCCTCGCCAGACCCTCTCCTTCGAAGGGCGTAGCAGAAATTAAGGGCCAGTGTTTGTCTGTTCTGGGCCGCAGAAAGATAACACCTCGCTCCCTCTGTAGATAACAGCTCATTATAAGGTAACAAAAACACAATGATTCGTATTTTCAGATGATCATACCCTAATGAAAACATGAATATGAATGTTACACACTGGACCTTTAAATATGACCTCCGCTGTCATCAATCTGAAGTTCACATCACAAAGAGTGGAGCAGCCGTACCTTTCAGCGACTTTGCTCGTGGGGTTTAAGCAGTAGACGTTTTGGGTCTGAGAGGCTGGACGTTGGTAGGAGCATGTGGTCTGGTCACGGCGTCCATAATCAGCACCGTACACAACTATAACCTGCCCTTCATCTAACCAAAAGAGGGAGAATCCAAGAGGCAGAAAACAAAATGAGCAAGTACAATATTGTTTTGAGTATTGAAATCAAATGAAATGTATTAAAAACACACACACACACACCTTTATTTAAACTCAAAAATAATTGAGGGCTGGCAATCATTTACAATATAATATATTATAATAAATACAAGGAAACAAACAATGAATTACTTAAAGAGATAAAAGATAAAAGAAAACAAGTAATTAAAACAACTACAAAAGCAGTTAATGCTCTGATTGGTTGTTTGGAGCCACTAGGAGGAGCCAGAGGAACCGGATTATCTGACTGTCAGGATGTAGTGAAAGTTTCAGCAAATATGAGAACAACAAAAAAAAGGGATCTTACCACAGTACAGTTGTCCCACAGAGTGCTCGCATATTACAAGGTGAACTGTAAAGTAACATAAAGGAGTTAGTTAGTGAACTATTGGAGCTTGCAAGCCAACTGCTAACACGCCAGCTGGGCAGCTACGTGAGCAGACATCCCGGTTTCAAACTGAGTTTCCCAAATCCTGACAAATATCTGTATCCTGTTCTGTCCTACTCATTATTACCAATATAAAAACATGAACACACCATACGTCTGAATTCAGCACTGATTGGTCTGTATGTGTGTCAATCAATCAATCAATCAATCAATCATAAGCAAGCGTCAAAGGTTACTATGCGGATTGATTCACTGCAAACCATCCCACTTTTATGGAGCAGTTAATGCTTAAACAAAAGGGAATGCCACAACACAGCTAACCTACGACAGCTTCCTCCCTTTGAACCATCCTGCTCGCCGTTCCTCTAAAGGTCAGCGCTGTCGAGGTGGTCGACTGCGTGCGCCAGAATTCACCAAAGCGGGTGTTTAATCTGATTACTTTTGTGTTCATTTCATGCAGACATGTGACTGACTTGCTGGGAAGCAGGTGTAGTTGGTCGCCAAATATTTAAAGGTGCCAGGGCAGGGATCAGAAGTACGGACGACACTCGTAGTTAGTTCACACACACTCATGCCATCACACCTACAGGAAACACACAAAGACAGTACAACACAAAAATACTGTAAATTAAATACAGTTGGACCTTCGGCTAATAGCAGCATCTCCTCACTCAGAAACCATTTTCCAGAACCTTTACAGACATTTTCTGGGAGGTTTTCTTAACAATCCAGGTCAGCACTTGCTCACAAACCAATGTATTTACCAGTAGACCTATTATTAAGACATTTAACATCTTATTCCTTCTCTATTCTCACCACAGCCTATTTTTCCACTGCTGTCTCTCAAAATAAGCTTCAGTTTACTATAGTTTTCCTATAAAGCATAACAAAGAAGCTGGAAAAAAGACGTTTTGGACTTTATTGCGTGTGTACCTTTTCCTGAGGATGTCCACGGTGCCCGGCTGAGAGCACTTTGTGTTGGTCAGCTGCTGTGGAGGTCTGCCCTCACTGCAGGTCTCACTGTCTGCACGTCCATACAGCGCTGCCTGCACACTGATCACTCCACTGGCTGTTACACAGTGAAATGAAGAGGAGTCACATTATTTATTATAGCAGAATTATTCAAGTGGATATTAGAAACTATGAACTATTACTAAACTTGTTTTTGTCATAAAATACATTAAACAGTAACAGCAATACTGTACATATAGCAGAGCATACCACAGCTCAGACGTTGAACACTGAAGCCGTCGTCACAGTTGATAATTCTCTCTGTGGAAACATCTAAAAAACAGACATGAACTTACGAGTTGAAAGCAAATACATAAAAAGAAAATATGTGTAATTATTAATATTATGTAATATTTACCTGCTGTCATGAGCAAACACGTTGCTGCCAGCACTGAAAAAGAGACATCATCACTGCTTACTGCCTCACAGAGCGGCTAGCATCTCTATAGTCTATAAATACTAATATTTCTTGTTGACGTCCCATTAGTACATCTCATACTGTGCATAACAATGAGTCTATCCCGCACCCTAAAACTCCAATCACATATAATAAAAATACTCAAATCTTATCTAAGAAATATTCTTTTTAAGAATTTGTATAAACCAAGTCAGTCAGTCAGTAGTGTACTCACGCAGTGTGCTGCTGCTGAGCCGGATGCAGAGCATGATGTTGGTAGCAGGTAAGTAGCAGGTGAGACTGACGGTAGTTGGAAAGACACACCTGTATTTATACAAGAGCTGTATTTGTTTTAATGAACTCAAACACATTAACACATGTCTGACTTACTGGGTGTAGCAGACTGTGATAGAGGTAATGATTTACTACATAGTCAAAGATTAAATGATCATTATCATGAAGGGTATTTACAGAGTGCATTACTCACTGCGGACCTCTCCCTCTGTTCAGGCATATATTTTCAGCCCAACATGAATAAAATGATTCATGGTTTCTTTTAATCATAAGTTTCCTTAAAGGAGAGTATTTAGACTGCAGTTACTCCCACTTTATCAGGCCGTGTGCTTATTGTATGACTGTGTGTCCCTCCATCGTATATGTCCGTATACTGTAGACGAACAGTTGCTCTGACAGCGTTTGGAAAATGCACAGATGTGACTGTTATTCATGAGTCTACAGCCACACGAGCAGCTCTGTGACGTGCTTTCGATCTAACTTGATGCGTTAATTACATTAACATTTATTAGTTTTGGGTTTGAATTTTATACAAAATCTTCATCCCCTGCACATTTGCACATTCTTGAGTTAATTTTAAGATCAAAAAGATTGTTGATGAAGCAGCTTTTATTAGTAATTTTAAGTGACACCAACTTAGTTTTGTAAGTTACAGAAACATTTCTGGTTAAGTACTTTTTACTGGGTATAAGACTAATGAACACAGATGTAAACAAGGCCGCTTTAAAAATACTTGGTTGGCTTTGAGGAAGTAAATGCACTCGACACATTGTTTAGACTTGAGGGATGTTGGTGACTAACAATGAATGTAAACATAACTTTTGTTTGCCTACAGGAAAACTGGAGGAAATCTTTCTTTTTCTTATGTGGACTTCCGTGAACACTACTGAACCTGTAAACTCTGACCTGATTTGAGTGGCTCTGCTGGTTCATATAATTCATAATAAAAGCACTTGAAAGACAGAGTGTAAAAGGACAAACACGCTCTTTTGAATGATTCTGGTAACAAGTGGTGAATTGTATTTGTCATTTATTTGTGTATTTAATTTTTTTTAAATCTGATTTATCTTTCGTGGCAACATCTCAGAGTCGATTTTGCACACTGAAATCACAATTAGTTGTCCTTTTAAAGAACCTGTTATTTTTAAAGTTAATCTTAAGATTTCTTTATGGTAATGAAAGAAAAGGATTGGCAGAGAATGGGGAGGGAATACATATATACAGATATATACAGACTAATCCTTGTATATATCAAGAGTGTTTGCTGGACTGGGCTTTAATATAAAAAGCTGCTACGTACTGAGGTCCACTCATAGCGGCTCTGTGCTGGAAGATGGAAAGTCACTACTGATAAATAATAACAAATGTAAATGGGTAATATGTTGATATCTGACAAGTTTATTTTCAATTTCAAAGAAAAAATGATTTACATAAAGGAGCAGAAAGTCAATAAAACAAATTTAAATGAGAAATACAATCATTTGGATTATAATATATATAATATGAATGGACCCAGAGTTAATAAAGGAAGTAAAAGTGTGGAAGAGAAGAACAAGCTGTATCCTGAGGATGCTGTTTAACTTCCGCTTTAAATTTCAGGTTCATTGGTTTCTTGATTTATCCCACACTTCTGTGTGCATGCATATGGACCTGCAAAAGAACAGACAAAATTTTCATTTTAGACCCAGTTTTATTGCTCCTTTATTAATGATACTCTTTTTTTACTAGTTTTCCTCAAACCGTAACATTAATTTGGCCACAGCCCTCAAGTAACAACTTAAGTAGAATTTATTTCATTTACAGAAAATTCATCTTCTTATCTATTAGCCTATTAAAAGAAGGAATTGTTCTATGTACAATTACTATTGCTGTGCATGTACTTATAAACCACAACAACAAGAAATTTTTCCTCAAGTTCGTTCCATATCTGATAAACCAGACTTGTCATGATCGCAGGTTCTTCTACCAACAGTCGAGTTTAAAATTAAATATGTTGGTGATCTGAGCCGTAGATCTGAGAGAAGGGCTAAAATACAATTTCCAGGCGTTTCCATGACTGGAAAACTAGTCCAGGACATGTGGGAACCCTGCTGAATGCTTCTGAACTAACAGAACTTGTAAGTTTTGCCTTATTTTCAGTAGTTTTTTTGTGTTTGCAACATTATGTGTAAATAGCTCACCTCATACTGTATACTGTGTGACACCTTCATGTGCACATCAGGTCCACAGACTATCCTCAGCAGAGTAAAACTGGCCTTTAAGCTACTCACCATGACACGCATAAGCCACCTCCAGGTACTTATAAGTGCCGAAACACGGGTCTCCAAACACTGAGTTGCTCGCGCTGACCGAACAGCTGCTCTTCCCGTTACAGCTGTGGAGACAGAGAGATGTGAATGAGGCTTGAATTCACAATAAACCTGTTCTAGTTTAAAAATAATAAGAATAATAAATAAAAAAAGGAGTGGGCAGCTCTACCTTCGAGCAACGTTGTCAGAGGAACTTGAGCAGCTGGCGTTGTGGATCTGAGACTGAGGTCGTTCAGAGGCGCATGTGGTCCGGTCGCTGCGGCCATAAATGGCACTGTAGACGGATATAACCTGCCCTTCACCTGAGAGGGAACAAACATTAGAGAGGAAGTAGAAGTAGTTCATGCAGGTTTGAGAAACAATAAAATGAAATTATGATCTTACCACACTTCAGGCGTGCCACAGACCCTTCACATGCCACAGTGTGAACTGTCAAAATAACATGAATATTGTTGGTATATCTGCATTCCCTACCATACATTTTTGTATATTATTGTCTTCAGTTAAACAAAAACAAACAAGGACTTACACTGACACCTGTAAGTCACCTCCAGGTACTTGTAAGTGCCGTAACAGGGGTCTCCAAACACTGAGTTGCTCGCACTGACCAAACAGCTGTTTTTACCATTACAGCTGTGGATGCAGAGTAAATGTAAAATCTAAGGTGCCATTTCACAGAAGATGACAGTGGGTGGCATCACAAATTTTCCTTCTTTACAGCCATCACTGTACTGCAGTTCTTAAGTCTATTTTCCTGTGAGTGCAGCACCTGTACCTTTCGCCACTTTGCTCGGGCCTCGGCAGTGGACATTTGTGACCTGATAGACATGACGTCCGTAGGAGCATGTGGTGCTGTCACGGCGTCCATAATCTGCCCCGTACACAAATATAACCTGACCTTCATCTGACAGAAAGAGGAGGACATATTGATGAGGTAAAAAAATATATGTATACTGCAGATTAGAGAGCCAGGTGACCAAAGTTAGATATTAAGATGGATGTTGAACATTATTTAGGGATGTCCCAATCAAGTTTTTGGTCCCAATCTGGGTTGGTATATGTTGAGTATCTGGCCATACTGACACATACTGCCCAGAGCACACTGGAGCTACAAAGTGAGATAAGATGGTAATGAATCCTTAAAGAAATGTTTGTGCCAATGATTCTCAGTAAAATAAATATATTGCAATGTTAATTAAATATATCTGACACATTGAAATAGTAGTGAGCTACTAAATGTATTCATACCTTATTTTTCACAAGCTACTTGATCCAAATACATACCAGCTGTCATTATTTAAGCTAATGTTAATCCTGTGTGTAATTTGATTGCAGTCTAACATTAAACTTGCCTCATTCAGTTTCAGTAGTCACATTCTTCTTCATATCACATCACATCACATCTATAATTTCTGATCAGATCAATATTAGAAAGCTCCTAGCTGAATGATTTGTGTACAATTTCTTAAGTATTAGTGTGTATTTTACTGTATCAATTTGTGTGTCAAAACTCAGAGTCTCCAGTAATGGTGTTTAAACACATTTAAAGGTCCAGTGTTTAGGATTTAGTGGCATCTGGTGGTGTAATAATAACTTTCACTCTCATATCCAGTGAAATGCTGCACTGTAGAGGCTGTCGTGAGGAAGAGCAGCAGGTTGAGGGGTAAAGGAAAGGTAGACATGTTATCAGGTTTATGTTAACCACCACTAACAATTAAAATCAGCTGATCAGCCCAGATCCAGAGCCTTAGGGGGACTTCTATCATTAAATAAATAATGCTTATGTTGACCACAATTATCCATTAAACATAAATAGCGATCTTACCACACTTCAGGATTGAAGAGGATATTTCACACGTGACACTGCGAACTGTCAGAGAAAGGATGAATCACATTAGACTTATTCAACTTTTGTTTGTTTCACTAGTTTCATGTATAACTGTAACTGACTTGCAGGGCCACAGGTGTAGGTGGTCTCCAGGTATTTGTAGATGCCATAGCAGGGATCAGAAGTCATGATAGTCTTTGTGTTTATTTCACACACCTTCTTGCCATCACAGCTGCAGGAAGAAGATGAGGAGCAAAATCACAATGCAAATGACACTGGTTTTATATTACAGCGTTAAATAAATGTATCAGGTTTCAGTGCTGTCAACACCTTTAACACTTAACACAAAGACTGTACAATAACAAAGTAACAAAGTTGGTTGTGTACCTTTTCCTGAGGACGTCCACGGTGCCCGGCTGAGAGCACTTTGTATTGGCAAGCTGCTGTGGAGGTCTGCCATCACTACAGGTCTCAGTGTCTGCACGTCCATACAGAGCTGTCTGCACACTGATCACTCCACTGGCTGTTACACAGCACAACAGAGCAAAGATGCAATGGATAACCTGTTTGATATAATTATTCTATCATTCGATAGTAGAAAGGAAGTCATCAAATAATACATACACACAGTCCAATAATGACGGAGTGCTGTATTATTAGCCTCTAAAAACCTAGACAAAGCAATGCTTTGTGATAGTGAAGCCGAACGGCTAGTAGCCCTCTCAAAAGTTAGTCTCCACTGTTTCAGGCCATCCGGCCTCTTTGCCACTCATTAAGCACCATGAAATCAAACAGTGACTTTCAACAAAGATGACGTTAGTTACTGCCACTTTAAGACAAGATGCTGTGGCACGTTTACAGCCAATTCTAAATTATACTGCCAAGTTAGACCCTGAGGCGTTCAAGTCGAGTCACGGTGGTCGATCAGGATGACAATTCAATAGGTAGACTGTAGCCCAGAGATGGCTTTTCTTACACAAGCTTCTTGTTTAATTTTTCCTGTTCTTAATCACATAGAGGACCACTAGGGCCCCTGGTTGGGGGTCTAGGGGTCTGGTCTGACACCTGTGCTACTTCCGGACTGGTGTTAGTGCCAGTTCGGAGTTGTCACAAACCGGGCTGTGTGGGTGTGGTTTGAACAGATTTGATTGACAACCTAAAAATAATAGATCTCTTATCAGTTAGAAAATGGGTGGCCTCAAAGCCTTAACAATAAAACTGTAACTTATGAGTGATGTCTTTTTGGGTCTTCCAACAGTAAAGTACCATTTACTGTACACAGAGAGTTTTAGAGGGTTCAGTCATACCACAGCTCAGACGGTGAACATTGTGGGAGCCAGGAGAACAGGTGACGACTCTCTCTGTGGACATGGCCACCGAAGAACCTGCAAAGAAAAATTAGTTTTATTAATAGAATATAACATTAATTAGTTACAACCAAAAAACAGATTGTGAAATCATTAATGAGTGAACACAAGAAGCACACAAGTAATAAAAATAATCCATATTGATCATTTTCAAATCAGACTCATTGGGCACAAAACACAGTAAAGTCTTTCAGTTCAGAATATTTTGTCAGTATTACTGTCAATAAATGCTCCATATTGGCAGACATAACCAAATCAAAACTAAAGTCCTGTTCTGAAGACTGCTTAAAAATGTATATATATGTTTAAATAACATTTCAGTAACTAATAAAAACTGGAGATAAATGTAGACAATTTCTTCAATTATCTGTGAAATGTTCAAATGATGCATGAGAATCAATAAGGCTCAAATACACTGCATATAAAGTATAAAGTAAAATTTACACACACACACACACACACACATGCATTAAAAAATACTGTACACAATACACACACACTCAGATATTTACCTGCTCTGAAAAGCAAACACGTTGCTGCCAGCACTGAAAAAGAAAAATCACTGTCAGACTCTCTTGAACACATATAAAAAAATCATATATTAAAAATAAAAATATACTTTAAGGAATCTTGAAAAATAGAGCTTTTTATCCTGTGACAACCTGATTTGACATTTGCACATTATTCATTGCATCCTTATTAAACTTTAATTAAAACCTGACCTCCAGAAAGCCGTATTCTATTCCTCAGGTAGTTGTGTACTCACACAGTGTGGTGCTGAGTCTGAGGCGGAGCATGGCGACAGAAGATCTGCTGGTAGCTGAACAGTGAGAATGACGGTGGTTGGATTGGACCTCACATTTATACAGTTAATAACGAACGGAAAGTGAAATTAACGGTGAGTGAAATTATTGTAAACAGTGTGTGTAAATAATACATTATTTAAACAAAACCATCTGCCAGTAAGGACACAGTTAAGACACTCCTCTTTTAAAACCTGATCTTTATTAAACAAACTGTCCAGAGATTCAGCACCAACAGACTCAACATCACAGTCAGAAACAAACAGGCAGGAAACAGAGAGGGGTGATGGGGAGAAAATAAACTCACCAAATGTCAAGAAAGGAAAACCACGTTTCCCACATTAAACTAAATTATACCACTGTACAACTTCTGAATTTGACCTTGACCTTGTCAAGCGATCTTAAAACACACTCCATTCAAACTGGGCAGAAAGAAAATAAAACTCACCAAACAGTCTTTACACTGTTCCACCAACTCTGGTGTCCAACCACCTAACAGAGTTGGACGTGAAAATATTCTGACTCGATCTGTCGCTGCCTCTCTGATGCCCCTACCCTCCCTCGCTCATCTACCGACTTCATGCCTCTCCTCTCCAGGCCCTGCTGTGGCATTATCTTCCCCCGGAGTTAGAGTCTTGTTTGGAGCCACTGCGAATGACTTTATAACTTAATTGGAAATAAACCATTAATTGTAATCAATCTGTCAAAAATTGTAAATTAGAAATTGCCTGGCCTGGTAAATAAAGGTTAAATGTCCCCTTAAAACTCTCCTCTCAATGCCAAATCAGTGGCAGGAAGTTGTAACTTAAAACAAAAAAGTGGTTTTACAGCCTAAGACTTGAAACATTGGTAAGAGTTGGTTTAGTATCTTTCATCTCTCTCTCTCTCTCTACTGAAACTTAAAGGAAACACTCCGACCAGCATCCTGTAAATTACAGAAACAAGTCATCCTGACTGTCACTTATTTCCTTGTCTGGCAGAACAAACAAATACAAGCTTACAGTAAGAGCCACGAATGAGGAAACCGCAAGAACCAGATCAACAAGAGGATCATTCATCCACCTAACATAAGATAAGAGGGTTTATTTGTCACATAGTGAAATGCACCTGTCATCATTCTCATTATTCAGTTTGTACATCCGTGATTCCTCCTTCTTAGTCCCTCCCACCAGAGAGGCGAGTGCAGAAGGCGAGGATATACAAACGGGCAAATAAGAAAGGCCTAATGTAATAATGTGACAAGAATGTACGGATGTCAAACATTTTTTCACTTTTTCATGACCGGTAAAGCTGCTGTTTCATGATGAAGTTCAGTTTATTGGACTAGTATATATATAAAATATACATTTTTCATTGTGATGTACTTTCAGGGGAAATATTACTCCAAACTCCCTTTAAAAATATGACACACTAACATTTGCTGACGTGTCTGTAACACAGAACTCTAGAAGCACAAGGTAAAGAGTGTCGTATGTCGACAGTCTACTTGTCAATTCAGCATCAATAAAATCCATAAAGATAAACTTTTCACAGCTTCTGTTGAAAGAGAAGCAGAAAGAGACGGGACGAGGCAAGCTGGTCTGTGTGAGACAATAAAACATCACAATAAGGTGAATAATCAAGCAGAATTAAAAAGGTGAAATAAGAACTAACTTATAGAAATAGAAATATACCTTCTACAGTTAAACTGTAATTCTGTGGAAACACTGTTGAGCTCTAAGCTGCTCCCACTAACCAACAACAGGCTGTTTCCTGCGAATAAATACACACTTGAATTGAATTGTAATACTTTATACACAATGATATTAACAATAGTATATAATATTAAATAAATAAGGCTACACTATAAACATAAGGCCTTAAATAGACCCGGTAAAAACACACATTTAGACATTTAGATAGGCACGTGGATTGTCATCATATCTTAGTCGTTGTTTTGTTGTGTGAGTGATGATTTGTTTTTATCTAAATCCCCTCTTTCCCCTCCTCTCCCCTCCCCTTTCATAGTAGCTTTACGGTAATAGCGTCTCAGAACTGGTTTCAAAATGAAAGCCCGCCAAAGTGTCAAATATGAGACTAATTACATATGATTTGGGATTCAATTTAAAAGGAAACGCCCTCTTATCACAGACTAATTCCACTTCAGGGTTATAGTGCAGGACCCCATGGTGTGACCCAATAAGTATCAAGACATTCTGATGTATAGTTTAAAAATAAAACCCTGTGAAAGTGTCAAATATGAGACATATTACATATGATTTTGTATTCAATGTAAAAGGAAACGCCCTGTTATCAAAGAATAATTCCACTTCAGGTGTAAAGCCTCGATTACATCACTGCTGGAAGTTGTGTTGATGAATCAGATTTAATTTATCTTTAATCAATAAATGTAACAGGTGAGTTTCTAGTGTTGTCTGCGTTGTGTTATGATGAAGAGGCCCAGACCAGGATATCTTTGGAGGCGATCTCCGTTTATTCTGACAAAAGGGAATTTAAAGACAAACTAGCGTATTTGCATTTCCTGAAGAAAATGCTTGTGATTGCTGCTTCTGAAAGAATCTAAGCACAAAGTGTTTCACATCTGAAGATACCCCAAAATCTGTCAAAATAGTGTTTAAAAGAAAAAAGGGAGGGGAATAAAAAAAAAAAATTTAAAAAAAAAAAAAAAAAAAAAAAAAAAAATAAAAAAAAAAAAAAAAAAAAAAAAAAAAAAAAAAAAACCCCAACCCAAAAAAAAAAAACAACCCTCCCCCCCTTTTTTTCTTCCCCCCCCCAAAAAAAAAAAAAAAAAAAAAAAAAAAAAAAAAAAAAAAAAAAAAAAAAAAAAAAAAAAAAAAAAAAAAAAAAAAAAAAAAAAAAAAAAAAAAAAAAAAAAAAAAAAAAAAAAAAAAAAAAAAAAAAAAAAAAAAAAAAAAAAAAAAAAAAAAAAAAAAAAAAAAAAAAAAAAAAAAAAAAAAAAAAAAAAAAAAAAAAAAAAAAAAAAAAAAAAAAAAAAAAAAAAAAAAAAAAAAAAAAAAAAAAAAAAAAAAAAAAAAAAAAAAAAAAAAAAAAAAAAAAAAAAAAAAAAAAAAAAAAAAATAAAAAATTAAAAATAAAAAAAAAAAAAAAATTTTTGCCCCAAAAACCTTAGAGACTCACTGTCTAAAGATATAGTTACTCTAGATGGCATTAACTTGGCCTCTAGCACCACTGTCAGGAATCTTGGAGTTATCTTTGATCAGGATTTGTCTTTTAACTCCCACATAAAGCAGACCTCTCGGACTGCCTTCTTTCATTTACGTAATATTAGAAAAATTAGACACATACTATCACAGACAGATGCAGAAAAACTAATCCATGCATTTGTTACTTCAAGGCTGGATTACTGCAACTCTTTATTATCACGTTGCCCCAATAAGTCCATTAAAACGCTCCAATTAATTCAGAACGCTGCAGCACGAGTACTGACAGGAACTAGAAAAAGAGATCACATCTCTCCTGTACTAGCTTCTCTGCATTGGCTCCCTGTAAAATGTAGAATAGAATTTAAAATCCTCCTCCTCACGTATAAAGCTCTTCATGGTCAGGCCCCTTCATATCTTAAAGAGCTCATAGTACCCTATTACCCCTCTAGAACACTACGTTCTCTGAATGCTGGGCTACTTGTGGTTCCTATAGTCTCTAAAAGTAGAACAGGAGCCAGAGTCTTCAGTTACCAAGCTCCTCTCCTGTGGAACCAGCTTCCAGTTGTGGTTCGGGAGGCAGACACCCTCACCACATTCAAGAGTAGGCTTAAGACATTCCTCTTTGATAAAGCTTATAGTTAGGGCTGGATCAGGTGAGTCCTGAACCATCCCTTAGTTATGCTGCTATAGGCCTAGACTATCGGGGGGATTTCCCATGGTGCACTGAGCTCCTCCCTTCCTCTCTCTTTCTGCACTCATTCATGTTCCATTAATGCATGTTACTAACTCCACTTCTTCCCCGGAGTTCTTGTGCTTTCTCGTCTCGCAGGTTCTTATCGATCCTGGTGGAGCCTCCTGCCGTGGTCCTGCTAGATTGCCATTGCCAATACTGTTGTTGCTGTGCACCTGTCTGTCTGTCTGTCTCTCTCTCTCTCTCTCTCTCTCTCTCTCTCTCTCTCTCTCTCTCTCTCACCCCAACTGGTCGAGACAGACGACCACCCACCTAGAGCCGGAGGATCTGTCCTAGGTTTCTGCCTTTTAACAGGCAGTTTTTCCTTGCCCTTGTCGCCAAGTGCTTGCTCATGGTGGTACTGTTGGGTCTCTGTAAATAATGTTATAAAGAGTTCGGTCTAGACCATTTGAAAAGTGTCCTGAGATAACTTCTGTTACTTACTTACTTATTACTTAACATTTATTTTCTTATTCTTCTACAGCTTTATTCTTTTTTTATAGCACTCCTATGACTATTGAGCTTAGGTATGTAATGGTTATATAAACAAGTGAGACGGATTGCCGAGCAGGATATATGTGTTTATTGATTAAAGGTAAATTAAATCAGATTTGTCAATATAACTTCCAGCAGTGATGTAATCGAGGCTTTACACCCTGGTGGAAGTGACATCATCAGTGGGGGTGTGACATCCTTCATGGCAGATGTGTGTGATTGTTACAGGTCCTTGGCACAGACGAAGGAGTTCTTCCGGGTACACTTTCCATCATTGACAAAATCTTTTCCTGTAGAAAGAGGTTAGAAATAAACAAACATTAGAAGCACAAGTGTTTACTGTTTATTAATTAATCTAATGTAAAAAAAATAAGTAAATTAGAAGCAAAACAGAATATTAATAAAAATGTAAGGTTACGTCTGTCGGTCAGTCACTGTCAGAGATACTATATTATCTATATCAATAGAATATTGTCTTTACTGTGACACCTGCTTGCCTTTGTACATTTCAAAAAATAACAATCAAGAGGACAACAGATAATTAATTTACCTCCAAGGTTTATCTCCATACAACCTTCTCCTCCATTGTAGTTGTTAGGCTCTCCATTAGCCCAGCCATTAAAGACAAAGTTTGAACCGTCACTCCACAGCCACACACCCTCCTGAAAGAAAAAGTTTTAAAGGTCAATTTACTAATATAAATAAATATCTTTTTAGTGTAGCCACCTAACAGAAGAATATATTCAATGGCACGCAACAAACATTTGTAACAGATCCTGTTAATTGATCAAAACACTCACCTTCACTTTATCAGAGGCTCCAACCCAAGTGGTTTTATGTGAGTTAGTCACTTTGTAAATCAGGTCTCGGATGAAGGTGTACTCGCTTTGGGTACGCAGAGAAGCCAGATTCCCATCAAAAGAATTGCATAAACGCTGATGAGGAAGACAATGTGCAAACCAAAAAGACAAAGACTGTTTGAATTCTTAACATCACTACATGAACATCACTGTACCCTCCACTGTTTGTACCGACATTATAACCAGTAGCTCAGGGTTTCTACTCAGTAATTATCTTCTCTTAGTAATTAACACTAAATAATATTAATAATAGTAATATTTAATGTTTTAACAATAGAAACCCACAATGAAGGAATTCTGTGTATTTGTATAAAATGTTTACATTATCAGTGTCTAAGACAGCCAATTGTAAAGCAGTTGCCCTACAAATTACAAATAAGGATTTCTTTGACTGCATGATTCTTACAATAGAAAGTGGTTTTAGAGCATATGTTATAAATACAGGGTGACAGTTGTTGGGGTCTAGTGATAAAGTACCTCTGCATCAGCCCAGTCCTTTTCATCCTTATTGAACAGGTAACAGCGGAGATTAAACTGAGTCCAACCAGGAGGGCAGGTGGCAGTCTCACAGCACTCAGCTACAAAATAATCATCAGCTTAGAAGGACAATAATGCAGTAGGGCACCAAATAATGACTATTTTCAATATTCATCCATCTGCCGACTAATCAGATAGATTAATGTTGTCCACCCAACAGTCCAAAACAAAAACATACAGAATTTTCTATCATACTGTAAAAAAAAAAAACTGTTGCATTTATTATTTGTTATTTCCTTCTGCTATTAAGATGTGGTATGCAGTATGAAGATATGTGAATGACACTAGGTGAGGAATAATCAAGGTTCAGACACAAGAGCTTTCGTACAACTGTTTCAGGGGTTTTTCTTATTTCTGTTTTCAAGTCTAATACACAAGAGGCAATCTTAAAAAGTACATTTTTTTTAAAGTGCCAGCTACTGTATTTTGAGCATTGAACTCTTACATAAATGTAAGAAGCACCAACCTGTTTGTTTCTTACACTTTGCCTGTGGATGTAAAACACAATATTAGAAATTATTCCTGTACAACTCAGAGTAGTTCTTTTTGAAGCTTTAGATGTGTGTAGAGATTAGATTTGTGAGATTACAATATGAGATGTACATTGTACGACATTGTACTTCATGATCACTTGAAACAACTTAAAAAAACAAAATACAAATCTGAATGTTCACTACCTCTTGTTGCACTGATAACTATTGTGAAAAAAAAGGGACAGTGAAAATGTCATACTGCTGAGACTGAAATAGTAATCTTAGTAAACTTAAAGTGTTAAATAATAGTTTTTAAAAGTTTATTCACTAGTTAAGTTTAGAAAATAAATTAAAAACAAAAACTGACTAACATTACTTAATTCAATTAAATTTTTTTGTACAGGGTCAAATCTCAGGACACTTTTCAAACCGAACAGGTTATTAATTTGATTATTTCCAGAGACCCAATAATTGCCAGCTTGAGCCTGCCATCGCGAAATGGCATCTGTTTATTTGACGAGGCAGAAACCTCGAGCAGACCGTGGTACCTGCCTCGACTGGTTGCAGTACATCTGCTCCGATCCACAGTCCACAGAGGAGCACAATGAAATGAAGAGCTGAAGCCATCTCTGTAAAAATATATTAGAGAAATTAAACTTTTCTAATCTACGACGGAGTATTAGGGGCAGTCTAAGAAAAAAAAAAAAAATTTTTATTTATTGGGAAATTATGAGAATAAAGTCGTAATGTTACCAGAATAAAGTCGTAATGTTACGAGAATAAAGTCGTAATAATACGAGAATAATGTAATCGTTTTAATGAGAAAAAAGCTTTGATAGAATTATAAAAATCTGACGTGACCAGCTCAACCAATCAGCATCCTCAGCCTGAGCCCAGCAGCCGCTGTGTCAGTCTCAGTCATACTGTACAGTCAACAGGTAAACTAATGTATTGATTATTTCATCGTTAAACAGTTTTACTGGCTGAGCCAACAGGCTGACAGTTCTTATAAAATGACTACTTTATTCTCGTAATATTATGACTTTATTCTCGTAATCATACGACTTTATTCTCGTAATTTCCCCCCCCCCAAAATTTTTTTTCTCTTAGTATGGCCCTAATACTCTGTCGTACTTATCTGCACAAAGAGTTGAGAATTTAAATTAAACAACTTTAATATGCAAATATGTGAGACAACTTTTACAGAAATGCAGCAATGTAAAGAAACTACCCTAAAACAGATCTCCCCATTAGTTAGACACAATGGAAATAAACTGGAATAATTATATTATAAGCTATTAACTATGAGTTGGGACTGGGTAGTCGCAGTCTTGTTTCTACATTGATCACTGTCAAATAAATCTAAAACTAAATATAATAAAGAGTAGAAGAAGAATCCTTTCTGCAAAGCTGGTGCCATGATAAAAGGTAAGAATTTAAACCTTACCTTGTTGTGATGATCAGATGAGGTTGCACTTGCAGTAGCAGGTAGCAGGATGTCTTGGAAAAGGGGAACACAGTCTTTATATACCTATTCTGGGTGCTTTGATTACTTTACTTACGTGTCATCCACTGACTACGGAATACAGTCTTGTTATTATAATAAATATTATTTTACATGTTGCCACAGCCTTGAGTAAATACAAAAACTGTTCTTTAAACAATGTTCAGGATACTTTATGTATCACTTTCAGGACATGATACACAACAAAAACAAGGAGAGTTAGAGTTACTGAATACATAGGGGTGTTACAAGAAATTGTCTTCATGAGAAAGACACGCAGCCTGTTCCGGTTTAATAAGTGACTCTGTTAACTGGGGGCTTTCAGCCAAATATGTAAACTATTTCAGCTGAAAGTTGCCAGTTAACAGCAGTGCCGGCCCGTGGCATAGGCAGTATAGGTAAATGCTAAGGGCGCCATCCATCTAGGGGGCGCCACAATGGGGGAAGAAGAAAGAACAAAAGGTGCAACTTTCAATATTTTTATACTAAAACAAGTTGGTGCTATTAAATGTCAAAAATATGTCGACGCTTCGCCACAGCTCTACACACACACACACACACACACACACACACGTGGAAGACCAAAACATTGCAGAATGGAGGACGAAACAGCAACCTCCTCACAGAATTCCCAATAAAGGCCCCCAAAAAAGAAAAAGTCCTAAAAAACAGCTCGCTCTAAATCATCAAAAGTTTAAAATACTTCACATTCAGTCCCAAACGTATGTACGTATGACGTAACGTCATTAGTTGCGCTCTTTGCTGTGGTGCTGGTGTGGTATGCCAACTCCATTTGGCAATGTGGGAGCATCTGGGGCGGAGGCGCCCCGTTGTCGCTCGTGGAGGAGACGGTGGCAGGTGGGTGCTGGCGTTGGCTGGGTTGGTTTCATGTTTGTGTGGTGTGTTGTGTGGCTCGGGCTCTGCGCACTTCGGTGGAGCTAAGATGCTAACGGTAGCAAGCAGATTGCAGTAGCTTTTAACGTTATCTGTCTAACGTTAGCTAACTCACGTTAATCGAGTGTTTGTATTTCTTAGTATTGCCTGGCTGTTATCTGAGTGGATTCAGCCAGTGCCTTTGTAATCTTTGTGACTTGTTTAGTTTGTATAGTGTACCAAGAGTTGGACACTCTTTTGTTTGAGACCTTTTAAGTTGCAGATTAACTGCTAGTTTGTTTTTTGTTCACTAGTTTGTAAGCTTATGGGTGCTGATCTCCTTTTGTTCTTTAGTGTCATTCAGTCATCTTCTTTTTGTGTACTAGTTATTTGTCAGCACCTGTATAGCCTCTCTTTTGTTATATTTCATTGTGCAAGCCCACTCTCCTTAGTTAATTAAACACCTGATTTAAACCTGAACCTGTCAATTGTCGCATTCCATCTCTTTTCCAGTTCCAATTGTATGTTACTGCTCTCCAAATCGAGCCGGGTCGTAACATAAATGGGGGCTCGTCCGGGATCAGTTCATGTTATGAAGGGGTCTATAATATATATAATACTCCCACCTTATATTTCTCAGGGACATTTGTAAAGGTTAGATCTATTCAGCAGCTGTTTACATTATTTGTATTTATTATTGGTTAGTTAACATTTGCTCAGTCAGATGCTTTTCCTTTCACACACCTTTATATATTAGAGTTGGAAGCCTTGTTGTTTGTTGTGTTACAGTTCAGCATTGTCTAAAGTGTGTTTATAGTGTTAAACTTTACATCCATGTTAAAGTGCACATCATTAATGTTAATACATTCCCATATGTTATATTATACTGCAGTTTACTGCTTCTTTACATTCTGTTAATCAGCATTTCACTGTAATGACAATAAGATTAAATCTAATCTAATTTACATATCAGAAGAAATTGCACTGTGTATCATTCATGTACAGTACAGGGAAAGTAATGCATCTCTTAGGTTTTTCTTTTTTATTATTTCATTTTGTTCTTGGAATCATTTCTGTTATTATTAGACTGTAACACCCAACTCTTCCTGTTACAGTGGCTGCTGCTGAAAGAAGATTCTCCAAGCTCAAACTCATTCAACCTTACCTGAGATCTGCTATGATGCAAGAACACAGTGGACTTTCCATCATAAGCATCAATCATGTGATCTCAAATCAGTTGTCATTATGATTTTGTAGATGACTTTGCTGCAAGAAAGACTAGGAGAGTACAACTGTAGCAGGTGATGTGAGGAGGACTAGGTGGTGGTGTAGTTTAATTTATTTTATCACTTGTTTACAGTTTTTATTTTGTTTATACTTTGTGTGGGCTATTTATATTTTTTGTATTATTTATTTCTAATGCATTATTTTCTTGTCAACTGTTTTGATTGAGCAACTTGTTTCTCTAAAAATAAAATAAAATGTCAAAGACAAAGCTATTCAGTTTCTTGCGTGAGTATGTATATATGTATAACTGGCAGTGGAATTTATTGCGATGTAAGGGTGGCGTCACCTAAAATCTTGCCTAGGGCACCAAATTGGTTAGGGCCGGGCCTGGTTAACAGGGTTGTTGTTCTTCTGATACCGATACCAGTATTAGAAATTACTCTGATACTGCCTAAAATCTGGTGTGTGTGTGTGTGTGTGTGTGTGTGTGTGTACATATACATCCAATATATGTGCGCTGAGTGTGTTCACACAGACTTCTTTTAACCCACTTATATCGGATCGGTACTCTGTATCAGCCGATACACAAAGGTATCGAACCGGGAGGGAAAAATGGCATCAGAACATCTCAGTATTACAGTATACAGTATTGGTATTCTCTTATATGTGAAACAGAAAAAAAGGTCATATCATGATATGAACAATATTTTGATGTATTTAGCCAAACACATTTTATCCAGCATGGTCTGCACTGAGTTGAAGTCAGTTAAGGTTACGATTGATCAGCTGCACACAGCCACAGAGCTGCTTCTCTCCCTGCTCCTCTAAAACAGGTCCGTGTGGCTGAATCCACCATGTGTCACACAGACAGAGTACAGGGCTGAACTCAGACGGTGTGCAAAATAAATATTTACAGGTGTGTCCTGATCCGATATCAACGACCAGTATTGGCGCTGATCAAGGCTAGATATGTTGAGCTTTATTGATCCCATACAATTTTTTTTTTTTTTTACATCAGGTGTCATATAGCCGTATTTATCCATTAAGTGTACATACAAGGTGTACATCGCTGTTTCTTTCCTCCACACTGCTCTGTGCATGTTAGAGAGCAGCCTCACCAGCTGCAGCGTTTCATCACAGGCGTGGCTGCTTGTGCTCAGAGGAGAGAGATCATACACAACCATACTTAACACAACACTGGAAGCGCAACAAAAGTCCTGCAAACAAAAAGCCAATAAGAGTAATTAATTAATGTAATCTGCGCAAAAGATGTTGATGACAATGGATTGCTTAATCCATAAGCATTGTGTGCTGGCATTTGTTCAGCTGGGGCTCACACTATCCTACTACCCAGTGGACCATGAACTCCCACTTTAGTTCTCAATGAGACAGCGTGTGCTTATCGGGACAGGCAGTATCATCACTTGATGTTCAGCCACCTGTTTAATTCTTCCTGTTCAGCTGCTTATGTTTGGACAAGTCATCATTAATATTTGAGAAGTTTGGCCTCTGACAAACTTGTTGCACAAAAGTATAAAGACTACAGTTATTATTTTCAATGTGTCAGACACATGTTTAATCATCATTTTATATCTCATTGTAATCACTGTATTTACAGGTTGTGAGCATTAATTAGGAAACCACTCAAAACTTAGTGTGTCTGTATTCTTGGCCCCCAAAAGGCGATGACAGATTTTAAATGACTGTGAGGTTTAGTGAAGTTATCCACAACTTTAATGTTGAAAGCTAAAGCTTAAAGGGAAGGAATTATTAAGAGATTTCAAAGGACTGCATAAAATAGCAGGACTGATATTGGATTTGGGTTTGAGAAAATTCTATTTCCCTGCACAGCTGTGCAAGTATTCCTCCAAGACAAATACTACTGAATGTTTGAATGTTGTTAGAAACAGAAAATGTATAAAACACTCAATCATAACCTTAACTGACTTTAACTCAGTGCAGACCATGCTGGATAAAATGTGTCTGGCTAAATACATAAAAATATTGTTTATATAGTACACCAAGCTAAAACTAAAGCAGTCTAGTAAAACAATAACACAATAAATTCTACTTTCATGATGAAGGTTAAATTTGTTTTTGTTTAAACTGTTTAAAGGTCCAGTGTTTGATATTGAAGAGGATCTATTGGCAGAAACTGAATATAATATTCATACTTATGTTAGGATAGGAACAAGGATACAAAAGTTATGTTAGGGAAATACTTCAGGGTAACAGTCTGTTTGTGCCTGGAGCTTAATCATACCTCATTCAGTTTTATTCACTCATCTGTAGCAGTCATTAATTTCAATCAGCAGGTGGCACCATCTCCTCTTTGTTCACTTCTGTCCTTTGTATGGTATCTTATTGCTGCTGTAGTACATGTACTGACAGAAACTAGAAAAAGAGATCACAATTCTACTGTTTTAGCTTCTCTGCATTGGCGCCTTTTAAAATTCAGAATAGAATTCAAAATCCTCCTCCTCACCTAGAAACCTCTTCATGGTCAGGCCCCTTCATATCTTAAAGAGCTCATAGTACCCTATTACCCCTCTAGATTACTGCACTTTGAGAATGCAGCGCTACTTGTGGTTCCTATAGTCTGAAAAAGTAGAACTTCTATATTAGAGACATAACATTTATATAATCGGAGTTGCTAATGTGTACATGACCAGAATGTTGTGTAATACAATACTATATATTCTAGGGCTGTGTCATTTCATATCCAGATAACGATAATAAAATATAGCACATTTTATGTAAATGTTGCAACAGAAAATAAATAAAAAGTTGCTGCTTATTTATGGTTACTTCTTGTACTCTTCACAGAGCCATTGAGTTAGAATCAAGACAATCAAAATAGTCTAAACCCGGACATCTCTCAAATATGTTTTGGAGCTGGAAGCTGCCAGTCAAACGGGTTCAATCTGACCGTATTTTCTCTTGAGTCAGTGAAAAAAAATCACAAGACAAAGAGGTAACACACAGGTGCAGTTAGGCTGTGGGTGTGCTAACCAGAGGAGGAGGATGTATTCAGGTCTATTAAGTAAAAGTACAATACCAAACCCACTGTGAAAATGCTGCACTACAAATACTGCATTCAAAACCATACTAAGGTAAAAGCAAGTAAGTAAGCAAGTAAAGCTTTATTTAAATAGCATTTTTTTTAACACAGAGTTAAAAAGTGCTTTACAAACAACAAAAATAAAAAAACACATATGGGTCTATATATGTGCATATATACATATAAATATGTACGCATGTATGCATAACCATACCCAATCAAACAAGCATAGGGAGCATGCAAATACAAACATAAGGAAGATAAAACAAGAGGGAAGTATAAATTAAAAGAGTCAACAGATGAAAAAACAAAGACGGAGATCTATAAAAAGGCTTGCCTGTAGAGGTTGGTTTTGAGGAGCCACTTAAAACAGTCCACAGATTCAGCAAATCTGAGCGATTGGGGAAGACTATTCCACAATGTTGGGGCTAAAACAGCAAAGGCCATTCACCTTTAGTTTTGCAGTTAGAGCGGGGAATGGATAAAAGGCATGAAGACATGACTTGAAGGTCAAATGTCCTGTACAGATCAAAGATGATACCCAGATTCTTAACAGTGGGTTTAATATTTGTGCGCAATGGTCCAATAAACTGATCAACTGCAGTGACAAAGTTTTCAGGGCCAAATAAAATGATTTCAGTTTTGTCAGGATTTAGGTGGAGAAAATTAATGACTGGATGTCTCAGTCTTTGGTGGAAGCTAAGCACTCATGGAAAGAGGACCGTTGATTCAAGTTACTGGGTTTCACAGAGAAGTAGATCTGTGTATCATCGGCATAAGAGTGGAATGACATGTCATGGAAGTGGCTGAACAAATGACCCAGAGGACGCATGTACAGGGAGAACAAAACTGGACCAAGAACCGATCTATTAGTCAAATAGGAATGAAACCAGTTCAAGATTGTACCAGAAATGCCAACCCAGTTCTTTAATCCTTAAGTAAAATAGCATGGTCAATGGTATCAAAGGCCGCAGTCAGATTTTTTTTAATGTTATGTTTCATATATACACACACATACATATATATATATATATATATGTATGTGTGTGTGTGTGTGTGACCCATGACCCTGTCTCCAGTTTTCCTTCTTTGAACCACTTTCGATAGGAAATGACCTCTGCAGGGGTGTGGAACACCCCACAAGAGCTGCAGGTTTAGAGATGCTCTGACCCATGTATCTAGCCATCACAATTTGGCTCATGTCTTGTGTATCCTTATTTACTATTTTTTAATTATTGTTAACAACACTATATATTAAGTCTTTGGCAAGCAACATGTAGGTGCGAGTTGATTTGTGAGACAAATGTTGAGATTCAAATCAGAGAGATGGTAAACGAATTGCAATACTATTTTTACACTTACTCATTGAGTAAATTGACGACCCCTGACTATGTGGCTTATTTTATAGATACTTCATATTATACTAAACAGCAGAGAACACCTGATAACAACAATACATACTTAATTGGCTTATTTTGACAAATCCAGATTTTGAAATACTGAGATGTAGGCCTACTGTGGACATTTCTTAAGTTTTCTTACACACCTTAAAATCAAGAAGGCCTCGGGATCCCTAGTGAGGGTCCCAACAGCTGGGTTGGCCACCACTGATTTCCAAAGCTTTCCAAGTCTCAAAATCTGCCAGCTACATTTCAGTTACTGGGTGACATGTAAGTTTGATGGCATTGTTCTTACCAAGTAAACAGAAAATGAGTGACTCGAGAGGGAAAGAGATGGAAGAAAGAGAGAACAAGAGACACAGGTCCCTTTCACACCCGTAGGTTTGTTCTGGGATAAAGTATTACCTTGATTGTCTAGCACCATGTGTATCACATTACAGATGCTCATCAAGGAAGTGACAAGAATTTAAAAGAACATTTCCTTGTATGCAAGATAATTCTGCCTCTGCTCAAATAGCTCATCTTTGAGTAGAGTTTGTAAATATACCATCAGTGACCAGTTTACAACACCTGTACAGTATAATGCAATACAACTGTATTGGAAATGTGTTCAATTATGTTTATTACTGAGGTCATTGTTTAAGGTGGTGTTGCACTGAACTATATTACATTGTGATTATATTTTGTTTGTTTTTATTTTTTTTACTCGGCTATGTAGAGGTCTCTACCTCATAGAAATGTAAAAATATATTGCGAGAGTTAAATAGCAATGCAAATATGTGAACATTCAAATCTGTAGGATGAAATGTGAATTGTTTTTATAAATTTGGGATCAAGGCACCAATACATCTATACACACACACACACACACACACACACACATATATGTATATGTATATATATATATATTCACTAACCAGCCATAAAATTATGACCACTGAACTCTGGTTATCATGGCTCCTGTCAATGGGGGGATATATTAGGCAGCAAGTGAACATTTTGTCCTCAGAGTTTGTCCACGATTTGAGCGACATTGACAAGGGCCAAATTGTGATAGTTAGAAAACTGGTCAGAACATCCCCAAACCTGCAGCTCTTGTGGGGTGCTCCCAGTCTGCAGTGGTCAGTATTTTATTTATTAGGGATCGAGCACTGAAAGTGCAAGGACCCTATTGTTCCTCTAGGAATTATTATTATTTTTCTGGGACTTCGACCGCATATTTGGCCCCCGCAGCATGACATGAAAATTTGCACAAAATTCAAACGTAGCAAAAATACCGATATGACATTGTCGGGCGCCGCCAAACGTCTAAGCCACACCCCCCAAAATCTATTCTATTTCAACTAACTCCTCCTACAGGTTCTATTGGATCTACTTCAAAATTGGTCAGTGCAGTCAGTTTTTTTCGTGGAACATTGTCCCCGTGGCGTCCCGTGGCATCCAATTTCAAACCTTCGCCATGAAAGAGGGATTCGTCATAACTTTTGAGTACATGATCCGATCTCAATGAAACTTCACATGTTCGATAAGAGTCCCGCCCTGAATACGTCTATGTGATAATATTCAGTAAAAGTGAGAGCGCCACCTAGTGGTGAAAGGAAATGTCACTTTTTTATACTTTCATGTTCTGCTCCTAGCAGGATGATCAGATCCAGCTGAAATTTACTTATTAAATGCAAAACACATTGTTGATGATATGTGTTGACTGTGGTGAGGGGGCGTGATTGTGGGGTGGCGGGAAATTTTTATGTATCGCCACGAAACACGAATTCGCTATAACTTGAGTGTACATTGTCCAATCGGCTCCAAACTTCACATGTCTGATAAGAGTCCCGCCCTAAACACATAGTAATAGCGCCACCTAGTGGCAACAGGAAGCAACCGCTGCGTGGCAATTTTGAGCTGATTTACGTGAGATTTTCATGTCGTGGTCCGCACGTGTTACGACGGCACGTGGCGCGGCCGCAGCACGCCCCGAGTTGCGTGGAGTGCGAGGTCCCGTCCAACGCTGCTTGCAGCTTTAATTTTCTATGTTATTCTATGAATTTAATTACCTTTCTAATGTGTGAACTACAACCATGCATTGTATAATGATAAATACATTTCACCGATTCCTTATTCAGTGTTCATTTGCTAATGCCTGATGCTCACTTTTGTTCCTTGAAAAAGCATACTTGTTTTAAATGGCCTTGATTCCACAGGTGTTGACTTTTTAAGGAAGTATCAAAAACAAAACATGTAAAGAACATTTCCGTGTAAGCACACCACCACCTCCTTTGCATTTGCTTCCTCCTCTGGTGTCTCTAAATTGTATCACTGAAAGAAGTGTTAAACTGCAATTTTATGTTCATTTATTTAACTTGCCTTTAACTACTAAACTGCCAGAACTCTCCAGAACTGCCATTTCATATCAATATGTTTGCACTCTTAACTCTCACATCTCTTCCTGACACATATAGGTACAGATCAGATATAGATAGGTAAATACTGTAGTAGGTACCAATTATTTGCATTTCAATGTCTTACTATTCAACATAATTCAGTTTCTTAATCTAAAACTACTTGCCTGCAGGAAACAGAATAGTAAGAACGTATATATCACATTTTGTACAGAATTGGCAGTGCTGTTTTCTATCGGTACCCTTGCAGACCAAGGGGGTCGCTCTAAAACCTCCTTGATGGGTTTCCAAATGAACTACCTGATATAGCTGCTAAACTATCGATATGAAATGAAAAAAAGTTTAATCTCCTGAAATTGACATGACAATTTCTCTGGACAAGACTCGTTGGTCTAGCTGAACTACGAAAACACAGCCCACTCCTCATCATAGAGTGGTGTTAGGAAGTTCGACGTTAATATCTATTATCTACAGCTGAAATACTCTGCCATCGTTGACTTTTGTCATTTAAACTTTGAGGCTAAAAAAGAGAAATCTGCTACTTGAGGTTTGCTAAGTATTAAAAAAAAATCAATAAGAAATTGGAGAACCTCTGCGGAGCAAAACTGACAAGAGGAGCAGCTTTCAGATGCCCATCCTACTTAACACCTCCATGCCAACATTTTGTGTTTGTTTCCTTGTTGCAGGTGGAAAAACACCATTGTCCAATGATTTGAAGTTGACTTATTTAACAATCCAGACCACCGCATACTGATGGGGTGTATAAATATGTGACGGCTCCTACTGTTCCAAGTCACACAGCTGTATGTTCATCCTCTCTGCAACAGGCATCACTACAGCAAAGGTAAAATTTCATAACTTACCTACTTCTTAACTTAATTTTATGATGACATTACAGATAAAACGATTATTACTAAAATAGTTCAATCTACAGAAAATTAACCTGCAACTATTCTGATAATCGATTAATCATTTAAGTTGTTTATCAAGCATTCTTTTTGTTTTATCATTGTAAATTGAATACATTTTGTATAATTTTTTATCTTTATCTTTTGTTTTTACTACATCTTGCATCTCTTTACACTTTATAGATACAAAATGTAACCAATTAATCAAAAATTGATTCATTGCTAATAAAAAAGAATCCTCAATTGCAGCCCTATTGACATCAGGTATAAGCTTAACCCTCAATGTTCAATGTTGAAACTTTGGGAAGATATGGGAAATTTTAGGCTGATACAGATTCTAATAATAAAATAAGCTTAAATAACTACAAGGACGAAACCGTGTCTATTTATTAAGGGCCACATCAACAGGAAAGAACAACAATAAAAAAAAACTCCTCTTAACTTGTTGATCCTTACATAAAAAGTCACTGATGTTCAATATAAGACCATAAATTTTTCCATTTCATGCTTTTCCACAGATGGCATCAGGTTTTCACTTGGCTTTCTTCCTCTGTCTGGCTAGCGGACTGTTGATTGCAGGAACTGTAGTAAGTAAAATATTCTTCTGAAGTATTAAACAATCCTCTAAAATGTTGCTGAAAACTAGCCTAGTGTGTACTGTATGTCACTCTCACAAATATGACGGTAATGTCGGTAATTCTATCCTGAAAATCCTGAAAGTTGTTTACCATGAAGCTTTTAGAAGCTACAGCTGAGTGCTGAATTTACAATATATCTGCTATGATGCTCCACAAAATGCCAACAATGGAGCAGCCACACTACAAGGAGATTGTTTAAGATAATGAATGCTAAAATTAAAACTCATGAGTGCAAATTCTAAGTTGTTTTAATAAATGTGTTGTTCATATCCACAGGGGTCCACCAGGATTAGCAGGTCTGCAGGTTGGTAGCTATAACTTATCTATGCTTGGATGTTGTATTTTCAGTAATATTTAACATACAGACAACATTACATCATCTGGTTTGCTCGAAAATACCCCAGTCATACTACAGAGCAGTTCACTGACACAACATCACCTACTTTTATTAATGCAAAAATAATGGTGTTGTCTGCATTGCTATCATACACTGAGCTGCAGTGGGTAATTGGCTAGGCCTAAATTCTCTCCAGGATGGGCCAGGCACACTAAAATTAACACAATGTCCTCTTTCAAACATTAAGTCCTAATGTATGTGTATAATTTAAATGCAAAAATAGAATCTTTAAAATGATTCTGATAGCAAGAGCAAGGGTGTGGGAAGGTGTTAAAGATTATGTATTTATTTTTAAAACTTTAATGAATGGGATGTAAAACTTTCTGACTCAGATTAAATCTGCTGATTCCTTTTACTGTTTACTCTAACATAACAGTTGTGTTACAGGCTGTCCTTCTGGTTGGAGCCGGTATGGTTCTCGCTGTTTCTACATTTTCACCGCTCAACGGACCATGGCTGATGCAGAGGTTAGTCAATAATCATGTTTCAGCTATATGAAGACTGGTTGTATTTATCTGCTCTCCCTCATCTCATTCTTCTCAGTTTACATGCTCTCAGATATTCTATTAATTTTGTATCTGTCTCTCACTCCGTCTCTTCCATCAGCTCATCTGCATCATTCACGGTGGGAACCTGGCCTCAGTCCACAACATCCATGAACACTATTTCATTAGGAATCTGATTTACCAGAGGTATCGCTCAAATGAACGTGCCTGGATTGGGTACTTTGATGCAATACAGGTGAGCCTTTTTTAGACTAATAGATTTGGGATAGATCAAGGGTCTCAAACCTTTTTGAGAGTAAGGTCTACCTAAAGGGAGAAAATGCTGGGAGAGGTACTCTAGATGTTTAAATAGAATATGTATATTTTCCCCTTTAGTAATTCTCATATACAGGATTGAACCAATTTGATTTGGAAGTTACTTTAACACTGAAGGATCTTATGAGAAATCTACTATATGAACTAAGAATATATTTCCTCAGCTCACCTAATTGAGGTAAACGAATTAATTGATAGATCATGAAAATATGTAATTCAAAGAAAGTCATCAAGAATTTAAGCCAACATTTGGAATACAGAGAATGAAGACCAACTTCAGAAGAGCAGAATAGGGAAGCATGGTTTAAACTCATTTAAGATTAAGATTACAGAACATGCTCCATGGGCCCCTCAGACTCTTCGTGGTCTACAAGTCAGAGACCCCTTATAGATCAACCAGTGACCAGTTCTTCCAAAATATCCTGACATCCATGAACAAATCTGTAATCTGCAATTAGCACAGCTGTTCAGCAATCACCTTTCTCTTTCAGGAGGGAAGGTGGATGTGGACTGATGGTTCGGGGGCCACATTCAGATACTGGGCTCATGGGGAGCCTAACAACCGAGGAGGAGAACACTGTACAGAGATCAACTTCAGAGGTACAAATATTATTAGACTTACTGATGGTATTTCTAATTGACAAGAGACAAGTGGTATAGTTATAGGAGTCATTATATGTGTATTTATGTCTTTTTATATTTGTGGCCAATCTCCGGTATACCACAGGTGGCAGTGTAGATCATCACAGTAGGGGAAATCTATTTAGTCACAGATGCAACAGATAGGACAGCTCAGATAGGCACCTCATTGCCGTGCCATTCTTTGGTTTGGAATCCACAGAACATACATCCATTTTAACTTTTTTTGTGAGGGATACAATGGGCAAGTCGAGCCTCCATGCATGGTGACAGGCTTAGGATTTTGAAAGGACTGGAAAGATGGGGCACCCCTGTGTGTTAACTATAACCCTGATAATGCAAATTTACCACAATATACTTATCTTAGTGGTCTTTTTTGCGATAAGCAACAATATGGTACATTAACACGGTTTGTTTGCAATTTAAAACTACTAATTTTCCTGTTAACTAACATCTTCATTAACTGGGAACCTCAACTAACAATAAATACCATCTAGACACCATTTCATAGAAGCACATCTAAAACAAAGGCTGCAGCCAGCTGAGTGACTCGTTGGATCTGGTATCTGAAGACTAAGTTATGTGTTGTATTTTTACTGCTGTTCATACGCTTTTCTTAATTTGTCTGAAGAAGCATTACATTAGAGACATTTAAATGCACTCAACAAACAATAGTTAGTCATAAACTGTAGAGACTTTTATTCTGTTGTGCTTAGCGATTCTTTTCTTCTTACAGGGAACGCTTGGAATGATGAGGGCTGTAACTCCAGGAGACCTTTTGTTTGTGCCAGGAAAGTGTGAAGCCTCCCACCATCTTCTATCATATGTACCATTATGATGTTGCTTCCACCAGTATGACACTACTATGTCTGTAATGTTATACTTTAATAGCAAACTTGCTGTAATGATTCACTTTCAATTTAATGTTTCCACATCAAATTCCTACAAATCAGTAAACAAAAATATCACTCTGATTATTCACTCTGACTAAATAGATTAAAATGGGATTTAAAAATGGGATTTTTTATGAGGGGGAATTTTATTTTTCTTGTGATTTTTTCATTTACTTACTTTACTTATTTTTTAACACAATATAGTTACAATCTCAAACACTGCAAAACAAACTAATTAAAATAAAAATAATCTCTAAGAATAATATGTTCCTTCTTTTGTGTGTGTGTGTGTTTGTCATAGTGAGTGCAGGCAAATGAAAGAGTTTATTGTACACCAGGTGGAATTGTATATATATATATATATATATATATATATATAGACCAAACTTAATTGTGTGAACAATGCATTTAAGCACAGGTTTCATCAGGTTTACCTTGTGGGTTAAGATCATTCATCAGAGAAGCAATGGACACGTTCACCATTTAATGTAGACAATCATTTTTACTGACCTGATGGTTTTATACGAAACCTTAGACTGCAGCTGATGTCAATAACAGCTAAAGCTTAATATATCTTGAAACAAAATGCTTGTCGTGCATCTGAAAAGAAAGGTCCAATAATAGGCGCGCAGTGTATCCCACACATACGCTTTACCTGGGCAGGCTATGCCCAGTAGGGCTGCACAATTATGGGCAAAAACATCACTTTTGTAGACAATTGTTTTTCTTTAATTGCAAAAATCGTAATTGCGATTGATATTTGATGAACCGTGTACCCTACCAACCAGGTATATTAAAGGCCGCCCAAATATTTCTGAGTAGATGTTCACCTCAATTACATTGGAGCCAATAAAGACTTAATCTGTTTTTAATAATTTCTTTGTCAATATAAATTGTTACATTGTCAATGGGGTGAAAAGAGGTAGAACCATGTTTGACTTAATACATTTCGGGTCATATTGCCCACTCCTACCAAGTCACCCAACACCACAGGTAAATTCTCAACCTGTGGGAAAAAAATCAGTGGGTGGGTTATATTAGTTAACAAGTAAACATTTTGTCTTCAAAGTTGATGTGCTAGAAGCAGAAAAAATGGGCAGTGTGAGGATTTGAACAACTATGAAAAAAAAAAAAAAACAAAGTAAGTAGGCCTGTTGCCTGTTGACTTTCCCAGATGTGGCAGCTAATCATTGTGTAATGTTGAGTAGCTAGTCTGACATTAATAAACGGCATTTGAACTTACCTGAACTAGGCTAAATCTAAAATAAAAGTCTTTTTAGGCCGTAGGTGAATAGCTTTAATGTTTTTTAATTTTTATGTATAATGTTATTTTAATAAGCAATGTTAGTGATATAGTTTAAAATGTTAACATTATCCTCCTGGCCTCAGGAAGTCCTGTTGACAGTGAGGAAGGCTAGAAGAGGGAGGAATACAGACAGAAGAAGCAGGGACAGAACAAGGAGGGACAGGAGGCGAGACAGAGGGAAAGGAAGTTGACATGATAATGACATATACAAAGCCAAATCAACCTGACCCTAAAGTTTTGCAAAAACAAGTGCTCAAAGACCGGACACTGACATTCCAAAAAGCATGGTATGAGAAGTATCCCTGGCTTCATGTTAGTATGGGTACTGATGGTGTTCTGTGTTTTCACTGCTCTAAATACTTTAAGACAGGGAAACCAGCACAAGCCAAGAGTATAGACCCAGCTGTTGTCAATGCTGGATTTAAAAACTGGAAAGAAGCACTTGAAAAGTTTTCCATGCATGAGAAATCAGAGGTTCACAAACTGGCTGTTACAACTGCTGCATATGAAAACAGGCCAGTTACTACACAGTTAATAAGAATTCTCCAATGGCTTTTTAATGCAAACCATTGGCCCATAGGCTATTACGAAAGTAACTACTTGAGCGCTAGTTAAAGCCCAAATTACACAAAAATAACTTATTGAGTTGAAATCATTTGCTGACAGCTTGGTCCCCCCCAGTTCAAAGATCCCATCTGCACCCCTGTCCAGAGGTATGACAGCAACCTGCGACATCCTGGTCCAGAGTGAGTATTTGCAGAACTGCAGAGGTTCTGGATAATCCGTGGGCAAGAGGCCATTCGCAGACACCAGCATGCAGTTATGTTCAAAATAACAGCAGTCCAACATCACTAACCAGATCAATCACTGTTTTGGGTAGAAATTATATCCCTTCATGGCAAATAATTTACTAGTAGGTGCAGTACAGTAATAGAAAACCAACAGACCCAACAGTCATGACATGCTGATTCTGTGTAATTGAATCATAAATTGAAAGGGGTGTGTTCAAAATAATAGCAATGTGGAGTTCAATTAGTGTGGTAATTCATTCTGTGAAAAAACAGGTATCAAACGTGTGGCCTCTATTTAAGGAGGAAGGCAGCAAATGTTGTACATGCTGGTTATAGTGTAAATGAGTAAAAAGGGTCGTTCCAGACATTGTTCAGAAGAACAGCGTACCTTGATTAAAAATTGATTGGAGAAGGGAAAACATATAAAGAAGTGCAGAAAATGATAAGCTGCTCAGCTAAAATGATCTCAAATGCTTTAAAATCAATCAAAACCAGAAACACATGGAAGAAAATGGAAAACTACCATTCAAATGGATAATCAAGCCAATAACCACCTGCAGGAGATAAAAGAAGGTCTAAAGTTACCTGTGAGTAGACGCCTATGTGAAGCCAAGCTATCGCCAAGAATCCCCCGCAAAGTCCCATTGCGAAAAACGACATGAGCTGAAGAGGTTACGATTTGCCAAAGAACACATTGACTGGCCTAAAGAGAAATGGTGCAACATTTTGCAGACTGATGAAAGCAAAATTGCTCTGTTTGGGTCTAGAGGCCGTAGATAGTTTGTCAGACACTGAAGACAGTGGATAATGATATGGGGATGTTGCTCATACTATGGTGTTGGGCCTATTTATCGCATACCAGGGATCATGGATCAGTTTGAATACATCAAAATACTTGAAGAGGAGGTCGTGTTACTTTATGCGGAAGAGGATATGTGCTTGAAATGGGTGCTTCAAAAAGACAACGACCTCAAACACACCAGTAAGCAAGCAGCATCTTGGTTCCAGACCACCAAGATTAACGTTATGGAGTGGCGAGCCCAATCTTTGGACCTTAATCCAATAGAAAACTTGTGGGGTGTACTTGTTTTAAATGCTCCTTGCATGACTTTGACTATTTAAGGTTAAAGTATGATAAAGAAAATGTATTTTCTTTTTCAACAATTTGCATTTGCTTCCTCCTCTGGTGTCTCTAAATTGTCTAACCTGAGAGAAGTGTTACCTTAAATTTTTTTGTTCATTTATTTTTTTACTTTTACATGTGTCCAGAACTGCCATTTCATCTCAATATGTTTGCACTCTTAGCTCTCACATCTCTTCCTTTCTCTTCTTCACAGCTCCATTCCTAATTGCAGAGTGGTGTTAAGAAGTTGAATGTTAATATTGATACAGCTGATATAATCTGCCATCGGTCATTTAAATTGAACTCGGAGGCTAAAAATGGAGAAACCTGCTACTTGAGGTTTGCTAAATATTAATAATAATAATAATAACAATAATAATAATAATACACTTTAGAACCTCTGAGCTGAGCAAAACAGGAGCCAAATTGACAATGGAAGCAGCTTCAGATGCCTATCCTACTTAATACTTGCAGTGCCAACAATTTGTTTCCTTGTTTCTGCAAGTGGACAGTGTCATGCCCCTGACATATTTAACATTCCAGGAGAACACACCTTGATGGCTGGTATAAATGTCTTTAGTCCTCTGCTTTCAGGTCCCACTGCCGTATGTTCATCCTCTCTGCAACAGGCATCGCTACAGCAAAGGTAAAATTTTATAAGTTAACTACTTCTTAACTTAATTTCATATGATTTCATATATCTCAGATTAGTCAATTGCTGAATTGGTTAATCGACAGAATATTAAACTGCAACTATTCTGATAATCGATTAATCATTTAAGTTGTTTATGAAGCATTCTCAAATGTTGGAGTTTTTTATCTTTATCTTTCTATTTTACTACATCTTGCGTCTCAAAAAAATGGTGACACTTTATAGATTCAAAAATTAACCAATTAATAAAAAATGTATTCATTGCTAATAAAAAGAATCCTTAAACAAATTTTCTATAGGTAATAAAACTTAGCCAATATTCAGTATGGAAACTTTTATTATATTTTTTATGCATATCGATGCCAATTATTTAGTTGCCTTTGTAAGAAAAATGTACCACGAATTTTAACACTCTTGACCGGAGTGACTTAAAGTGTAACAATTAGGGATGCACCGTATTGGAAATTTTGGGCCAATACAGATGTTTTAAATAACAGTTTGGTCAATAGCTGATGCTTATACCAATCTTTTTTTGTTACATTCACCCTTTTGTGCCAAAGATAGGCATCTCTGCTTTGTTGCAGCTCAGTCTATTTCTCTTCCCATCCAATATGTGAGATTTAGAGCCGAACAACCGCTCACTGTCCATGCTTGTGCACATCAGTTTTTGCGTAAAAATAATTCCAGTGCTGGAAAGGTGCTATAGGTGTCATATTTCTCCAATATCCAGTCACCAAGCCAAATATTGGCTGACATCGATGTTGATATATATTCTAACAACAGAATAAGCTTAAATAACTACAAGGACATAACAGTGTCTATTTTGTAAGAGAACTTGTTGATCCTTACATAAAAAACAATACATTTATTTCATGCTTTTCCACAGATGGCATCAGGTTTTCACTTGGCTTTCTTCCTCTGTCTGGCTAACGGACTGTTGATTGCAGGAACTGTAAGTAAAATGTTCTTCTTTGTCAAGTGCATTCACCCATCTGCACACATTCATACACTGATGGCAGTGGCTGCCGTGGAAGGCGCCAACTGCTCATCAGCACTGAAACTAAGCATTCACACAGATTCAAACACCGATGCGCATCATTGGGAGCAAAAAGGGTTCAGTATCTTGCTCAAGGGCTCGAACCACCAACCTTCTGATTGGTGGATGACCAGTTCTAACTCTGAGCCGCAGCCGCCACTAAAAGTATAATTTTATGCTGAAAATCCTGAAAGTTATTTAGGATGGAGCTTTTAGAAGATACAGCTTCTGGTCTGATCATTTATGAGCTTCACAAAATGTGAATAATGGAGCAGCCACACCACAAGGAGATTGTTTAAGATAATAGATGCTGAAATAAAAACTCAAAAGTGCAAATTCTAAGCTGTTTTAATAAACATGTTGTTCATATCCACAGGGGTCCACCAGGATTAGCAGGTCTGCAGGTTGGTAGCTATAACTTATCTATGCTTGGATGTTGTATTTTCATAGTGTACATATATACACTGAACACAATTATAAACGCAACACTTTTGTTTTTGCCCCCATTCATCATGAGCTGAACTCAAAGATCTAAGACTTTCTCTATGTACAAAAAAGGCCTATTTCTCTCAAATATTGTTCACAAATCTGTCAAAATCTGGGTTACTGAGCACTTCGCCTTTGTGGATGGATAATCTCGGCAAAGGAGAAGTGCTCACTAACACAGATTTTGACAGATTTGTGAACAATATTTGAGAGAAATAGGCCTTTTGTGTACATAGAGAAAGTCTCTAGAAAGTTCAGTGTATATATGTATACTTAAATCTAATGGCAGAAGTTCATCGAGACAACTCAAATACCCCAGAGTCATTCTAAAGAGCAAGGTTGTGGGAAGGTGTTAAAGGTTAAAGTTTATGCATAATGATGTAAAACTTTCTGACTCAGATTATAGCCGCCTGCTGTTTCCTCTTAGTCTAACATAACAATTGTGTTACAGGCTGTTCTTATGGTTGGAGCCGGTATGGCTGTCAGTGTTTCAGAGTTTTCGTCCATCACCAGAGCATGGCTGATGCAGAGGTAGATAGTTAATCACTCTTCATTGGCCGTCTGTTTGTATTTTCCTGCTCTCCCTTCTCTGCTTACATCCTCTCAGATGTTTCATACTGATTTTGTATCTGTCTCTCACTCTGTGTCCCCCATCAGCTCACCTGCGTTGGTTACGGTGGGAACCTGGCCTCAGTCCACAGCAGTGCGGAACACTACTTCATTAGGAATCTGATTTTCCAAAAGTATCGGTCATATGTAACCGCCTGGATTGGGTACTTTGATGCAATACAGGTGAGACATTTTTAGACTAATAGATTTGGGCTTGATCAAGGGTCTCAAACGTTTTTGCGAGTAAGGTCTGCCTAAAGGGATATGTACACACATGTGTACATAAATATGAACATCCAAGTTAAATGGGTCCTTGCAATAGAAAATGTATTTGTAATTTTCATATACAGATTAAAACACAATTTCAACCAATTTGATTTGGAAGTTACTTTAACACTGAAGGATCTTATGAGAAATCTACTATATGAACTAAGAATATATTTCCTCAGCTCACCTAATTGAGGTAAACCAATTAATTGTTAGATCATGAAAATGTGTAACTCAAAGAAAGCCATCAAGAATTTAAGCCAACATTTGGAATACAGAGAATGAAGACCAAATTCAGAAGAGCAGAATAGGGAAGCATGGTTTAAACTCATTTAAGATTAAGATTACAGAACATGCTCCGCGGGCCCCTCAGACTCTTCGTGGTCTACAAGTCAGAGACCCCTTATAGATCAACCAGTGACCAGTTCTTCCAAAATATCCTGACATCCATGAACAAATCTGTAATCTGCAATTAGCACAGCTGTTCAGCAATCACCTTTCTCTTTCAGGAGGGAAAGTGGATGTGGACTGATGGTTCGAAGTCCACCTACACATGCTGGGGTCATGGGGAGCCTAACAACGTAGGAGGAGAACACTGTACAGAAACCAACTTCAGAGGTACAAATATTATTTAACTTAAGAACAACAACAAACAAGTGGTATAGTTATAGTCATTATTACAGAATCATTTTTTAGGGCTATGTATTTGTCTTTTTATATTTGTGGCCAATCTCCGGTATACCACAGGTGGCAGTGTAGATCATCACGGTAGGGGAAATCTATTTAGGCACAGGTGCAACAAGTCATCTAACCATGCATGTTTTTTACCACTTGCATACTTACAGCCACACCAGGCATCACTAGGTTTGGGACGGTTTTAAAATTTTATGTCACAATTATCCTCACCAAAATAATTGCGATGGTAAATACTGTCTAGACACCATTTCATGGCAGCCCAGCTGAGTGACTCGTTGGATCTGGTATCTCAAGACTAAGTTATGTCTTGTACTTTTTACTGCCGTTCATACACTTTTCTTAATTTGTCTAAAGAACAAGCATTACTTTAGAGACATTTAAACAACAACTCAAACTCAACAACAATAGTTAGTCATAAACTTGTAGAGACTTTTATTCTGTTGTGCTTAGCGATTCTTTTCTTTTTACAGGAAACTCTTGGAACGATCTTCCATGTCACTTCAGGAGGCCTTTTGTTTGTGCCAGGAAAGCGTGATGCTCCCACCATCTTCCGTCATATGTACCATTATGATGTTACTTTGACCAGTGTGACGCTAATTTGTCTGTAATGTTATACTTACGTTTTAATAGCAAACTTGCTGTAATGATTCACTTTCAATTTAATGCTTCCAAAGCAAATTCCTACAAATCAGTAAATAGAAATATCTCTCTGATTATTCACTCTGATTTGTAACAATACCTGACATCACAGGAAATCGCCTCACTAAATAGATTAAAATGGGATTTAAAAACTTGATTTTTTATGAGGGGAAAATGTATTTTTCTTGTGATTTTTTCATTTACTTCAATAATACACCATAAAGTTACAATCTAAATCACAGCAAAACAAACTGAAAAAAAAACTTACTAAAATAAAAATAATCTTTAAGAATAATATGTTGTTCCTCCTTCATGTGTGTGTGTGTGTGTGTGTGTGTGTGTGTGTGTGTGTGTGTGTGTGTGTGTGTGTGTGTGTGTGTGTGTGTTTATCATAGTGAGTGCAGGCAAATGAAAGAGTTTATTGCACACCAGGTGGAAGTGTATATATATAAAGATCATTCATCAGAGAAGCAATGGACATGTTCACCATTTAAAGTAGACAATCTGTTTAAGTTTCTCCCAACACCATTTTTACTGACCTGATGGTTTTATATGAAACCTCAGCAGGAGGGAAACATTGCATTTTGAGCTTGGGGCCTATAGGCAGAGGGAGAGATTTTCCTAAACTGGAACTGACTGCCCACTGTAGCTGTAGCTGTAGCCTCTTTTGTTTGTAAGACATGTCCCTAAATGCTTACGCATGTCAGGTATGAAGGTTGTTAACTTCTTTCCATCTAGAATTAATAATACTTGCACAAGTATCTGGGCTGATTCACCTGTGCATCTTTAAATTCTGTCTCTCATTGAAAAGGGAGTAATAAATAAGCAACCAGAGTCAAAACCTTGCAAGTTGTGTATCACAGTTTCAAAGACAGAACTTGGGTAGAATGGAATAAGATATAGGTTATGAAGCTCGTCACTGAGGATGCCTCCTAAATGTCAATTCAGATCATATGATCAGAAAGCCCCCAAGTTTAATCTCATTTTGTCAGTCAAATCACTGCGATGTAAAAAGCAACATAGGATAGCATGGCAGGCTTTTCAAAACCCAGTCTTGTCTCAAAATAACTTAGTTACAAAACAAAATGTCATCAGGGTTTCCACACATGTTCATAAGGGGTGAGGGGAAAAACTAGGGGTTTTGGGGTCTGCACCAAACATGACATCTGGAGACAAGATCTGTAGGCCAGTGTATCTCTGCAGCACTACCATACTAAGGGTGCTTCGATTGATCGACCACAAATCGTTATTGGCAGATATTCGCTCTAATTAGTTTGGTGATCTCTATAAAACACTTGACTTTATAAAACGTACTGCTGACAAACAAAGTGAACCAAGCAAACATATACTATACTATGATACTCAGAAGCAGAAAGAGGCACGGTGGGGCAAGCCGGTATATGTGAGATAGAGGTGTACATGGGGGAGGGGAAAAGAGAAGGGAAAAAGCAAGTGCACAAAGTATTTTGTGGGTAAACACTAACAAAACACCAAAATAAGGTATAATATAATATATATATGCCAACAAACTAATAGTTGTTAATTAACAATTTCATTATTGATTACTCTTAATACTTAATATACAATGCTGTTAATCAACCTGGATCTTATTTACCCATGTTTTTTGTGTTAAAGTGACACATAGGGACAACAAGTTTTGAATTTGGCCCCGTAGTGAGGGAGAGGGCCGGCTACAATGTAATCCTTATGGGCAATTGCATACCATCCACGAAAACTGCCTGTTTTTGCCAGTGCCAACTCAGATTGTTATTTAGGAGTCTCACAACACGACCCTGCAGAGAAATTAAATGTTTTCTGTTCCTTTAGCTCAATCCGCTGTGTGTCAAGCCAAGTCTCTCTCAAGAAGTGAAGAGAGAAGTGAGGTGAGAAGTCTTCAGTGAAAACTTGAGCGTAACAATGACAGCCAGTAAGAGTTTGTTGTGTTGGGAGTAAAGAAAGTGTAGCTTTCAAATGTAGCCCAAAGATGTTAAAAGTCATGGTTAAATATTTAGACAATGTGTACACCACATTAAACTCACCCACACAACTCCAACACACTATCTTTCACTTTTAGTTACTTAACCAGTTAGATAAGTTTGGTACTAGAATTGAGCATTGAATATAAACACACACACACACACACACACACACACACAAACCTGACCTCAAACTCTTCCTGCAGCAAACACACATACACACTTATGTGTATTACTTTATCATTTCTGGATGAAAATATGAAAAACAATGCAGCAACATAAGCAGAGTCCAAAATTCCAAGACTGTCCCACCGATAACAAGGAACTAAAGTCTGCATATTTTATTTGTTCAAAAAGGCGGAAGTTCCCATGTGTATGCAAGGTTTGGGGAAAGCACTCAGCATCAGATTTCGTCCTTATCTTCTTCTTGGCTGCTTAAACAAGCATTTGGTTTATTACATTATCACTTTTCTTACATATAACAGGTTTGATGTCCAGTGCACATGACTGCTTTTTTACACAACAGCCTTCACAAGGAAAATGCTTCAGCTTTTGTCACAAACCAACCTGTATCCTGGTAATTTAAGAGGACACAGGAGAGCACTGAAAGGTAAAGTCCAACACCTTAATTCATCAAACAAAAGTTACTAATGGAGGGAACATGTGCAACCCTGGTGTAAAAGTATAAAACCATATCTTCTCCATCTCTATTTGCTTTATGGTATGAACATTAATTAGAATTCGTGCCTTTGTGATATAAATATAACATTTTCTCATCTTATTATATAACTATAAATGGCTTGTTGGTCAGCAGTACATAACAGTAACAGCTTCCTTCTTTCTGCACATTTACACGTAAATACTAAATCAATGACAGGGCAGGACCAGTGCCATGGATGCATGCTGCTGGTATTCACTCTTGCTTTACCTGATCCATGCTTGTAAAATATCCAACATATCTCTCTGTGTTTCACAGCAGAGCATGTGTGTATATCCCTAAACCGTACAGGAGGGGCACGAGATTTTCCATTACTTTTAGCATCTGTTCTGAGGTTTTGTGGATTTGTTTGTGTAGGTATAAGAACATTTCTGGCCCACCAGCCCCATCGCTCCGGCCCGCGACATTATGTCAAAAATGTAATGTAATCCTACCATTAATGTTTTTAAGGTTGTTGATTGGTCACTGATCATGATCGGCCTATACTATATTATATATTTACTCCAATTAGTTTGATTGGTGGAGCTGGAGCTGCTCCCAATAACCAGCGTAGGCTGCTCTGGTTTAAGTTGTGTCTCTAAGAGAGAGAGGGGAATATGTTGCCTGCCAATAAATAAACTGTTGTCAATTCATCATTTCTTAATTAACTTTAATACTTAAATACTTAAATACAATGTTGTTAATAATGGTTAAATAAATAAGGCTACAATATAAACATAAGGCTTAAAATAGCGATCAGTGATGGGCCTCAAAAACCCTGATTGGAACTCTTATTATTTTTTGTAGTTGTTTCATATCAATTTATTGAACCTACTGCTTCATATATTGAAACAAAGACCCAATTCTATTTTGTGTCTTTTGGTCCAAAATAATAACAAAGGTCAAAGGTGCCTGCAAATGCGTGCAAAGGGTTGATAAGAAGACAGCAGACTATTTGTTGTTTGGCTGAAAGATATCAAATGTAGCCCCCAAGCCAATTTGGTGTAAGTTGTCATGTCATTGTCTGTCAGCATGCCTGGGGTTTACAGAAAAATATAACTGCAACAAGTTTCCTCGTATTGATTTCACATCGTCATTTAATAAACTTTGGAAAGACAAATTGACAGAGAGGAAGAGATTTACATTTTTATTTTTTATTTAAATAAAGCCTAGAGTTAACTAGTCGTTGCACATTTGGTTGTTTTTTTGTTCTGTTGTTTGGCAAAGACAAAGCTACTACTGAAAAACACTCATGGCATCTAAACTTGCAAGAAAGAATGCAAACAAAACAAGAAAAAGAATGCAGAAATTGAACTCATACAGCCGCATCAACAAAGATTCAAGGATGTAGTGTATTTCTTTTACTTCCTTCTGTTGCATGTGGGGAGGTCCCAAGTTCTCTGATACAAGGATTCTCTTCTTTCATCAGATGGATTATAATGAGATACAAAACCCCTGACTGGTTTTTTCCTCCATGAAAGCTGTTATCTCATCTTCACATCACTTCACGTCACGTCATCACTTCAGCAAAGGCAATTTCATTACTATTAATTTAAAGTCTAATTTGAATCTATTATGTATTCCTGTTCTGGATAATAGATTAATTATTCTTAATTTCCTTGGACTTCTGCCACTTGTGTGTGTCTGGCAATTGGCTAAAAAAGATTAAATAAATGAATTATTTGGATATAAATCAAATTGTAGGCCTACTCAGTAGTGAATTATGATTTTAAAAGAAGCTAATACAATTACAGTCAAATACAAACTTTAGTAAAATTACAGCCTTGGAAAACATGACAGCTACAGTATCCTGAGTAGTTGTATTTAGTTATTCCACGAGACCCTGATGAGAAGTTCCAACCCACAGTAAATTCCCTAAACTACGCCACATTAAAAGTAAGTGGAAATCTTAGGCGCAGTGTTTGGTATGGGTTATTATTTTCATCTCAGAGCAAGAGCCCTTCAAAATGTCTGTGCACGGCGCTGAAACCCAGTCTTAATAAATATTAACCTCCTGCTTGTGTTGACAAAAAAAAAAACTAATACATTTTTTTTTCTTTTATTTTGGCTTGTTTTTTTTTATCATTGTTGGTCCAGTTTTGCAAACACGCACCCACAGAGATCAGAACAGGAAACCAACTGGACGTTAAATTAAGACCTGTGACTCGACCAGTGACCCACACTACACACACACACACACACACACACACACACACACACATAGTCATGCATCCACACTGCTGGGTGTCACTTAAGCCAGTTCACTAAATCTCCACACAGTTTCATACAATCTATTGTCCCGGCATACAAACTTTCCACCTTACTGGGTTATAGCATCCTCATCCTGTTTTAGAAGTCCTGGTGACTGATTAGGGTTGACAATATTTAAACTGATTCAATTGTTAAAAATGGGGAAGGTTGGAAAAGTGAAGGAAATGGCAGGTGGACAGATTAAAGTGGTGAATAATAAGAAAACAATCTACTAGTGAAAAAAGCCAGTCATTTCTTGTAATGTTCAAATGTTAAATAATAAAAAAGGAGTGTAAGGTGAAGCACATGGGATTTATTATTTTGTTGTGTCTAACTACTACATTTATATATATTTTATCCAAAGTACACAATATAATTTCTATTTTTATTTCAGCCAATCAAAATGTTTTGTTCAAACCTAGTTTAAGTTAACTATAATAACCTTGGTGCATTCAGTACAACTCGTTGCTTTTAGGTGCTACATCAACTACAACACACACAGCATCTGAACTCGCAACAACGAAAAATGTTCAGTGGTCTGATTAGATCAAATGAAGAAGAATGCAGATAATTACCTTATACAGTTTCAACAAAGACTCAAGGATGTTTATTGCTTTTATTTCCTTTTGTTGCATGTGGGGAGGCCCAGAGGTATTTTTTTTACGCAGATGATGTTTCACATTTCAGAACCAAAGGATCCTGACAAGATATATAAACCCTGACTGGTTTTCCTCCCTGAAAGCAGTTATCTCATCTTCTCTGCCCGTCGTCACTTCAGTGAAAGGTAATTTAATTCCTATTAAACAGAAATTTAAACTTCTACTAGTTCTAATCTTTTGTTCTAGGTAATACATTAATTATTCTTTATGTCCCTCCACAGATGGCATCAGGTTTTAACTTGGCTTTCTTTCTCTGTTTGACCAGTGGACTGTTCATTGTAGGAACTGTAAGTAAAACAAAAAGCATATTTCTCTGTGCGGCGAGCAGAAAAAACAAACAGACAATTGGGCAGAACTGTCTGAACAGCCCAACCGGTTAACGAGAGCAGAGGGCAGCTCTTCTGCCTCTTGTGTCTCGGGCAATTGGCTAAAGAAATGTAGATGAAATCTTTAGATATAAGTCAAATAGCAGCCTACTCCAGGGGTCAAAAACCTTTATCATCAGAAAAGACAAAAAAAAAAAAAGATAAATAAAAATCTGTCTGGATATTTTTTCTCGACGAAGATCAAACACACCAGTAAACCAGCAGCGTTGGTGGTGAAAGCAAATGAGTCTGTCGATGCACTATTAAATCATTTATTTTTCTCCAAGATTTATCCTTTTTTGTAAGGCGTGTAATAACTACACATTAGCTGTAATAGCTACACAAATATACAATTGGAGAATTGTAAAACAAGGGAATGTAATAATTTTTTGTCAAAGCCACAGGGAGCCACTGGACAGGGGCAGGTTGCCTACTCAGTACCAAATTATGACTTTCATTAGATTACATAGTATAATCCTGACTGAAGTAAGAGTAAAATTACAGGCTTGAGAAAAAGGATTTATCTACAGGAACATGTGTAGTTCTAATTAGTTATTCCACCCCTGAAAAGTTTCCCTCTTTTGGGAAATTGCTTTCACAGCACCTACTCCTTCTCATAGAGCGTGGACTACACATAAAGTAATGTTTTATTTAGTCTATTGTCTACTACATACTCTACAAATAACTGGAACTGCTGAGGTAAATGCTGAAAGATGCAAATTGATAAAACTGGAAACCCGATTACAGGTCTTGTTTGTGTTTTCAGATGTCGACCACTGATGACGACACTAACAAGGAAGGTCAGTAACTTTGAATTTAATTATTTTACATAAATGCAAATGCCATAGCACAACAGATTTCACAATACCAGAAATTTGGTACGTATTTTGGCCCCGATGCCCATTTAATATTCAATATCTGCTGATACCTACTCCTGATCATATACTTGCATTTTCCTAGACAATACAAGTGAATAGCTCTGCTTTATTACTGCCTGCGTCCAAGCTGTTCTTTACTGTTTCATAAGAGCCTAACAAACGCTTTGTAATCTTTTTTGATCTTTTGGCTGTCTGGAGGGAGTTCCTCCATTTAAAAGTGTTCTCTATGTCTTTTACCAATGTTACCTGAATGAACTGTATTCTTTTTCGTGTTCAGTTTAGTCATCTGTAGATCTTTCCTGCAGATTACATTCGATGAATTCAACCTATTGGATTACAGTGGCATGCTGAGTGTGCAATATACAAATGTGTGCCAAATACAGTTGTATTATAATGAAGTATTGTGGCTCTCCAGAGATTCCCTGGACCACAAATCTTGTTCTTCAGCTGTAATAAAACGTATTTGTTTGGTAAAGACACCCCAAATTAAAGTTCATCATTCCCACCAACTGTGAGTCATATTGTAATCACAATATCAGTCAAAATAATGATGCAGCCCTATTTGACGGCAGACTAGAATATGTGTGGGCGTAATGTCTTTCTAACATGATGATTGTGTTGCAGTTTCTAGCTGTCCTCCAGGTTGGACTCAGTTTGGCTCTCGCTGTTTCATTTTCTTCCACAGTCCAAAGACGTGGATTGATGCAGAGGTACGTGTGGAACAAAAACGTATTATTACTGTAATTCTGATGAAGTAACTTATCACTAAAACAGACTGTGTGTAGATTAGTTTCATTATGGTTCCATTAGATGCTCAAACACATCAAAAGATGCACGATAAAAGACATGATTGGGGTCCTATCAGTCTAACACAAAATGCTAGCCTGCTAAATTAGATGAAGATGTGTTTGACACTGAGACCGTTTTCATCCCTCTCTTGCTCAACTTCTCTCTCCTTCTGAAACTCTATCTCTTTCTTTTCTTTCTTTCTCACCATCTCCATCTCAATGTTATACCTCGATTTCTCTCCTCCTCTGTCTCCCGTTAGCATACCTGCATTTCTGCAGGTGGGAATCTGGCCTCCATTCACAGCGCTGACGAAAATGTCTTCCTCAGAAACCTGATTGTGCAAGTGACTAGCCAACACTTGCACACCTGGATTGGAGCCCATGATGGAGTCCAGGTAAGATGCACAAAAACACAGCATCTGATGCAACCACCCCTGTGCTAATAGACTCAATGAGGAGTAACCGGTGGCTGTACAAACTGTATCTTAACAACTTAATTAGCCGTTGATTAAAACAATAAAATCATTTTGCTTCATATTTCACTCTGGCCTCTTCTCACCTCAATGAAAGCCAGTGAGTCAGACAGGTACATTCAACCATTATCATCACTTAATTAAAGAACAACATCACCAGTTTGGAAGTCATTTCTGAGGCAGTTGGTTGCTGCATTGTTGTATTCGACTGCAGGATATTGTCACGTGTTATTTAGTTATTGTGTTATATTGTATTACATTACATTTCCTCTTCCAGGAGGGAAAATGGATGTGGAGTGATGGCTCAAAGTTTGACTATCAGCGCTGGAGTATCGGGGAGCCCAACAATTACAATATTGAACACTGTGCAGAGATGAACTGGGGAGGTACAAACATTATTACTTGGATGGTTGAATGGACGTGATGTTATTTTTTTATTGCTGTTTTGAACAATAGTGTGTGCTGCAACACATGAGGAGTGTTGCATCTTTAGATAAATCAGAAGGTGTATTCATAGTCTTCTTAAGGTTTGTCTGGATAATAAGCATTAGAGAATTTCTTAGGAGGCTTAAATTCAATCTTATCCATTAGACAAGTCAAAAGCCCGTAACTTATAATGGTTTTAGTGCTTAATGCTTCAACCTCTTCCTGCAGGAAACTACTGGAACGACAGCCAGTGTCAACACGGAAAACATTTTGTCTGTGCCAAGGACCTGTGATACAACGACAACTTCCTCTTCAATGTCAGGCCCTAATAACAATCAGTGTTAGCTGTACTGACAGTTTAAATTGTCCAAAAGGTCCCATAAAGCTATTTTCTTCTGTTTTACTTATTTTACCTTTTAAACATGATGTAATGAATCAGCCAATCAAAAATATATTTAAAAATGTAAGCATTCTTTTGTCTCAGTTTGATTCCTTGAATTAAGATTAATGTAGTAATCTTAATTTACAATCGAAGGGACGCAAAGTGGGAATGAAACATGACCCTTTGGCTCAGTTTGATGTTTAATTGAAATTAAACATAAATGAGGCATTTTCTATGTAAATGGGCTATTTTTTTTAACAGAATAGAAATCCGAGCATTGAAATAGAAGGTTTAATATTCTTGTTTCATTTTGTTGACATAGTCATAAGGTTTTAATAGAGGGGATTTTTATCGCTTCATAAAACAGAAAATAAAATAAAATGTTCTATAAATCAGGATATGAACCACAATGTAAAAACCGTCAGAAATATATAGAAATAAAGGTGGAAGGTTTGTTGTGGAGATGTCTGGCTCAGCATATGAGTAACAAATATCCTGTAAAAGATATCTATTGTAAAAATTCTCTACATTTATCAAGACACTACAGGTGAAGAGCGTTTTAATAAGTATCTAATTGATATCATCATGAAAGGTCAGGCTTTGAATTAAGTTATTTTTAGTGCAAAATGATAAATAAAGATGTATTGGGGCACTGCGGCCAAAAAGTAGGGCACCAAGGCCAAAACTACCCAGCACCATACAGAGTGCATTAAAATTTAGGTCAACCTTAATACAGCAGTAAAATACAACAGTAATGCAGCGGTAGTATTAATACAAAAACATCACATATTGGGCGCCCGGTTAGCCCAGTAGGTAGAGCTGGCGACCCATGTACCGAGGCTGAGTCCAGGGTTCGAATCCGACCTGCAGCCCCCTGCTGCGTGTCATCCCGTCTCTCAACTCTCCTTTCCTGTCTATCTTCAGCTGTATCTATCAAATAAAGGCAATAAAAGGCCAAAAAAATAACTGCCATGGATGCAGCATGCTGTGTTGATGCAGACATTAGTTTCATATCTGGCAACCGAGAGTTTCCAAGGCTGTTGCTCCCTTTAGACGATTTTCTCTGAGTGTATTGTACTGTGTATATCACATAACAAGTAGTCAGAGATTTGATTGTTTAAATACTCTCCTAGTTGTGTCCTCGCTTGGTTTAATTCGTGTACACAAATCAGCAAAAAAAAACATCCACACACGCCGACGCACTTTATTTAGTCTGAATAAAGAGCATTCGCATGAAAGTGTTAATAAACTGAAGTTCTCACCTGTTCAGGAGAAAATAAACTCGACGTCAAAATCAGTCTGGAAACCATCTCCATCTTTCAAATGCATCTCCAACATTTACCCGTGTTTCACTACGTCTCTAACATGAGAATATACAAGAAAACAGTATTTCCATTTAACTTAATCTCATTTCATAGATTTAATACAGTAAATATATCACATAATGTTCCTTTAATAATAGTGACAGTGATTATATTTGAACTCCAGAATATTAAATCATTAAATCTGCTCCCTTCATCTTATCCTTTCTTCCATCAGTTCATAAACTGCACGTTATTAAATTATCACTGATCTTATCAGCCATGAGAAGCAAATAATTAAAGGTTCTCGTTGGGTGAAAAAATATCCGCAGCAATCAGTTTACGAAATGAATGTTAGCTAAGACAGAGATTCTCTTTACTGTAACTAAACACAGGCCTTACTCGCCTGTAGAGCGTCTTTTATCCACCGTCAGCCGGATTTATGAAGCTAGCCATCCACAAGGTGTTGAGGAATGCAGATAATTAGGAAGAAAAATGTAGTTTACCTCCACAACATCTGCTTCTAAGAGTTCCCTTACCTGTCCAACTCTCTGATGGATGGAACAGAAACTGATTAACTGCCCCGGTCGCCATTTTCTCTGCATTTTCCGCCACCTGTCTCAACCAAGGTGCAGCGGGATGTTTTCTCCTTCCGGGAGGTCGCAGCTTCAGTCTGACACTAAAGTTAGAGTTCAGTTATTTTCAAAGTTGAAGAAGTTTGAAGGTTAATTTTTTTTACTCCCCTCGAAGTAATAACCCGCCCGACTCAGCTTCTGATTGGCTCACCCCGACAAACTAACCAATCAGAGGCAGAGAAAGGTGGGAAAGAAAGCTAACTAGTTGTAAGATTTTAGTTAAATATAAAGTTACCCAGTAAAAGATCAAATGTTGTCCAGGACAACTGAACTTCTCTGCAGCATTTAAATTGAATTAATGTCGATGTAAAGCAGATAAATAATCACTTCTTCCTTCTTTAGGGAGGTCATTTTATTTAAATGCTACCTTATATTTCTACAGTTCAGAGGTAAATTTACTCCATTTATCAGATCGGGTTACTAGTTACTACAGATTGAGATTTTACCAAAGAAAACATGAGATCGATTTATAAAATATGATACTTTGCTATAGATTAAACTGTCCGACAGTATTTATAGTAGTTTAAATGTTCTCCACCTCCACCAGCTGTAACATAAATACTACCTTTAAAGAATCAGTAATACAACTCACTTTAATGTTTAATTTATATAACGATGGGTAATTTGTGCATTTCCTCCCCCAAGGATCAATAAAGATATAAACCTCCAATAATACATCATTTATTTTCTATAATCTGAATCTGCAAACTAACTAGTAACATTACAAAGTACCTGAGATAGTTCTTCAGTAAATGTTCTTACTTTCCATCAGAGATTTCAACATTTCCACATTTTCTGTCCAAAAGATTTTATCCACAAACGTAGTTTAATTTATTCCTTACACTTCTGCGGAGGACACAAAGGAAACCACCGTTCCAGTATCACTCTTACTTCAACCCCACGTATTCAACATGAAGCTCAACTGAGTCAGTGTGTCGCTGCTCCATCAGCCCCCAAAACTGACCCAAAAGTCCCAACATGAAGGTAATATAAATGTGTGTTTGTTGGTTGAATCAAAAAGGAAGCGACGCACGCCGCCATCACTGAGACTGAATATTTCTACATTCACATAACAGAAGAAAAAAACACCATTGGAGGAGAGAATCAAACATACGTGAGCTTTATTAGAGCCTGGATTAGTTTACAAAACAACCAAAGTAGAGTCCATACAGTACTGCAATGCTCTGAATGTTCTCTCTCTCACACACACACACACACACACACACACACACACACACACACACACACACAAAACTGATGTTTGTGATCAATAACAGTGAATATTTACTGTATGCAGCTTTCTACAACATAATTAGACCAGACAGCCACACACACAAACATTTTCTCTTAATTTGATGATCAACGTCTCTCACTCACTCACACACACACACACACACACACACACACACACAGTCTCAGGGCTGCATGCGAATGGCTCCGTCCAGTCTGATGACCTCTCCGTTGATCATGGGGTTCTCAGCCAGGGATGTCACCAGGTGGGCAAACTCAGCGGGGTCTCCCAGGCGCGAGGGGAAGGGCACCTGGCGGGCGAGAAAGGAGCGCACCTTCTCGGGGAGACCGGCCAGGAGCGGAGTGGAGAACAGACCTGGAGGAGGAAGGAGGAACTCATTTAGACTCCAGGATCAGATCAGATCAAAATACTGCATTTAAAATCCATTTAAAAGATATCGTCAAAATATATACGTACAGTCTTTGGAAATTTGGCTTTAAATATAAAAAATGTGTGCTAGTTTAAGAAAATTCTACTGTTTTTGTATTATGACTATTATTTTAATCAATAAATGATGGAAATGAGTCAGTTTCTCATTAAATATACAAAGTAGAAACATTTTTCAGAACTTTATTGCTTTATTCTGATCAATATCTACTAAATATTCAGTAACAGTTTGAGACTTTTTCACAAAATATTGTTTAAAAAAAAGGTTTTTATGATAGAAAATGTGTCATATATGCTGAAAAAAGACTAATATCTAAACAATAACGCAGACTAACTCAACAACCAGCTGCATATTTGAGCGAGGAACACTTAAAGAGTGCTAATCGCTGTGTGTTTGCAGCCTGTGAGGAGACTGAAAGATAAGACAGTGGATTCAGTTTGCAAGCTGTGGCGTTTCACCAGGTGACGTATATCCGACTCGTATCTTTACACTGCTAAAAAAAAAAAAAAAAAATGGTAACGCAGGTGAATTTTGAGAATATGGAGCGCACAAAGCTCAAACTCTTTAGACATTATGGCTAAATCCAAGCGCTTTCCCGTCGCCATGGCAACCCTGCGTGTCAAGTACGTCCACTAACCGGGTGCTATGGTGATGACCCGGATGCCCATGGGCGCCAGATCTCGTGCGATGGGGAGGGTCATTCCAACGATGCCTCCTTTAGAAGCTGAATACGCTGCTTGGCCGACCTGAAGAGGACAAATAAATAAATAAACAAACAAACAAACAAACAAACAAACAAACAGTGCGACAACTTAATCGTTTCTTTAACGTCTGAGAGCGTTTTCAGTCACCTGTCCGTCAAAGGCCGCCACGCTGGCCGTGTTGATGATGCAGCCTCTGTGTCCGTCTGCGTCGGGCTCGTTCTTCCCCATCTCGCCCACGGCGAGGCGGATCACGTTGAAGGTTCCCGCGATGTTCACCTGCAGGAGACACACACACACACACACACACACACACACACACACACACACACACACACACACACACACACACACACACACAGAGAGAGAGAAGAGTCACTGCAGCTGCGTCCGGCGTTTGTTTTGTTCTACCGTACGCGTCCGTCCACCTTACGTTGATAACTCGCTGGAAGTCCTCCAGGTTGTGAGGGACGTCCTTCTTGAAGTTGTAGGTTTTAACGGCGACAGCGATGCCGGCACAATTAACCGCCAGGTCCAGCTTCCCGAACCTCTCCCTCGCTAGGGACACCGCCGACTGCACGTCTGCCTCCGACGTCACCTAGGAAACGACAAACCCTAAGATAAACAGGACCATCCACAGAAACACTACATAATACCTCCTGATCGGTCAGACGTCGGCTCCGGTCATCTTATAATCTCTCTCTCTCTCTGACGACGAGCATCCTCACATTCATTACAATAGTTCAGATACAAACTCCGACACAGATCAGGACAGAAGCAGCAGAATTATTTTATTACTTCTATCTGGAGTTTGGTGGATGTCAGCGTTGGACCGTAACCGTGGATACGTGTGTAAATGCACCAAAAGATACAATGAAGAAGACTTTGTTTGGTTTATTTTGCATGCCGGTAGGGAAACTTAGAACTTCTAACACACTCGTGGTCGTGCTGGGTGATGTGAGAGCGCCCTCTAGTGTACTACACCTCCAGTTACAGCTGGTACACACTCTTTAAAAGTGGATCGCATCACTCCAGTTCTGAGGTCTCTGCACCGGTTTCCTGTCTGTCGAAGAACTGATTTAAATGCCGCTGTTGGTTGATAAAGAACATCCTCAGGTCTGTTTTCTGTCCCCCCAAAGTAAAAACCCAACATTCAGAGGCGGCTTTCAGTTTCCAGAACCAACAATGAGTCCAGATCTGTACTGTATCTGCTGAGTTTCGGACTCACGTCTGCAGGAGCGAAGGCACAGCGGTCCCCGAGACTGGCTGCCAGAGCCGGTCCATCAGAAGAAGGCAGGTCCAGGATCACAGCAGACGCTCCGTGCTGCACCAGACGCTCCACCGTGGCCCGGCCCAGACCAGACGCACCGCCCGTCACCAGGCCAACCATACCCACACACACACACACACACACACACACACACACACACACACACACACACACGGGGACATTTTTATCATTTGTCTGCTGCATCGGCTCAAACTTCCTAATGATAATAATAAATATAACAATAATAATAATAATAATAATAATAATAATAATAATAACAATAATAATAATAATAACAATAATAATAACAATAACAATAATAATAATAATTGTAATAAATATAACAATAATATAATAACAATAATAATTATACTAACAATAATAATTATAATAACAATAATAATAATAATTGTAATAAATATAACATAATAATAATAATAATAATAATAATAATAATAATAATAATAATAATTATAACAATAATAATAATAATAATAACAATAATAATAACAATAACAATAATAATAACAATAATAATAAATATAACAATAATAATAACAATAATAATTATACTAACAATAATAATTATAATAACAATAATAATAATAACAACAATAATAATAATAATAATAATTATAATTATAATAACAATAATTATAATAACAACAATAATAATAATAACAATAATAATGATAATAATAACAATAATAAAAATAATAATGATAATAATAATAATAATGATAATAATAATAATAATAATAATAACAATAATAATAATAATTATAATAATAACAATAATTATAATAATAATAATTATTATTATTATAACAATAATAACAACAATAATAATAATAATGATCCGGAGTCTGTTGCTGATATCAAGCAGCTGATCAATAAAATAGTTTTCAGGCTCTTTACAGCTGAAGGCAGATTAGCAGATTATAGCAGCTCCCAATCATCTCTATTGATCTTAGTGCTGGCTCTGAACCTTTTGAGCTTCCGTCCAATGCGCAGAGTGGACTCATTCATCCAACAACATGTTCCCTAACATCTGTTCCCTCAAACTTCTGCTCAGCTCCGCGGGAACAACAAAGCACAGCGGGAACAAACTCTACTCCGGTTCAACGACGTTCCTCTGTTTGTCTCTTTATCTTTATCTCTCTGTTTATATCTCTTTATCTTTATCTTTATCTGTTTCTCTGTTTCTGTTTCTCACCTTGACGCATCTGATGTTCGCCATATTGGTTCCCGGGACTAACGGCAGTGACGTCGCAGCACAGCACGTGTATTTGACCGGTTCTTCTTCGTGGGTTTATTTTCGGTGCTCGCACACATCCGCCGCCGGCTGGACGGAGTGTGCATCGCGACTTTATTTATTTTATTTATTTTATTTATTTTTAAATAGAAAGTCAGTCTGTAAAAAATAATCTTATAGTTTTACAATTTACAAATAAACAATAAATAAACAAAATAGTAAATAAAAAAGTGTTTGTGTGACACTCTTATACAATGTTTTTCATTATATCTTGTATTTTTTACTATTTTATTTTGTTATTTAATGTGTATTTCTCAACAAGTGAACTTCCCCAGTGTGGGATAAACACTTATCTTTATTTTTCTGGCACATAAATAATAATAAGTGAGTAAACAAACACAACAGCAGTAATATTTTTATCCCCGAGGAGCAATTCAGTGTAATACTGGTCATTATTATATATTATAATGGATATTATAGTATTATCATATCCATATTAATTATTAGGGATATTATAACAATCATCAATACAACATTACAGGTTTTATTTTATTTCTTGGTGTATGGTTTGTTATATTGTCAATGTAAAACTAATTTTAAAACAATAAAAAACTAAACTGAAACAAGCAAACTTACACTGGAAATAAAACATTTGAAACAAAATGAAGAAATAATGAAAAATACAAAACACTAATGAGATGATCAGACATACTTTATTGATCCCTGGGGGGAAATTAGTTGCATTACAGTTGCTAAACAAAGACTTTATAATAAATAATAATAATAATTACAATATATAACAATATATAAATAACTCTGCTCCATCTGTGGAGAAACAACCTTACTGTACCTGAACTTTAAGGCTGATGTTTAATATTAATCTGCTCCTCGGTGGACTGAAACTCGGACAGAGTGAGACCTCTCTCACTGCAACTACTCTTTGATCACAGCGTGGACCCAGCCCCGCCCACTCCCGCACGATTAGACCAATCGATGGGCGTTTCAGGGAACGCCCCCTCCCGGCGTCCACTGATTGGCTGCAGCCCGAGGGGCGTTGTCCAATCAGAGCAGCTCATCAAGGTCAGCTCAGGCGACCAACTGATGCTTCAGGAGGCGGTTAGGAAGTTCCTGTGGTTTACAAAATAAAAGTCCTGTAGATTCACACACACACTGACAAATATTTAATCCTCACAGTCAGAAATAATAAAATAACTAAACAAATGTTATATAGTAAAGCACAGAGACAATATTTAGTTAGATATCCTTTATTTTATATTTAAAAAATACAGCATTTAAAATGTTAAATCTTTCTACCATTAATCAATAAAATCCATCGACTTCCAATAAAGACAGTAGACACACACACACAGCGAGGCCTGGATGTGAGGCTGGGTCGCGGTGCATTACGCTGCCGCACTGTGGAAGGCAGTAAGTTGTATAGTTGTATCTCCAGAACAGGGGTTTGCAATATCCCGACCCCCCCACAACAACACAACTTACTACCTCAGCACAGCACGGCGACAGACACGTCGCCACGGGAACGCCGCAACAACACACAACCAGTGCAAATCCATCCCACAGCGAATCTGTACAGAGTAACTGCAGATTTAAAGAGCAATAACTGTTGTTTCTGGATAAAAAGAATCACTATAAAGCTTTTATATTCTGGTATTTAAAGATTATCTTATTACAATCTGAGGCTCAAATACAATAAAACATTTCCAGGATATTTCGTCACTTGACTGGAAAACTAGTCTCTAAATTTCCAGGTTTTCCAGAACAAATGGGAGCTAAATCTGCATCGTAGTGAGCTCGATCAATACTGAAATATATCAATAAATCAGGTCTCTACTGGCTGTGACTTCCTGTTTGTTGTTATTGATCAGAAGTTTAAACTTACAGCAGAACGCAACCAATGCTGAGGATGCAATAATGGAGCACCGTCGGTCGCCAACGGCAACAGAGCAGCTTCAGTCGCCGTGGCAACTGATCGTAAGCCGTTTGACAGGCCGGGGGGGGTGATGGTTTGGTTGCCGTGAGAAAGACAGTAGGCTGTATAGTTATCTCCCAGATCTGGTGTGATCCTAAAACTATACAAACTACTACCTCATCCCACAGCTCCCCTTCTTCTTCTCCTCCTCCTCCTCCTCCTCCTGCTGCTCCTCCTGCTGCTCCTCCTGCTGCTCCTCCTCCTCAGGGTTAAACCTTTAATACACAACAGAAAATAAATGTGGTAGTTAGTTAGTAGAGGAGGCGACCAATGAAATGAATGACTGTCGTAGTCTACTTCCTGTCCACGACATTGTAAAGCCAACGTATCTCCGTCACGTGACCTCTGACGGAGCAACCTAAAGCAACCTGTTTATCTGCTGCTCGCCGAAGAACATCCCAACGAGGAGAAGAACATCCCAACGAGGAGAAGAACATCCCAACGAGACGAAGAACATCCCAACGAGACGAAGAACATCCCAACGAGCCGAAGAACATCCCAACGAGACGAAGAACATCCCAACGAGACGAAGGGCGGTTTACAGGGCTCATAGCGAGGCGAACTAAAATGCTCTCCGAGATAGAAGGAAATATACGAGGAGGAGGAGGAGGGATATCTAAGGAGAGGAAGGAGGGTTAGGATCAATAATCAGATATTTTAACTCATTAGCAGATAATTTATATAAATATATAAAAGATAACATTCAGACATTTCCAAGTGTAAAACTCTTCAGGCGGCGTCGATGCTTCGTCTTACAGACAGCGGGTCTACTCTGTACAGCTGCAACACAACAACAACAACAACATAACAACAACAACAACACAACAACAACAACAACATAACAACAACAACAACACAACAACAACAACAACATAACAACAACAACAATAATAATCATCAATGTCCCGGTGCATGCTGGGTGTTCATGAGACCTCCTCGGTCTCCGCTGCCCGAACCTTCAGCAACAAAACAAACACAGTCAGCGACCGAGCACCGACCGACCACCGACCACCGACCGACCACCGACCGAGCACCGACCACCGACCGAGCACCGACCACCGACCAAGCAGCGACCACCGACCACCGACCGACCACCGACCGACCGACCACCGACCGAGCAGCGACCACCGACCGAGCACCTACCACCGACCAAGCAGCGACCACCGACCCACCGACCGAGCACCGACCCACCGACCGAGCACCTACCACCGACCAAGCAGCCGACCACCGACCCACCGACCGAGCACCGACCCACCGACCAAGCACCGACCACCGACCAAGCACCGACCAAGCAGCGACCACCGACCACCGACCGAGCACCGACCACCGACCGAGCACCTACCACCGACCGAGCACCGACCACCGACCACCGACCGAGCACCGACCACCGACCCACCGACCGAGCACCGACCAAGCAGCGACCACCGACCACCGACCGAGCACCTACCACCGACCGAGCACCTACCACCGACCAAGCAGCGACCAAGCAGCGACCACCGACCACCGACCCACCGACCGGGCATTGACCACATCCAACAGGACTGAGCCCCAGGAGCTAGCTGCCGTTAGCTGCTGCTGTTTGTAGCTTGTAGCTTGTAGCTTGTAGCTTGTAGCTCTGGAACTAGCTTAGCAGTGGTAACAGATTTGGCGGTTCTCGACCGGCGGCTGTCAGATCTCACCGGCCCGCTCCGCTCCGTCCTCCCCCGGTACCGGGACCGGGCTCCTTCCGGGTCTGTACCGGGAGCGACGTTAACGGTCGGCGCAGACTCGCTCGTGCCCGCCCGGTATCGACCTTTCGCGGCTTTTTCCGTTAACGGTTAAAGTATCGCAGCGATGTTTCGATGCCTCGCTTTCACCACGCCAAAAGTCACGTGACCCGACGCCCCAGAACGAGGCCTCGCTACGTCACGGTCGTATCACGAGAGGTGTGTCCGGAAAAACCCGAGCGGCTCCGAACGTCTCCGAACGCCTCCGAACAACTACGGAAGCCCGTTTCTGCCAAAGGGACGGAAAAAAAAGATTCTGTAAGTAATTAAAATGAATGAGGTTTATATTAATAAACGTTTTTAATTATTTTTGAGACATTAAGTCAAAACATTGAGAAACGAGATGACATTGATATATGAACTGTTCTTTCTGTGGGCTTCATACACTGTTATTATTATTATTAATAATAACTGTTATTATTAATAATAATAACTGTTATTATTAATAATAACAGTTACTATTATTAATAATAACTGTTATTATTATTAATAATATTAATATTAATATTTTTTCTGTCATTAAACTGACCGGTGAAATGTTTAATGGAAACATTTAAAATGATTAATATGTATAATTTATAATCCTTTATTTATTATTTTTCTTTAATTTAATAGTTTAAAGCCTTTTGTACAAACGCTTTAATGTTGTTTTTAAAGTTATATTTAAAATAAAGTTATATTTAAAATAAAGTCATGTCCCGCCCCCCTCCGCATGTGATTGGTTACTTTTAGATCTGAGGGCTGTGATTGGTTAGAGCTAGGCTGAGATATCTGGGTAAACCAATCAGAGGCGGAGTGGGGCGGGACATGATTGAGGTCGTCTTTATTAATGTGCCTCCGTTTAACATCGTTCCGCTTTATAACACAACAATAATGAAAGTAGTAAGTTTATATTCTGTCTCTCTGCGGTTTGACACGTTGCGCGGTTCTTTTATTGACTCCGTTGTTTCTGAGTGGCGGGAACGCATCAACGTCCTGCCACCGCCGCCATCTTTCCTGCCTGTGTTCTTTATGGACGGAAATATCTCGAGATTTGAATCCAGAACGAGACTTGAAGTCCGAGAGTTGTAAGCTGTAATAGAAACAGAAAATAAGAGTTATATTATAATTATACACCTTTTATATTTATATATTTATATACAGGTATGTTTGATGGAGCCTTTATATATAGTTAAATAAATATATAAAATATTGTCCAGTGTAAAAATAAATTAACTTTACAGGACAATAATACACATGATCTGTGCTTTCATTAATATTCTAATGATGTTTTATTGTATTTTATTATCTATTTATTACTTTATTAATACATTTAACTCACTTTTTATTATTTTCTCATTCTTAGTTTCCATCTTTTCCTTAAAAATCTAAAAATCAAGACACTGGACACAACAAAATACTTTTTTTACTAAAAGAATAAATTTTATTTCAGCACTGTAAGTCATTTCCCAACCAGTACAAACATGACTGCCATCTTTTGTCTCTTTCTGAACCATTCCTCCCCTCCCTCTGTGAGATCAGACCACCAACAGCCAGACAAATTAAAAAATAAAAAGAAATAAAAATAAAAATAACAAAGCTTTCTTTTTCTCGTCTTTCCACAAACAGTCTGGTGCTTCCATAATGCTAACAATGATGACAAATTATACCAACCATAATTATAACAGCAATAATGATGATGATAATATCTCTATAACAATAATATTAATGGATAAATTTGAACCCTTTTTTTCGCTGCACAGGTACTTTTGGGTCTGGAAGTACATGCGATGGTACACTTGTGGCTGATTGACCAAACGTGACAAGAAATGGCCCACAAAGAGCGTCATGAGCCCCCCTTTTTACTGGGAAGTCAACCATGAGGGGAGGTTGGGGGATTATACTGGAGCTTGTGGGAGGTTGTGTGGGAGGGGGCTTCTGAGGGGGGGAGTGGCAGTGTAGAGAGAGACAGACAGAATAGGGACCTTTATTCAAACTGGACAAAATGCTGTGAGAATCCTGCAAATAGATCAGAACAGGTACAACACAACGGATGATTCCTTTCCACATTTTCTGTATGACAGACAATAACACTGTTGAACGTCTACAAACACTACATAGTACACTTCTATTCTGGGACTTTGGGTTCTCTTTACATTGTCGAGCTCTTCAGAGACGCTCCCATTTGCGTAGGCAGTGAGGCGGGATATCGTTTCGGAGGTCACGGAAGAGACGGTGAACTTTCCTCCGTTAACACTTCAGCTGAGATATTTGTTTGTGTTGCTGTTATGCCTTCCCGTCGCTTTACACAAGACACTTTATGGGCTGTTTGTTTGTTAAGGAGACTGCAGTCTTTCAGGGCTGCAACGATTGTTTACATTTCTGATTAATCTGTACGATGTTTTCTATAATAACCAGTCCCTCCAGGAGTCAATCCATCTGGGAATTATCCTCAATCATTGTGCTTCTTGGTGAGGTTACTTGGAACAATCCAAAGTTGCCTTTGATTTTTAACTAATTATGCAGTTTGTTTTTGCAATTTTTCAGTTCCATCTGCAATAAAATGCCTGAAAACACGACAACGGGCATTTAATTATTCTTTAGAAAAGCTGCTTTTAGGCATTTTAGGCAGCAACAATCTCCCAAAAAAGCCCGTAGAATCCTGAAGGGACTCATTAAAAGTCGATAACAGGTCCATCGCAATTTCCAGTATCGAGATAAACCGTTTGTTTTCTTTATGGAAAGTCCAAAGACCAAAGTAGAGTTTACGGTAAAAAGAAATCAGGGTTGTAACTGACAGTTATTTAATCATTGATTAATCGTCTTGTCTAAAAAAAAAAAAAAGACAGAAACCTGAAGAAAACGCCTTCATAATTTCCTGAGTCTGAATATAAAAACCGTTTCTGATATATTTTGTTAAATCGTTGCAGCTCCAAAAGAAACGCAGCCAACTGAAAACCTGCAACTCCATCACGTTTCCTTTAATGAAAGTAAAGGTCGCACATTAATCAGTTCCTCATTTACAGACTAATCTCGTCACCATAAAGATCAATAATTCCACATGACATCCACTGGGGAGGCCGACTAATCTCAGATGTGCGCTTAGAGGAATGTCCATCCGTTCCGCAGCCTCCACGCCAACAACACGAAGAGACTCGGCGAAGCAACGAGTCGCTCTTTCAATCCGAGTCTGGGAAGTTAAAGGCAAGTTTGAGAGAGCACAACAATCACATGGAAGAAAAATGCAAAAAGAGGGCGCCAAAACCCCGACGCGACAGGAAGCGAATCCGTCGCTCTTTCCTGTGTATTTAGTGTAGATCTGAAGCAGGGTGGGGGGGGAGGGAGGGGAGTTGGGGGTTGGGGGGGACGCGTGCGGTGGTTCACGCAACCTCGGTTCAGCTCGGCGAGGAGGTTACAAAAGGGCGCGAGCGAGCAAAGCGGGGAGCGGTGAATTTTACCCACAATGCCTGAAACCCTTTGCCTACCTACACAAACACACTGTCCTTCCTTCCTTCCTTCCCCACGTCTGTCTGCGTCTCCACGACAACCACGGCGCCGAAAGAAACGCCGCTACCTCACAGACCTGTCAGATAAATCACACGTGCTGTAATGTCATAATATATATAATCATCAGAAAACTTGTTACTCAGGGGGTGCGGGTGGGGGGTGGGGGGGCAAACCATCGACGTCGGGGGGGGTGGGGTGACTATGGGGGGGCTTTATAGGGCTTTATGGGGGGGGTGATAGGTGTTACTTTGGTTCTCAGGTGTTTACAAGAGATGTTTCGCTGCTTTGTGCAAGGGCGCAGAGTTCAGCTTCGATTGATAATGAGTCGACCACAAAATAGTTATCGGGGGGGGGGGCGGAGATATTATGAGAATCATAATACATAGTGCAGACGACGACTTTCAATTCGAATAAACGGGCAATATTTACTTACGTACATAATAAACGGTGGTCTAAAGATGCCATATAAAATACAGGTAAGGAAAATCGCAATCATTACAGTTCAAATCTCTAGGTTGGCTAAGCGTATTTCAGTACTAACTGAAGCAATGGTAGAAGGATTAGATTAGAAGATGTAATAACATTAAAAATAGTAAGAAAAAACACATTTGCACAATTGAATAAAACCGTTTTGATTTTTTTTTTCTGATTTTTTTTTCCAGACTCTGGCTAGATACATACAGAAACTGATTATCAACGTTAATATAACCTTTACTGTTAGTTGGGTTGATTAAGGGGGCGGGGCAGCCCGAAGAGATAAAAAGAGAAAAATAACAACAAATAAAATAAAAACGGCCAATAGAAACGGTCCTAGGAGGGCTAAAGGAGAGGCAGAGAGGGAGGTGGTAAGAGTGGAAGAGAGAACTGAAATGGGGGAGGGAGGGGAGGGGGAACCTGTGTGTAAAAGTGTGTGTTTTTAATGAGAATCTGTGTGTGTGTGTGTGTGTGTGTGTGTGTGTGTGTCTGAATGTGCTCTATGTGGACAGTTTGGAGGGCGAGAAAAAGACAGTTTGTGGGTGTGTAGAGAGAGGAAGGAAGGGGGGAGAAAAAAGTGTCATAGCAGGAGTGGTGGTGGTGGGCAAGGTGGGGGGGGGCGGTTAGGATTAACAAGCATAAAAATCACTGATCAAATATCTATCGAACTAAAACAGACAAGGACAAGAGAGGGACACTACATCATGTATTGTGTTTTTTTTTTTCCATAACTAGCTACTGTGTAACTCAGGGTTTAACATCTATGTATTGTGTGTGTGTGTGTGTGTGTGTGTGTGTGTGTGTGTGTGTGGTATAGATGGTTGTTTCTGTGCCTATCGGACACCTTCTAAACGTGTACTTTTTAAAAATCCTGTCCATGCAGAAAAAACTAAAAACAAAAAGAACAAAAAAAAAACCTTGAAGATGTGGGATGTTTCTGTTTTCTTCCATATAATCAGCAGAAAGTGTTACCAAATGATCTCTGATGAACTGACGACCACTCCACTGGGAACTGCACAAAATCACTTCAGCACGTTAAAGCAGAGAGAACGCTGCTGGTAACAAATGCAACTGAATACGTACGTGTGTGTGTGTGTGTGTGTGTGAGTGTGTGTGTGTGTGTGTGTGTGGTGTCTGGCGAGCGAATCGAGAGAGGGCATCGTTATACCGGATCACACTCTGGCTCGCCGCAGATAAAAGCCATCTTCTAACAATGTACTGTTTGCGATACACGTATTTGTACTAATGTCAAAAGTTGAAAGCGGTTAAGTATATGACTTCCTAGTAATTCTAGACGTAGTATTTCGGCCAGTGGAGCTATATTCTCTAGCCTAGTCTCGGTGTCTGTATTAACAGTCCTGTGTTAAAGCCCGACGCTGTTACCTACTCTTAACCTATGAACACCTACAGCACTCGAGCGCTTTACTCTCTAACCCAATAACGGCTAACGAGTCCGAACCTCTTGATTTTTCATTTGGTGTTAAGAGACGGTGGCGGCGGAGGCGGCGCGGCGGTGGCGGCGGCCCCCGCGGTGATGAGCGTAGGCCTACGCTCATTGGCTGGGTGAACTGTCAGCGTTTCACTGTAATGGTTGAGTTCATAACTGAGGGGATGTCTGACGCGACTACATTAACACTTACATTTATATATATATAGTCAGGGTTTATTCCTTCACAATGGCGTTTCAGAAGAGCTTTTTCCACGTCAATTCTGTGGCACACGGTAGAGTCACAAGTCATCAACAGAGTAAGAAAATAAGGTGCTTCTTGTTGACTTTTTGTTTTTTAACATAGTGAGCTCATTTCAGCCTCTCTCAGTAAGTTTATAGAGATTATAATGTTCATGGCGAGCATCTCTCAGGCAGTTATCTGTTGCTCTACTGCTGTGCTACCACTAGTGGGTCCTTGTATTCTTCCGTAGTCAGATGAAATCTACTATGGGGGGGGGGGACACATCTCATTCTCTACAAACATAAGTGCTCTAATAAAACAATTCATTATCTCAGAAGTCTCAGATTGTGAGCGGCACACTCGGTCCGCCATGAGGCCTCTCACTCTCTCTCTTTCTCACTCTCTCTCTCTCTCTCTCTCTGTCTCCTGTCATGTGATCCCACCCATAAAGCCTCCGCCGTGTTCGGCCGAGGTGCTTCAGGGCAGGGAAGTGCTTCCTGCTGGTCTAAAGTGACACACTAGAGCTCTGCGGGGCAACAGCTCTCTGTGTTGGGCTATCGTCGTGACAACAGTTGCTCAATCACCACCCGGGGGGCGGAGGGATATATGAGGCTTTGTTGCCACGCCCCTTTTTATATCACTGGCCGCCTCAGTCGGCGAGCCTTTATTAAAATACACTTTGGAAATAACTTTTTAGAAATCTGAAATGATTCCCAGGAATCGTCGACATCGGGAGTCCTTTCAGCTTCATTGCAAAGTTCTTGATTGAACGTGAGGCCAGTCTGAAGGGAACTCCTGCCTGGCAGCAGTTACCCAAATCCTCTCATTCATTTCCATCTTTTGCTGGTCAGCATTATTCTTTTCTTTTTGGCCTTAACTCCAGAAGGTGCCTCAGAGTTTGTCTGTATCACCTGGTAGAGGACTGTCCAGTGTGGTTTAACATTTTTTTAAAACAAAGTGCTTCTTTGTCTGAAACCACTCTGTTCACATTCTGACGTCTCTCGAATAGATCTCTACCTTTAAATGTTCTACATAATGATTTAACTCATGCGGGGGGGGGGGGACCCCCTCACAGACCGTCAGTTCACCTGTATATAGAGGGGGCTTGTTCAATTTTATATTTAAATACAACATTAAGTGCTTCACTTGGGATAATACAATCAAAGCTTTGGGAGGAAGGGACGGGGACGGGGGGGGTGTAATATAATAATTCTTTTGGAGGAGCAGGATGATATCTTGCATACTTTGGGGCTTAAGGTGCATAAATTCATGGGGTCTCTTAGCTAAGCACTCGGCTACGCTACATAGGTCAAAGTAAGACAGCACGCTGATACCATGGTGGTGCAGTAGTGCTCCTGTGATCGATCGATCAATCAATAAAGGGGGGTTCGTTGCTAGTAAGTATACTAACACCGTGTGTTCGGCAGCGCTGCCGGAGTTTGGGGGGGGTCACTGCACATCCAGAGTCTGAACGGCTCTCTGGATCCACGTAAGACAAACCTCACACGAGATGGCTATGGCAACAAACCGCATTAAACACACGCAACTACCGACCACGGCGACCAGGCCTTAGATGCTGTAACCGTGGAAACCACATCCAACCTGTCACCGTAACCGCGAGCTTAACATCTGCGTGCAGAGATTCAAACAATGGGACCATTAAAAACACAGAGTAAGTAATTCAAACTGTACAGACACCCATACGTACTAACGGGGCTCGTTTAAGTGGCGGGTCATAATGAGGGTGGGGGGGGGGGGGGGGGGGGGGGCGGGGGCTTCAAGCTTATTTTACTCTGAGTGCGGGGAGGGAGGTGTTGAGGATTTTTGAGGGGTGGGGCGCTTACAGACTCATGGAGAAAACCTCTCTTCATAAAACAAATAAAACCACATGAGAAAAACTAAACAGGAAGTAACGGCTAACTGCTTTAGCCAATCACATGGAGCAGCAGGGGGAGGAGGAGGAGCCTCGCTTCACTTCCTGCTCCATGTGATAATGTGCACAGCTAGCAGGGCGGGGCTACAAAAACAGGGAAAGGCAGTCGAACACAGAGAACTCTCTCAGAGCAGTGCATCCTGGGAGGGACGCAATCACTCCTCCTTCTGTAGTGCTCCGTCTGACGGGCAGTCGTCAAGGCAACAGGGGGCCTCCACCTCCACCCCCTCTGATTGGTTGTCTCTGCTGGCTAAGGCACACGGGATTGGCTGGGCCAGGGGGGCCAGCTCCAAGGGCTGGCCGATGGCGGAGGCTGCTGAGCTGCCGTTCAGCTGCTGAGTCGCAACCTCTGGCGTGGAGCCCGCCTCCTCTGAGGGCTTTGGGGGAGAGCTGGACAGGGGGGGTGACGACGTCTGGGGGAGGACAGACAGACAGACAAAGAGGGAAGTTAAAGCTGCGATGTTGTCTGGTGATTTCGGACAGAGTTTTCTCATTTTGCAGGAGTTTTTAAATCGACAATCGAGGACAGCAGTTGCTCCCAAACGTCATAAAATGTAGCTGTTGTACTAATATTGACTCTTTTTAACGGTGCAGGTTCATGATGAAGTGAGCTGACTACAGTTAGTAACATTACGGCCTCAGCCCAGAAGTAACAGATCAAACCAAGTAGAATTTATTAAATACAATAAAACATTAAATATTTTCCAGGTTTTTTGGTCATTTTAATAAAATTCCAGGTGTTTCCAACGACTGGAAAACTAGTCTCTAAATCTCCAGGTTTTCCAGGATGTGTGCGAACCCTTGTAGGAGCTTTGTGTCTGCTGCTCGGGTCGTACCTGTGTCCGGTTGGCGGGGGCCTTTTTCACTCCCCTTACTTTCGCTGGAATCTCTTTACCCCTCCTGTGAGGAAGAAACACAACAAGTATCAGCAGTCTGCAGAATTAAAGCAACATTATGTAACTTTTCTCTAAATAATTACAGTCGCTGTCATGTTTTCTGGTCTTTCTCTGACTCTGTGATTTACAGAGTTTCCTGATGGACAGTAAAGTATCTCCTGTTAAATGTAAAGTTAGTTAGCTTAGCTGGATGCTTGCACAATGTTGGATGTTCACTTCAAAGTTCTTCAAACAAATACACACTCTCAACCGACAGCGAAGAGTCAAAAAGGTTTTTATAACATAACATTAATGTAATTAGGGATGCACTGAGCAGAAACACAGCAGATAAATGGACACAGATATCTATAAAAGGCTGTAGATGTTGTAGATGTAAATGTGTATTTATGATCATAAACAGGCAGCAAAATAAACTCCATTATAAATGTGGCTCAGTAAGATTGACGCATTCAGCCTTTAATGTAAAAACTTTCCTCTGCTGGTGTTTTTCTGGTAGTTTCTGGAGTTTAATAAAGACGAGTTCAGTTACTCTGCAGAATCAAACTGTTTGATTGCCAAACATTCCCACTCGTACAAAGAAGCGGTGCAGAAGCCCTGCGGGGTGCTTTGCAATCAATACTGATACATAATCAAGTGGAAGGTGTTTCTTAAATGTGCTTTGTTAGCGAGCTCTCCGAGGCTGTTGGCTCGTATTCATCTGCAGGTATTGCCGGTAATTGCGATGACTTGCAGACATATTTGTGCTCTGCTGCTGAGGAGGAGGAAGTCTTTTCTTTCTCTTTTCTTTGAGCTTATTGCCTCTGGCCCTAAGAAACAACAGCGTGTTTGCCATTGAGGGAACAGATATTAATATTAATGCGTGCTAATGCTAATCACTATGACTAAATGATATGTCAGTGTTTCCAGTATGGACTGAACTGTTGTATTAATAACTGCATATATAATGTTTTTACAGCTCTGGAAAGCCGGTGGATTAACAGGCCGGACCGTCATTAGCTGCAGTGAGTAGAGATGGTCGTCGTACTCACCCTCTCCCCGCTCCCACTGACACCACCTGCATGTTGAACCCCCCTCTCCCACGGACTGGTTTGTTTCCAGCCCACTGGCCGACAACCATGCCGGCTATCTCCAGTTTCCCTCCCTGAGGGGGGATGGACTGGATGCCTGCAGAAAAACAAGTTACAACTGAGGCAGGTTTCTACAGCTCCCCCCCCACAAACCCCAACGACCTATGAACTGTATACAACAGTGGATCCAACCCTTTTTCTGTTTTTAAGTGAACTGACGACTCATTAAGTGACATATTTTACAGATATTTCACATTATATTTAATAACAACAACAGTGGAGAACAACTGATAAACTGTACAATGAACCCAAACAGTGAACACACAATAATAGCAGATTCTTTTCTGTGAATATTGATCCGAGATCTTTTATGCAGTTCTCTGTCTGAATTATTTCTTTTCTTTAGTTATTAACAATCATAAAGAATTAACAGACTTATTTTTTGACAGATTTAGTGTTTTCTTCTCATTGTTCTATCAGCTCTCTGGTTGTTTGAACTTTCATCAGGCTGTTTATCAGAGAGTGATGGATCCGTGTGCTCAGCTTTTCAAAGTTTAAAAATAACAATTTAATTTCGTTTTCTTCACAGAAATGAACAAAATGTTGATATATAAGTACATTTTCTTACAACCCTTAAAATCAAGAAGGGCTCGCCCTCCCGAACCCCAGATTGGGAACCACAGGTATATAGTATGAACTACATACTATCGTACTGTAAACTGCCAGCTAACATACAAGAATACAGAAGACTTAGAGATTAGTTTTAAATATACTTTTTCATCATTTTCCCAACGAGAGCACAATACAGACTGAAGAGCTGCTTAAAGTGAGTGAGTATGAAATCAGGACAAAGAGAGAAACATTCAGAAGTGTCTCTGTACCTGGGAAGGCTCTGGGTCTGTGCTGCGCAGGGTGATGCGGATGATGTGGGTGATGATGAGGTGGCATACCGCCCATGGGGCGAGGTGGGTAGAGTGGAGGCATGGGGTAGAAAGGGGGCACCATGGCGGGGGGCAGGAAGGCAGGAGGTGGCAGAGGAGGGGGAGGTGGAGGAGGGCGGGACAGGTTGATGCCCTCGAGGATTGCCTGACGCATCTTCTCGACCTTGGACACCAGCTCCTCCTGCACAGAGGAAAGAGGACTGTGACTGAGTGGGGAACATTATCAGCTACAATAAAACCGATCGATTATCAATCCAGGAGAACACAGGAATTATTTCCAGGATATTTAGTCATTTTAATCAATTTCCAGGAGTTTTCATGACAGGAAAACTAGTCTGTAAATGTCCAGGTTTTCCAGGACGCGTGTGAATTCTACCTAATGAGGAAATTTGGCTGCACAGGATAATTAAAACATATTGTAAATTACAATAGGAGGCAATAATAAATTAATAACTCAACACGCACAGTGCAGACAACAATAGTTCAGGTGTAAAATGTGTTTATGAACTGAACAAAGTTATGGCATTTGGTATTAAAGACTCTGTGTAAATGTGAGCGACTCTTCCAGAGGCAATTTATGAATTCATTAAACAGGATGAGGAGTATCAGACACAATTTGTCTGGCTTTTTGTTCCACTTGTGTTTTATATACAGTAAACATCCCAGTTGTTTCTGCTCTTTCCCAATAATCTTACTGGCGCTCGTCTACAATACTGATGTTTAAAATGTTCCGTTTATAGAAAACTCTTCTGCACATCAAATCAAAGCGCTTTCTAAACTTTCTAAACAGCCAGCCATCACGGATTGAGATGTTTTTGGGGAGCCGTCCTGTCGCTGCACAACCTGCAGCTGCAATCTGGATGCTTCTATTCCCAGACAAAATACTGTATTAAGTTATGCCGAGTGTGGCATATAATCAGATCACAGTTGCTCACAGTAGGATGGAGAAGGGCTCCAAAACAGCCTCGAAAATATTTCTGCTTCTATCGTATGAATCCAGTTTTTGGATTAGATACAGCTGCTGCATTGCTTTTTTTAAAATAATAAATAAGTTATTACTTAAATTACAGCCAAAAAAGGTTCAGAATTTATTTAAATTTAGGAACCTTTTTTTTGACTGTAAGCCATGTAATTGATCTGTCTGGGGTGGTTGTGGCTGGGATCGGCTCCATCCCACTGCGACCCTCCAAAAGCATGAGCCGGTAGCTAATGGATGGATAACTCTTACTTAAAAGAGACACACACACACACATCCATCATATCCTCAGTTAATTTCTACCCATAAAACACACACACACCACACACAGGTCCGTACCTGCCCCTCGCACATGTCCAGCAGGGCAGCTCGGTCGCGGGCGGCCCGGGCCAGTTTGCTCTGGAACAGTTTGCCGTCAAAAAAGCCCCAGGGACAGCAGTGTTCCCATGGCAACGGCTGGCCGCACACATCATTGATGAACAGCGCCGTGTCAACGCCGGCCATAAAGAGGGAAGCCAGCTGCACACCGCGGGCATCCACCTTCTCCACCTAACAGACACATAACGGACAAATGTGAAAATCACAGCATATTTAAACTGTCGGCGGCTCCCAGAGACGAACAGCAGCAGCAGCAGCAGAAGAAGAAGAAGAAGAAGAGGTGAAGTTGTGAATCATGAACTCGTGGTATGTGGGCACAAATAAAGACACTAAAAAGGAGTGTAGTAAAAGCCTTTGTACACCAAGTCTGTATTTTTCTGATGCGTTTTTTAACCCTAAGCCCGACGTGATCTGTTGTCCTTTTTGTTGTGACATTTTCAATATTAGACGTCAACCAATGAGGAAGATTGTGTTGTCCTCTCACTTGAAAGCAGAAAAAGGAAACACTGGGTCCAAGGTGTCGAGAGCAAAGGGAAGTTGAACTGTCGGGTCCTGCGAAGCCCGATGCTGCTGTCGCTCTGTCTTTCTCATTTCCTCCTTTGCTTCTCTCCTCTGGAGGTTCCTCTCTGCTCACCGCGGCCACAACAACTCCACACTGTCAATCTCCCTCCTGACTGTGTGCTGTCATCATCATTTATTTATTTTTTTCTTTTCGGGTGTGAAATAGAAGTTTCTAAAACCCCAAATTCCACCGGTCACAGGCACAACGCACTCCAGCTCCACCACGGTCACCGGAGTTGGTTGCGCCTGTTATAGACAATGCTAAAAACTCCACCAGAAGTGCTGCGGTGCCTCCCAGAAGAAGACCCACTCGGGTCAAGCAGCACAGAGTAGACAGACCTAGCATAAACAGCACAGAGAAGCTGGTAAATTTTCAAAATAAAATACTGCGTGGAGACTTTGGATTAAATTACATGCATCAACATTGTGGCACCAGGCCGGAAGTCTGTCAGTCAGTCAGAGGAAAAACACTCAGTTCTGCTTCCTTTTTAAGGACAAAATACACAATGTCGGGCAGACAACACGCTCTGGTGACGGACAGGATGATGGGCACAATGTGAGGTTGTATTAATACTTAAACTTTGACGAAAAATACAGACTTGGTGTGCAAAGGTCTTAAGATGTCCAGCAGCTGTACCACTGAGATTCAGGATGCATTCCTCACAAAGGGACCCTGGACAAACTGCTGTCCACACTGGACAACGCCCACCACCCTCTGCACGACACCTTCACCAGGCAGAGGAGAGTGTTCAGTGGCAGACTGCTGTCCCAGTCCAGCTCCAACAACAGACTCAAAAACTCTTCCGTCCCCCCATCAGACTGTACAACAGCTCCCAGTAAAGGCAGAGAGGACAATAGATAATAGACAATTTCTATCTGTATTTGCACATCCATTTGCACTGTTTACTGTTTGCACCGTTTATTGTAGCTATATATATATATAAAAAATACGTTATATTTTATCTTCTATTTTATTTCTAATTCTATTCTTAAGGTTAGGGATTTAAATTTTAGCCTAATGTATGTTTTGTATTTTGTATGCTACTGGATACTTGAATTTCCCTCGGGATAAATAAAGTATCTATCTATCTATCTATCTATCTATCTATCTATCTATCTATCTATCTATCTATCTATCTATCTATCTATCTATCTATCTATCTATCTATCTATCAGGAAACTAGAAATAAAATGAAAGCTGTGCAGAGACTTTTGTATTCTGTAGAGAAATCCCAGACCAATGATAATCCAACCATGAGGGAGCGAGGAGTGGAGTCTTACCTTGAGCTCCTGTAGCTGGTCGGGTTCGTAGAGCTGGCTGGAAACAGCCTGAGCCAGAAAGGCATCTAGCTCATGTCTCTGGAGGATCCTTCCCCCAGGCCACTGCATCATATACCTGAGAGAGAAGGAAAACAGAGCTCACTTTAGAACACGAACACAGAACTACAGTGTACTGATGCTCCAAACGTCTGAACTAAAAACAGAAACTCAGGTGCCCACACAGCGACTCTCTCTAAGGGCCACAAATATGCTTTAGCGACAGTCAAAGCTCCACCTGACTCCAAACCTTTCCAGTAGAGAAACAGTGAGCCTGATAGAAGCGTCTCATGGTGGGTTAGCTCTGACTACCAGCTCTACAAACGCTGTGCATGTTACACTGAGTGGAGGTCAGTCAGTCTCCCCTGTATCCCCCAGACCCATTTCATCACACACTGCCTCATTCCTTCATTCCGCTGTTGCATTTTGAAACTAGAATAGTGCACTCAGTATAGGGTTGGGTGATTGGGCGACTATATCAGCTATGAGCTCCATCGCCGGCTGTTTCTTTTGGACCATTTTTTGTAATTTTAATGAGCTAATTCTCTGAAGAACGAGAGCTGCTGCTAATAAAATAACTTGAAGCTCAACACAGCTGATGTAACTGTACACACTGTGCAGTGTACCGAGAAAATATGCAGTCTAAAGAGTATTAATTTAGTAGTAATTTTTATTTCCCTAATTGATACTTGTTTTGTCTGTAAAATGTCAGAAAATAAAGAAAAATGCCAATCACGGTTTCCCATCATTTCAGCTGTAGGAGTTCCTGCCTCACACTGTATTAAAGGACCACACACACACACACCCACCCAAACACCCACCCACACACACAGTATACCTGAGCACGCAGCACATGAGCAGCAGATGCTGTGGGACCTGTGCTGGGTTGAGGAGGGCTGGGCAGTCAGAGCGTAGGCAGGCCAGGAAGGCCCTGGTTCTCCTGGAGCGGTCCTCGCTGGCACGACCCAACCACAGCCGCCGCAGGTTGGGGCAGGTCCACTCCCGGAAACACAGGGCTGGAACCAGCTCCGGAGTCAGGGCCGACTTGGCTTTGCCGCTGCTCCACTCTTTGACAATCACTGGAGGAACTGCGACACAGAGAAAGAGTGTTGGTATGAGGGTTCCCACTCTTTTCTATCACATCATTTTTTGGGGTTTTTCTTGACAATACAGGACAGCACTTGCTTACAAACAGGTATATAAGCATACTGAAAAAGATCACTGCAAGTCAGTTCCATTTTCCATCTGGTAAACCCGCTTTGATGTCTCATCTAGTTTATCCAACCAAGAGTTGAATTTCATACAAAATACGCACACAGGTTAACACAGGCTATCTGAGTGAGGGGCTTTTCCAGGACAACAGATTATTTCCAGGATATTTGGTCATTTTAATCAGTTTCCAGGTGATTCCATGACTGAAAAACAAGTTTCTAAATGACCAGCTTTTCCAGGACATGTGGGAACCCTGAAAAATGTACGTGGTTCGGTTTAAAAGAAACTATAGAAAAAGAGACTATGATACAGTGATACAGGGGTTTCAGTGCTGGGCTATATGACTGCTGTGATCTTATTCTAATCACATAGCTAACACACTCCTACAAGGCTGCTAACTGTGAGAGTGAAGGTCCATTGTGTCTCTCAAACATAGGCTGTTGTGAACTCTGTAACCTGTTATGAGACAGTCTATTCATGTCCTGAAATATAAGCAGTTGTTTAATCCTCGTGGTAGAGAAGTCTCACAGCAGACATTCTTACTTTTCATTTCAGGAAAAAAGCTAAAGCTCTAACCACAATAAGGATGGCTCCATTACATCTGGAGGTATCAGTAAGCAAGCATGCACCATGGGCCCTGCAACTGGTACAGCTTAAATGCAATGCAGCCGTCATTAATGATGTCATTTACACCTGTGTTTGGCCAATCAAAATGCTGCAAACTTTATCAAAAGACGTGCTTCCTCCTTAACCACCCGTCTGATGAGTCAGCAGATATATAACCACTTCTCATTTGTGAAGAGAACAGAGGAAAAAACACGATAAAAGCGATAGAAAATTTTATCGCGCACCACATAAAGGCTCGATGGAGGTGTCGAGGCTGCAAGACACTGTCAGTCTTAAGTTCCTCTCACACAGGCACTGCAACTCTGCACTCTTACAGACATTAGAGCTGTACACGAGTCTGAATCGGTTGCACCGAAAGTTAAATGTATTTAACCCGGTCGGTCCAAAGTCCGTGTGAGCTCATGTGTGATTAGAGAGAAGTCACTGCCCGGAGCGAGTGGGCGTGTTGATGACGTTGCACTGAGCGTAGCTGAGTCGACTGTTTTTTGTTCATACTGCCAATCAGAAACAGCCTGCATTAGTCTCTATTACACTGAAGTCACCCTCCATTTCTTACAGTTTTGTGGTTATTTCTGGAGCTTTGGTGACACGACAATCTCCTGCTGCGTGCTGCATGTGTGAAAGAGCACGACCGGACAGTTTGGGGTTCACATGTGAAAACAGCTTTATTTTATTAAGGATTAAGGCAGTCAGAGGAAGTGAAAGAGAGAGCCCTGCTCACAGTTCAGTTATAAACCTAGTGGACTACAGAGCGTTTCTCCTGCCGGGCTTCTGACGGCTCGACTGGACCAGATAAACAAAAAGGTTTCCCTAAAATTAGGCCACACTAGCTAATTAGCTAACTGACACACATTAAAATCTAAATATAAAACACAAACACTGTTCTTGAAGTTGCCCAGGGGGACAATATTTTAGAGCTCAGGTAGTAAAAGACCAAACCTGCTTGCAAGGCACTCTCATCAACCCCTAACTAAGAGATCAAAGTATCTGTGAAGTTACAGTTTGCTTTGTATTGCAGATTCACACAGTCTGCCCTCATTCATCAGTCCCCGAAACCTACCTTCCAGGGGAGCCCTCTTGCGGAGAGCGAGTCTCTCCAGGCGGCGGTGTGTTTCAGCCAGGCTGAAGAGGACGCCGTACGCGTACTGTCTGGCAGCACGGAACAGCAGAGAGGCAGGCGGCAGCTCAGAGTTACACTCATCCTCTATACACACTGGCATCTTCATCTCTCCCTGAGGAAGGACAAAGGGGGAGGAGATTAAAGGGAGGACCGAGAGCTGTGGTGTGATCGACGTTTTTATAACCATTGTTTGACAAAAAAACAAAACAAAGTGCCTTGCAAAGATAGAATACTTGAGTGAGGAAAACTGTTGTACCTTGGTCAATATATGGAAAATCTGGGGGTACATCAGTCCTCTTCTGTGTCTGTGCTCGGCTACACGAAGAACCTCAGCACTGACCTGAAAAGAGAAAACATGGTGACAACTGTTCCCCCCGACCTACAGCTGCTCTGCGTCGTGTTTTCTTTTTAATAAACTTCTCTCACGGACACACACACCTGAGGCAAAGGGGGTGTGGTTATGTCCATGTGACTCCGCGTCGCCATAGACAACAGTGACGGAATGTTTGACCCGCTCCCGTTGCCTTGGGAACCGTCTCCAGAGGCCGAGCCCCCCCTTCCAGCAGGATCCTCCCACCGGGAGGGCTTGTCCGTCAAATGGCTGAGAGAAAGGGATCATGGGAGAGTGTGTGTTAGTGATCAGATAGTCGTTGATCCAATAACCAGAATCTGTACTTTATTTCCTCCATTAGAGACAAAATAAATGAATTTAAAAATACTTTGGCTCTATAACAACACATCGTTATTCATTCGTTGATTTATATTTTGAATCTGCTAAGCAAGTTCCAACTAAAGTTGTTTAATTACTCCACTACATTTATTTAAGTACAATATTTGCTTCCAAAATGTAGTAGAATATAAAGTAAAATACAACGGAAATACTCGAGTATTAAATTGTACTTAAGTACAATACTTGAGAGTAAATTAACTTAGTTACACTCAACCACTGTTTATTCTGAATTTTACTACAAATACATACTAGTTCCAGTTATTGGGTTCCTTGATTACTGATAATCGTCCGATCTCCAACGTGTGTTGACACAATATCAAACATAAAGAAGAACTTCCAAGTTTGTGTTGAATGCTCACTTTGCAGTAGCAGCAACATAAACCATTCAGAAACTTTAAAAAACACTCCACAACAAGAACAAAGTGTCCACATTTGGACTTCTAAACCCAAACTGTTGGGTCAACAAAACATGCAAGGAGCGAAAAACTCAGTGGACAGTTTTCACTGCAGCTCCATCCTCCTCCTAATCCCTGAACCTCTAAGCTGTAGCTGGGCTACTTTACACTGTAAGCCTGTTGACAAAAAGTCAGGCAGTCAACAAGTGTATCTGATGTACAGTTGCTATGGATGCACTGCATTGTGGGAAGGATCTGAGTCCAACTCCATTTACCTAAATATAAATTAAATGTAACACATTAACGACATTTGGCACCCGATTTTAACAAGCTACCTCATCCAAACACTGGAGGTCCTGGTTCAAAAATATTACGCTTACAAGCTGAAATTATTGATACGATACGAATTAAAGTTTAACTGGGAGACTCACAAAAACACTCGCAGACTGAAGTAGTTTCTTCACTACGGTAAAGAAAATATCGGTTCTGATCGGGTTTATTTTAGCTGAAACCAAACAGTTGAAACTTGCACAGATGTGCCCTGATACTGACATCAGGACCAACTGGTGCTGATGTTTTGAGGTTGGCTGAACTCATCACAGATTTAGGAACTGGTTACTGCAGACCAACAATATAAATAAAAGAGGCAGTGCTCAGTCGATGTATGACTTGCATTTATTTATCACTGCATTTATTTGCAGTCTGTGGTTCAGCTGCACTCGGTTTGCCTCCATGTCTCAGTGAGAGTGGGTTGTGTTGGTGAAGCGGGACTTGATACCGATTGGACCTACGTAAATAACTGGAGAGATGTAACAATGGAGATTTACATAATGGAATAGATTTACATGATGGTTATCTTTATACAACACTAAGAGAAATGGGTGCAGTATGTCAAACCTCAGAACAGGAAAATGTGTAATTTCTTATTTATTCATTTATTCTTGTTGTTTTCTCTTGAGTGTCCAACTATCTCGCTGCAACAAGATTTACCTTTCCCTCTCTGCATGTATATGGTTACGTTACCTCTCTTTTTTCAAAGCTATCCCTTGAAAACGAAAGGAAAGACTACGGATCAAATCCAAATCACAATAAGGCTGAGAGAGATTATATTTCTGGTACAAGATATTTTCTTACTCCTGTTGGTTTGTTTATTACTATTATTCAGGGCTTTGAAATTGTACCTTTTTCTTACTGCTTATATATTTATTTGTGTTGTTATTATGGATGTAATCACTTTGCTTATTGCAACTCTAAAAGACGATGTACATTTAACATCTCTGTGTATTTAACCTTGTGCTGCAGCAGTATTTACATTAATGTGTTAAATTATATATTATAATAAAATTTGCAGCATGTTGAAAGGGTTACAGAAACGTTTCTGGGTTCATATTAAATGGTTTTCAGACACGACACCAACAGGTTAAACTACCACAACATTTACGTAGCAGGTTGCTTGTCTGAAGGAGATTTCTCTCTCATATTTCTGCAAGCTTTCTGTCCTGTTAGTGTGCAACAGCATTAAAGACGGAGCAACATACTGCGGCACTCTCGTTAAAATAGCAAAAAAAAAGCCACCCAGAAATATACTGCACTTAAAAAAACGACAACAAAACAACCACAAATAAATCTTCTAGTGCTTTTTAAAAGTCAATTACCATTTTCCTTGCGGGCACTACTGTTGTAAAGCTGCTACTGTTGTAAAGCTGCTGCCGTGAAAGCTGAGCTCTCCTTGTGATTAGTCAAAACATGTGTTATGTAAAGTGCTTTGCTCCACCTATAAAATGCCAAAGTCCCATTTTCACTTAAATCTAATTAGGGAGCTAACAGTCAGTTAAAGCCTGAGTGGTGTAAACACGACTTTTTTTTTTTCACTCGCTGGGACTCTTACTTTGCGTTGTTGTCGTTGGGTTCGTCTCCATCCGATGACGAGGAAGGAGACGGAGAGGGACCAGACTGAGTGCTGGTGTGATGATTGGGTAATCGATTTCCCCCCTGAGTGGAATCATATGGAGCCGACCAATCGGAGAAGCCCATCTTGTTCGTCAGTGAGTCGTTGCAGTCTTGGGATGGCGGCGGTGGCGGGTTCTGGAACAGAGGGATGGAGCCAGGTCCATATGGAGCATTTTGATAGGGTGGCTTTAACCCTGGAACCTGGGGAGGAGGGAACTGGGATTGGACAGAGGGGAGAGGAGAGGAGGAAGTAAAGAGAGGACAAGAGAAAGAGCACAGGAGGGAGAGAGAGAGAGAGAGGAGGGAGGAAGGGAGAGGGAGAAGATGTCTCAGGGAGGGACGGGAACTAACACTGTCCTATTTAATTTCAGATCAAACTAGAAGCATCTAATAAAGGCTGGTGGCAGGATCTGGGATGGAAAGGACTGCACCCTCCCTCCCTGCCTGCCTCCCTCAGTTTTTCCCCTAAATGAGCACATGCCACAAAGGGATTTCAAAAGAGCAAAAAAAACTTAATCCACTCTCCTACATGTACATTCATGCAGAGCAGAGCACAAAATCACACGCACAAATCAAACAGCATGAAGGATTAAAAAAAATTAAAATAGATAAGGAATCTACCTGATTCTTTCCCGGCTGCATCGGTCCCATGTGGCCAGGTGGTCCCCCAAATGGATTGGGTCCAAACCCAGGTACTAAAGCAGGGAGAGACGAACAAATCAAGGATGTAAATTAACTTTTCCCCCACATAATACATATTTAGTAAAACAGAAATGATTACATAATGTTTGGTTGTATTTACTACTCACAGATGAAAGAGGAGGGCCCCATGTTGGGCGAGCGTGGTTTGGAGGCAGCTGAGAAATACTCCACAGCTTTCTTGAATCGCTCCACCTTGTCCTCCATACGAGACTGAAAAGAAAAAGGGAACAGCAGCAACAGTTAAAGACGACATTGTATACAATATTTAGTTGATGTTTGCTAAGTCTGTGGTTCCCAATCTGGGGTCGAGAACCCCCATGACGGGTCGCCAAAGCTTCACAGGGGGTGAGAGGTTTTCTCAAAACTTAAAAAAAATACACACAGAAGGCCTATATCTCAGCATTTGGTTCACTTCTGTGACTGAAAGTTAATTGTCTAATAGAACAATGGCCAAGCATCAGGGACAAGAAAACAGAATTTGTCAAAAAAAAGACAGCCTATTAAGTATTTGTAGTTGTTAAAAATGATAAAAATACATAATACAGAGAAACGTATAAAAAAAAGTCCTTAACAGGAAATAATCTGCTCAAAATTCATCCAAATCACTCACAGTTACTGACTTCACCGTTTGAATTCATTGTACAGTTTTAAATATAATATGAATTATCCATAAAATATGTCAGTCAGTTTCCTAAATGATAGAGAAGGGGTCCTTTAAGGTAAAAGGTTGGGAACCGCTGGGCTAAATGATACAGAACTGACTTCATCTTCAAATCAAAAACTGCTGAATCATACAAATGTTATAAACTATACCAACTGTTTGGCTATATAACCCCACCTGGCCCAGCCCCTGCTCGGAAGAGAGACAGTCAGCGGTAGAGAGCCAGAACAACCACACTCACCACTCCACTGCGAGTGCAACAAAAACCCAGCGAACAAAAAGCCAATAAGAGTAATTTATTAATGTAATCCGAGAAATAAACACTCAGCAGAATACAGCTCATTCAGGTAAAGGCTGAACCAAACAAACACTGCAGGACACCTTTACAGAGAGAGAGAGAAACTCCCTCCAGACAGCGACGAGAGCAAAAAATATTAAAGATGAGTTTGTTCATTTCTAGCCTTCTTTGTTATTTTGTAGAATCCTTAAAAAAATTAAAAACATTAAAGGAACAGCTTGGACAGGGTTCCAGGACCGTTCCAGGACCTTTCCAGGACATCTTCCAGGAGTTTTTCTTGACAATACGGGACAGCACTTGCTTACAAACCGTCATATAATCAACGATTTCAAGGAAAATCGACTCCAGTAATTTGGCCACAGCCCATAAGTAGCACTTCAAATCAAGTGGGAGTCATTTTATTTTACAGAAAATCTACTTTTAGTAAAAAAGTGAAAGGAAAGTGTTCATTGCACATAGAATTAACATCACTGTGCGCGTATTTATCAGTCACAGGAAATTTTATGCACGTAGAAATGAGAATTTCGCCCACAGCCCTGAAGAAAAAATAGATTCAATGTCGGAAAGACTGTCGAGTTTCAAACTAAATACTCGGCTTACATAGGCTATCTGATAGAGGGGCTAAAATACAATAACTTCCAGGACAACATAGATTACTTCCAGGATATTTGGTCATTTTAATCGATCTTGTGGTGGTTCTATAACTTGAAAACTCTTCTGTCTGTAAATTCCCAGGTTTTCCAGGATGTCTGTGAACTCCACTGGATGCAGGCAGACTGTGTCTTAATCCAATGCAGAGCAGTATTTTAGTTATCAAACACTTCGATCCCTCACCACAACGGGACAAATGAGATGGGAAAGGGTCAGTGAACGTCTCGTAGCAGTGACAAGATGACTGATTTGATAAAATGCTGCTGAACTCCAACTTTACTTCTTCAATCACAGACACTGAAAATAACTGGAGACCTTTTATATACATATTGTAAATATGTCTTTTATGTGTGATCACTGTAAACACTGCTCCCTGTGATGAACTGAAACTAGATAAGCACATGGATTTATATAAGGTGTGGTGTAATTCTATGGTTCAGCACCAGTGTGTGAGGAAGTGCTCATGCTGACTCAGGTCTTGTGTCAACAGTAATGACCTACTTAACCGTCAGCAACCGTCTGCCATGTAAGGTCGGAAATAACTTATAAGCATGTTAATTTTAAAATTTTGAGATGTAAATTTTATTTTAAGGGTTCATGCAACTTTTTAAAAAAACATTCCAGCACTTTGAAGCTACATAAACAAAAGATTTTGACTCTCAAAGCTTTGATCACCACAGTTAAATACAGTGAAAAATATAAATTGCAGTATTCCTTTATACCCACAATCAATGTATAATGCCACACAGCTGTTCTTAATAACTTCATTATGAGTATTATTAAATATGACTAATTTCAGAGTAAGAGACCAACGGAGGACTTGTAGCTATAAATGACGAGTGAACACGACAGGAGACAACAAACAATTAAAATATTTAAATGAGTTTTGGTTTATACAAGTGATAAAAAACCAGATAATGCTGAAAATCAAACATTTTTCTCTCACTGATTCATTCCAATAATTTCTATCAATTTCATAATTTAAGACGTCATTATTAAGTCAACATTTCCTGCAGGTTTTTCACAATAAAAGCCTTCTATTGACGGGAAAGCATTGTAACCTCCCAAACCACTGAAATTATTTTATTGTGAAAGATCAGAAAACAGAGACATAGAAGCGTTTTACTCAGGACATTTAAATTTAAGCATATTCTTAACCTCAGCAACATAATAATAAAACATAATTAAGATCCAGACGTCTGATGACTAAAATCCTTCACTCGGTTAAAATATAGAGTTTAGAGATGTGTGCGATTAGCCGGTTAGACGTTGATAATCTCACTAGTTGACACCAGAAATACTAGTCGGTTAAACTAATTGTTACAATTTATTGATGTAAATTTCTGATTAATTGTGTCTTTATGCAACCAGAAGTTATAGTCCTAACACCTGAAGTCTGCTTTGGGAGTCTAGCAGCGGATTCCTCTACCATCTAATGGGGCGTTTGTCCACCGAACTCGATCTGCGAGTTGGTTTCCTGAGTTACGAACCAGAAGTTGCAAACAGAACGCCCCCGAGGTCGTATATACGACTCCTGAAGTCGTCTGAACTCAGAGGACCCCGAGTTCAGTTACCAAGATGGCTACTCCGAGTGTCACACGTAGTAAACATTGAGGTTTTGTACTATTTTAAGCACTTTTGTCTTTGTTGTAACCAAATAAAGAAGTCGTACACACAGCACTGTATACTGTTACCTATAGGCATGTCGCTACAGTCTTATTATGAGTTAAATACGCCTCATTAGTTATTTTGTAGCTTGTGCAGCTGAAATTAGCTCGAGACGCTCCATGTTGCTATGACAACAATGCCGAGCCTTGAGCAGAAAGCAGAGCAGTAGCGTAACGTTAATCAAAACCGAATATTCAGATATCAAACTGTGAAATATGGTTGTGTAATATGTAATGAAAGCTGTTAACCCATCAGTAATAATTACTGAAGGGGGGGGGGTAGACATGACCTACCTGTGACTGTTTGAAGACATCTCTGGCGATGGCGTCGAGGTTTCCCAGGTCTTTGATGGAGGAGACGTACTCAGAGACGGCCTTGATCACCACCTCACAGGGCGGCAGCACCAACTGATGGGCTCGCACCTGAGACAGCAACAGAACAAAGCTTTTAATCCAGATATCCCCCCCTCCCTAGATTGGGTGGGGAGTCCCACCAGGAAAGAGCCAACATGGAGATATTTATCTGTATTATTTATCATTTTATTTAATGGAAGTAAACAAAAAACAAATGACTACTTGTTGTACAGCTGTGTTACTAGATGGCTGATCAATTACAGCGCAGATAAAAAGGAAAGGCAGGAGGTTATGTTGCCTTGAAACAGCATTAAGGGCACAACAGATGGACTGGATCACTCAAATTACAAGTTGTTATTGTTCCATTAACAGATATAACATTACAGAAGGCATCTGTGCTAAATTTGGCATTCAACCAAACATGTTTAATCAGACCTATCAGACAAACTCATTAAGTTTTTGGGGAATTTTGTTTAGGTCTCAATAGTGAGTTTAATTCAAAGAGACATTTTGGTTAGTATTCCCTTGCAGCCTATATTAAAAACATTTAGAGATAACACTGAGGAGATGCCTTCACTTCAGGCTGTCTCGCCTAATACGCTGCATCTGATTCTTTTCTGGTCTGGCTCACCGAGTTAAAAATTGAATCCGTCTCATTAGGCATGAGAGAAAAGACTAAATCCCCTCTGTTGTTGCAGGCCATTACTCAAAGTGTGCATTTTATAGGAATAGATCAAAGCTCAACATTTAAATACTCAGCACTGCAGAGTTCATGTGAGGCAAAGGACCAGCTACTGGAGGAGTTCTGCTTTCATTAGTGAGCACAATTACACACACGACGAGGTAAATGGAAATAAAAAGAGATAAATGCGAAGAATGCCGTGGCGAGCCGTGAAAGTGGCGTTTTCTGTGCTCCGTTTTCATATATCACACCACCGCCAAGTCTGTTATCACACAAATACACACACAGCAACCCAAAGAGGATTCAGTCTCAATACGTCATTGAACATTAGAAAATAGACTTTATTCTGCCGTGTGCTTGTCATCTAATTATTTAACTAAACTAAATCGCCTCTTCCTGTCACAGATTCAGTCAGAAATAACTTGTTCTTTACCCTGTGTCATACAAGCCTGTAACAGTGTTACATGATTAGTATTTTACTAAGAGTGAGCTGTGGTTTGCAGAGAGAACTTTGGACTCAGAAACATACGGTACCTTGAGAGAAGCTAGTGGGTGTTCTGGTCCCAGCAGACTCCAGTGGAAGGCAGCCAGGTCCTCATCAGGCAGAATATGATTTCCTGCAAGAGAGAAACTCTTTCACATGTTGCTGCTGTATCAATGAACAAGGACGACAGACAAGGGGGGGGGCAAAGATACAGCTCGCAGGTAGGGGTGCGTGTTTCAGTGATACAGTGTCAAGGTGTGCTGCTTCCTTACCCAGCAGAGCAGCGAAGCATGGCAGGTGCTGTGTCTTGAGCCCGAGCTGCCTGGCGGCCTCAGACAGCAGGTACTGGTGTGTGGTCAGGTTCTTGCCGTTCCAGCTCAGTTTGAGCGCGTGTGAGGAGAAGTAAGCGGGTACGTTGCAGAGGGCGAACTCAGAATCCTGAGCGATCAGGCCAGCGAATCCAAAGTCCCTGTAGAGAGACAGCACTTCTTGGTGGTGGTCCTCCAACGTCTGTACAACCTGTGGACGCAGAGAGGACAAACTCTGAATGGAGTTGGAAGGACTTCATTTTTATAAAAATAAACATCCTGCTGGGAGGAATCTGGTTGTCCACATGTCAGATTTAGATTTTAGTGTCATGTGTCAAGTAAAAGCAGCAGAGTAGTTCAGATCTGCAACGATTAGTTGATTCATCAGTTTGTTTATAGTATGAAAATGTATCTAACTACTATTGTTATTATTGTTTGAGTCATTTTAAAACAACTAATTGAGAAAATCACTGCCAGATCAATTGATAATGAAGACCGATCATTAGTTGTTTCTGTATAATCACACAAAGATCAACAACATCCAGAACAGAGCCTAAAGACAGACTGTGAAACTGATCAGCTACCATGCCAGCAGTCATCGCAGTTTACTCAATTTATGCTGAAGATAGAGACAACAGACGACCAGCGGTGCTGACACTCGACGCACTTTGTATACCAACAAAAAGACTTAATCTCCACGGCCCATTAAAACAATTAATAAACCACAGTTTGCTCGCATAAATACAAAAAGTGGGAAATTAAATCGTTGAACCAATCTGTTCCAAATGACTGGTGGAGATACCTGGAACCAGAGCTAAATAACTGCTTCAGAGCAGGCAACGGGCAGTCGGTGGGTGAGGTGCATGGGTGGAGGAGAGGGAGGGGGAGAGAGAGAGAGAGAGAGAGAGAGAGAGAGAGAGAGAGAGAGAGAGAGAGAGAGAGAGAGAGAGATGCCAGAATTGTTATGTTAATCTAGTTAATCAACGTCAGTGTTAATCAGTGTGAAAACGAAATAATTACTTTCAGTTACTCCATCAAAAATCTATTTAATGGGCTGGATGATCAAATCTGTCTTCAAATGAATGAAATACGGTGGTTGGGAAGGCAAGTTTGATTATGAGTAAACTGTTTCAAGAAAAACTGCTTAGCAGTTCTTATGTCACTCACCAATAATAAAAACTAACAACCACTTTTAGACGTAATAAAAACGTACACAATAATCCCAAATAGAGCGTGCGTGTGAAGCTGGAGCAGGAAGTGCACGGAGAGGGATCGGCAGTAACTTTAGTGAAGGTGTAATCCTAAAGAGCTGCAGCAGTAGGACTGTTGCTCACAAATACAGGTACTAAAAACCAGCGCGCACACACGGGAACTGTGAGTAACGATGCTGTACACGCACAAGGAGCATGTAGAACGTGTTGTACTGTAATGTGGGTGGGTTTCTTCTACTCCAACAGCTATCCTCTCGTTCACTGTGGCACTGGGTCTTTTTTTAATACTAGCATGCGAGCAGACGGGGAGGTAGATCAAAGGCGAACGGAGACGGCGAGGTACAGCTGACAGCAGGGAACCTTGACAGCGGGTTTTAGCTGCGTTTATGGCAGGGCCTTCAACACAACATTATGAGTCACATTTCCTTTTTCAAAAACCCTTGTTGAGTTATTCTTTGCCCTATAAGATGTCTGCTGTGGAGAGTCTTTGTTTCACCTTCCTGTATTAAATATATAAAAGAGGCTATTATTAGTAGAGAAAGGCAGATATAGTACATCCACCTTACTCTACTATATGCTATCTTGGTATTTATTAAATACAACAGAGCAAATAGGTCAGAAACGAATATTCTCAACCACCTACCGACTGAAATGTACCATCATTACAAATGCACCACTGTCAGGTACTGGGGGGGCTATAAATAGTCCTTCCACTCAGCAGTTGTTCAACAATGTATGACAGGTTCACTGAGTTCATGTTACGTAATATATAGGCTAGACTAGGTCATGTTGTAAGATTCACGTTTCTAACCCCTCTTGAATGAGGACGTTTGTATCCAACTGCTTTATATTTATATCTTAAATAAATCTGTTGCACTGGATCCTGCTCCCAGTAGACCAGCACAGATACATCCAGGAGGGCAGAACCACTACAGACAGACAGCAGCTACAGACAGACAGACAACTACAGACAGACAGCAGCTACAGACAGACAACTACAGACAGACAGACAGCAGCTACAGACAGAAACCTAGAAACAGCCCGGCTGTCAGATCAGGTTTGTATTAGAGCTGCACGATCTGGTTAAAAAATTTTTTTTTTTAAATCATATAGCAATTATTTTGATTAGTGGGAAATTCTCCTTTTAAAAAGAAATCAGGAAGATGTGACATTTGTCGTACTAAACAAATGTTATCTTACATCTGTAGAATAAGGGAATATCTGCAGCACCACACTACTTCTTTATAATAAAGTTTTGACCCACATTTTGTGTTTTATTTTAGAAGAAATATTGCAGCTTCTTGCTTTTGGATAATGCAGTGATAAAGTGTGTATCTGAGCACAAACTCAGTTTTAAGGGCTGTGAGTTGCACTAGCTCACCAACTGGAAGGAGTTAAACCAGCGCTGGATGATGTAAGCTACTACATGGGCGTGCAACAAGAAAAGGGCAAGTGTTAAATGAATATGACCACAATAAAAACAACTTTTCAGCTCACCCGCACTCGGAAGCGGAACATGGCGAGGCGGACGCAGTGGCTGAGGCAGGCCGGGGGCAGGAACCATGCCCGGGGAGGCGGGGTGGCCTTGCTGCCGACGTGGTTGACTATCAGCTGCGCCGTCTGTCGCTGGCCTTGAGCTCGCCGCGCCCACTCGGGCCAGCGCTCCTTCCCCAGTGTGCCGTTGAACACCACGACCAGCTCCAGGCCGCCCTGGTACAGGCACGCCTGCGACAGGGCGGCCAGGTAGCCCAGCATGGCGTTCCACTCGCCCCCGCACACCCAGTCCGTCTGGTAGCCGCCGTACAGGCGCTGCAGGCCGGAGTCAGCGTCGATTAGGATCCGTGCAGGCGGGGGCGGGGGAGGCATGGGCCCGGGGTGATGTGGGTGGTGGTGTGGGTGATGGTGGTGAGGGGGCTGGCGGGCCGCGGTGCGGGCGAGCTTCAGGAGGTCCACCGGGACTGCAGCCCCGGGACACCGCTTCTCTAAATACTCTTGGAAACCCTGCACTCCCATGACGGTGTTGTTGAGCCGGTGCGTGTGTCCGGGAGCGGGCTCTGAATACGTTCTGTACGCCGTGTTTATGATGGGATGTGGGGCGAGACGGTAGCTAGCTGTGCACTTCAGGCAAAGCTAGCTGGTCTCCAAAATGTAGTGACTGCCTGTAGTTTGAGTTCGAGCCCCTGCAGAACAACTGATCTGTGCACCGAGTCACCGTGCAGCCGTCTGCCAGCGAGCCTGATCCCGAGAGCTTCTAAACACACAGGTTCTTCTCAGTTTTGGTCGTGGCTGCTCGGCGTAGTGTCCATCCCTGTGGGGTTCTGGTTAGATGCCAGCAAGGCCAGTGTGGCTTCCTACCACCACAAAAAGTTCTACAGTGTTTCCTGCTCCCATAATTCGGCTTCTAACTCAACCAGCCCCGCGATGGATGTACCGTCGGTGTGAACGCAGCCGGGTTGTTGGGTCTTACCGCTCGAACGATGATCCTGCTGGTTCCGTGCACATGAAACCGAGGCGGTACTGCGCATTAGTTAGCAACCCACAGGCTGGACGGCCAGTCCGCGGACATGATGTTGAACCGAGCAGCTCGCTTACAACAAAAAAAACGGTTATTTCTCTCCTGACAGCGGAAATATTCACCCACATTTACTCTGCACTACCTCGGGCACACCTGAGCGCGTGGTTCGCGGCTGGCTCGCGGGTGTCACAGGATCAATTTAACAAAAAACAAAACAAACTAAAAAGGAGCTAGCTGCACTAACATCGAGGCTAACTGTGGGGCTAGCCGTGGAGCTAGCTGGCAGGGTCCCCGGCGTGATTTGACGCGTCAACTCCCGAAGACGAGCGCGAGGCGGACACGACGCGGAATGAGATGGATGTCTGACGAAATAAAAGAAAAGTAACTTAAAAGAAAATAAAAATAAAAGCCCGATGGTGCCTCCCTCGCTTTCTTCCACACTCACGGCGTCATGTTGCGGAGGGGAACGTTACTTCCAAGCGACATCAGCCATCTTGCGACTTCCTCGCGGCCCAGTGGAGTGGGAGGGAAAAAGGCGGAGGGGAAAGGGGGGGGGGAGGAGGCGCGGCCGCGGGGCACGCTGGGAAATGGAGTGCGGCAGCGGCGTCAAGTTCGATTTGGAAAGCCGTGGCGGGAAACAGGTTAAAAACTACAACTACCAGCGTGCCGGGACGCCGACGGTTGAACGAGGATAAAAAAGCTGGAGAGTAGAATTTCTCCAAGTGGCCCACAAGTGTTTCAACTACAAACGTCCGTTATTTGTCCGTTACCCGCCCCGAAAGCTGTCTTATCGATATATCGATAAATATTATTAATAATAATAATAACGGTAGCTAACGGCTGCTTGTAGCCCGGTGCTCCTGCTACAGTTTGTACCCGCCATAGAAAGCACTTAGAGCGACAGGTTGGGGACCAGCAGTGAGTTTAAAGAGCATAAACATTTTAATAAACATCGTTATAAGGTGATAAATGACTGTGAGTGGTGTAACAGGTAGAATGGCGCTGCCGTTGGTTAATCTCTGTGTGTGTGTGTGTGTGTGTGTGTCGCCTCCCTGTGGCTCACTTATATAAAACTATCTGAACATAAACTCAGGATTTAATAATAAAACAAAAGGAAGTCATCGTTAACAGCAGCTTTATAATGCTGCCAGTACTATTGAAACCAACTGAAACACAACATGTCTTTATTGTATGTGAGCTGTGAGGAAGAGATGCTTCTACTAAATAATTAATAAATAACAATGTGTGTATTAGTGTCTATCCAAAGATTATTATAGGCATATTATAATATATTGTAGGGCAAATAAAAATGCTTGACCACCTGAGTTTGGTGCCAAATGCTGTGAAATTTAACATATTAATTTATATTAATCTTAAAAATGGAAATTAATTTAATGTTCTCTTATGGCCACATTTTATACTAAGCAACATAACTCTA